CGTCTCAAGCTGAGAGTAGGTTAGTAACGCAGGATCTGCCTTTCCTGAAACCGTGTCAGGCTTCATGGAGTATATTAGACCTATCGAGGTATTCCCTGATGTAATCGTCAATAATACTTTCCAGTACTTTTGATAACACTAGGAGTAGGGCTACTGTGGCATTTTGCCTATCCCCACTCTTTAAGATCGGTGAAAGGATGGCTCTTTTTCACTCCCTTGGCAGTTTCCCCGGATCCATTGGGTGTTGGAAAAAGTCGCACATGGGCCTACAGAGAGCTTTGGCACACGGTTTCAGGACAGACGGCCTGATGTCGTTACAACCTGGGGACTTCCCAGGTGTGAGTGTCTGTCCTTCCTGAGTACTATTGCGGGGTCTTCCTCCTGTGGAATAGTAGTGCCACCACTTTTTCCGTAACAGTAACACCCACACTGCTGTTTAGCCGTTTGGCGAAGGCTAAACTGAATGTTTCAGCCATCTCAAGACTAGTGAGATATTGACCGTTTTCGCCTACTAAGGCGCATGCTCCCTGGTTAGTTGGTTTTCTTTCCAACATGAATCGGTACAAGTTTTTGGGGTTCGCCAGGAAAGGAGCATAGAAAAATAAGCTTTTCGATGAATCCCGTAATAATAAGCGGAATTATTCTGGAATGACCTTACACATTCGTGCTCAAAAAAGTATATAATAAACATGAATGTTCCCATAGTAAACACATAAATAAATAAATTTATTCTAATGGTGCATTACATGAGGGACGCCAGTTTACAGGCATCATCAAATTGTTACAGAAATAGAACCATATTATTCAGTCACATTTTACAATCGATAGCAAAATATGTTTAACATGTACACTGGAGATGATAAATACACTTGATAAATGTTAATTCCAATAGTATAAAACATCCTTTTCACTTATGTACAATCATTTCTGTGCATAGTTGGAAAAATCTGCTAGATTGTCAGTGAGTGCAACACATCAGGAAATACAGAAGTATTGTCTTCGCATTAACATTATTATTAAGTTGACTGATAATTGTATATGTAATTATCTATTGATGATGCCGTAAACTGGCGTCCCTCATGTACAAAATGAGAATATACTATTATTATTAACAAAAAAAACCAGGTCTTTGGTGGATGGGTTATGAGTGCCTGGGAAAAAAATAAAGCTTGAAGTCAATTTTCGTACAATACTTTGTTGTGTGCAGAACCTTTGAATTATAGTTCATTGATGTGTTATTTTGAAATCAGTGATTTGTTTATCTCATTTGATCTGCAATGTCATTGTTTGGAGTAAAATACATAAGCTTTAGACGCATTAGTTAATGGATTTCTACTGCTTGTGGGTATTTACTTCTCGTGAGGAAGGTTTTTGAATTTTAGTTGTTCCCACAGGAGTTGTGGATATTGACTGCTCAGCAACATTACGGATATAAGTTCATCACATTATCTCAGGGATGTTGGGTTGTAGTTGGTGAGGCATATATGATGTCCGACGAGCGTACATCTGCCCATGTGATGTTGTGGTGAGTTATATCTTTTCCATGTTGTCGGTTTATGTCCATTTTATTCCACTTATTGTGTTGGGTAGAAGTTTTACAAACGAAACTTCTTGTCTGTTTGAGGGTAAGTATCTTAATCGTTAATGTTTTATCTAAAATTATATATATAGGCAAAAACAACAGGTGTAGTATTTAAGCTTATACATTAAATGGACCTATAATTTCGGAGGCTCTCAGATAGGAACTAGGACTACTGTCGTTTGCAAACTCATGTAGTTTGTCGTTAAGCACTTTTTTGAAGGAGGCCAGTGTACCTGCTTGACGCATTTCCATTGGTAGTTTATTCCATATCTGTGCATACCTAATCAAGTAAAACTTTTGCCTGGTAGCTGTTTTACATTGTTCGATGGCTACTGTACCCTTGGTGTGTCTTAGTTTGTAGCCATTGTCATCTGAAAGTCGAGTGCCATTAGTAGAGGTAAAAACTAAGTGGTTTAGAAGCTTATAGTAAAGTGTTAATTTTAGTCTCAGGCGTCTTAGCCATAGTGTTTCTAATCCTAGGGTGTCACATCTAGTGGAGTAGTTCGCACCATTTTCGGTTCCGAGTAATTTTGATGTGAAGTACCTCTGCACTCCCTCGACTTTCAATTTGTCCTCTATGCGTATACTACTATACATGAATGAACAGTAATCAAATAAAGGACGCACACAAACCTTGTACAACAGAATTCTGGACTCATTTCTGTAGAAGTTCCTGAGTAGAAAGCCGATAAGTCTGCGTGACTTTGACACTTGTTTGGAGATATGTTCAGAAAATGATAAGTCATGTGAGTATTTCAGTCCTAGGTCCAATACAGATTCCAGTCGTAAGAGTGCATGGCCTTGAATTGTCAGGTCAAGTTCTAAATTGTTGCAGCCTATGCAGAGCCAGCCACATTTGTCGACATTAAACTGGAGTCGCCAGGTGTCACACCATCTGTCTATTTTTTCTAATTCTTGCTGTATGGTGTTTACTGTTATTCCAAGATCTGTGTTCTTGCATTTATAGGTAACTTTTAAGTCATCTGCATATAGTATTGGTTTACCAACACTAAAGCATTCACAGATACTGTTTATACATATTATGAATAGGAGTGGGCCTAATACACTTCCCTGGATTACACCACTACTTACTGGTTTAGGCCTTGAGATTATCGGGTCAACTTTCGTTATCTGACTTCGGCCACAGAGAAATGATTTTATCCAGCTCAGGAGAGGGTCACATATCCCTGGTGAGGATAACCTGCTGACTAGCAGATTATGGGGGACTCTGTCGAAGGCTTTTATTATATCGAAATATAGCACAATTACTAGTTCTCTGTTGCCCCTGCTTCGTGTAACTTCATTGAAAAAGTCTATGTGACAGGTCACACATGATCTCTTTTTGAGGAATCCGTGTTATGATGGATTGATAGGCTCATGTTCTAGTAAGTTGTCTGATACTTGGTCTTTGACCACTTTCTCCATTATTCGTGATATTACCGGTGTTATATTAATAGGTCTATAATTGCATGCACTGGTTTTGCCCCCTGGTTTGTGCCTGGGTAATATGTATGTGGTTTTCCGCACTTCAGGATAAGTTCCAGTTTCCAGTGACAGAGTAAATACTCTAAGTAATGAGACTACCATTTCCGTGCTACCATTTTTGTAAATGACAGATGGTATGTCGTCTGTTCCAGTACTACCATTTGACTTCAATGTCCTAATCGCTGAGTCTATATTTTGTGTATTAAAATCTATTTCTCCTAGTTTGTGGTTACTTTTGCAGGTCATTCCTGTACTCTTTGGGTTGTTTATACATAGTGGGAAGTGCATAACAAAAAAGATTACACCCACCGTCCTTCACTGAAATGCTGTACACTATAATTATGTCCTCAAATGATCTAATGCGCTATCACTTCTCATTTGATAAATCAGGTTCTGTGGGTGCGGCTGTCGCCTGAACTTTATTAGGTAGTTCTAAGTCATCTTTTCAATAAAATATAGCCACACTGCTGCAGTTTTCCAATATGTGGACTTTCATAGACTTATACAAAATGCTGATATGTCTCTTTTGATGTCCTCCGGTCCTCTTTGTCCTTAGCGCTGTACCGGACAATGTAGAATACTCTTCCTTTCATTCAGCACCGCTGTGTCGAATCCTAGTGTGGATACAGCTAACGAATTTTGAGTATCACTTCAGCTTTGGAACCTAGAAAACAACTGCGCGAAAGCTTGTGTTTTCGCTCGAGACATGAGCGGAAGGCAGCACCGTAATCCGTTTCGTAGAAATCACAAGAACTTTATCAGCTCCCACCAAATCCTTCCTCGACACTTCTGTTTATGGTAACTGTACCAAATTTTGGACGAAATTTCCTAGTCTCCCCGCAAAGACAAACCACCTATGCTAAAAAGTTGATTCTAGTTATTTGAAAACAGACCTTGCCAGCCACGTCTCGTAAACCGTCAATGCCCAGCTCTTGCCACGCTCGGGCTCACGCTGTTCCTTGAAGTTTCTCAGAAACGCTTAGTAATAACGGACGAAAAAATAAAACACCGATTCGCTAATCGAGAATTCCTTATTGTAACAACAACATATATCCAACATTAAAATTAAGCTTTAACTAAAGGTTCTGACAGTTTTCGTCTGACTTCTTTCTGATTAGCGACCGATGAGACGATGACTGGTGTATCGATGTCTCCGTGAAAATTCGGGAAGTTGGGTTTGAGCGAACAACCATGAATTGATCGTTCAATCTTAATAATATATATTTGTTCCTGTTTATGCAGGAACATACCAATTGTACAGGCATGGATAAGTTATTATATAAATTACACAAAATTTGATGTATAATGTATTTACAGTTTGGTTGTTCTTTCTGACATCAAAGTCAGTCGGAACAGTCTGCTATAAAGTTTGTTTGTGTAGCACATAAAGAGATATAGAAATATTGTCTTCGCATTAACAAAAAACCCAGACATCAGATGAATGTAATACAAATATCTGGGAAAAATAAAGCTTGAAGTCAATTCTCCTATATAACTTTGTTGTGAACAGCACCCTTGGCTTAAAGATTATTGATGTATTATGTTGAGATCAGTGATATATTTATTCCATTTTTTCAGTAGTCTTATCGTAGTTTTATAACAGGAAAGAAATTTGATCGTGGATACGAAAACTAGATAAGGTCATGTTGGGTTGTTTTACTGCATCAAATGGTGCCGAGGTCGATTCCAGAATTCTCCATTTGCTCCATTTGTGTCTGCATGGCGGACTGTATTCGTAAGTTGAGTAAAATGTTGAAAACTGTTTGAAAACCAGTTGCTTCTTCATTTCAGATCATGAATACTCATTTACAGCATGTTCGCCAGCGTCTTCAAATGGTAGAATTGGATCGTTCATGGAATTTGAGTGGTTATGAGATAGACGGTTTGGAATTAATCCTCATTTCAGTTTAGATGCAGGGTTGTTCGACCTCGACCAGAAGATGAATAGGAGCAGCAAAATACCAGAAAGAGAAAGTATGTGAACATGAAAAGGACATTTATATATTATGCATTTATAAATGTTTATCTTAATTGTATATTATACTTAAGTAAACATTTTTCTATATTGTATTTGTTTTCACGTATTTATGCGAAGTCTTAGAGTTTATTTAATGTCATAATGTGTATTAATGAGTCTGAGCGTTTTAGTGTTCTAATGACTGATGCGTTTTAGAAATAAGTGATGGGTTCTGGTAGGGATAGTCATTTGGACAAAACAGTTTATATAGCAAGCGTTTGAAGGTTACAATGAGGGATAGGTCCTATTTCTAAGGGTAAACTAATCCTGTATGTTCCGTACTATGTCTTTATGCATCCATGCTGCTAGTTTATTTATAGTTTAAAGATTGCTAAGGGTGTTGAAGTGCGTCTTTTAGGTGCTGTAGTAGATTAGTGCTTGATTCGTTCTAGGAGTAAATAGTTTATTAATATAATCAGTAGAGTGAAACAGTCTGTATAGAGAGCGTTTGAAGCTTGTAACCGAAGAGCAAGTTCTGACATCTAGGGGTAGGCTATTCCATATTTTAGAATACATGACTGTGAAGAAGTTTTCACGGAGTGTTGACTTAAAAGAATGAGTTGTCACTGTGGAAGTTTGGTTACGCAGATCGTAAGAACCTTCCTGTGCGAATTGTATGTCCCTGTTACCTGAGAAAGATATTTTGTGAAGGACCTTAAAGAAGAATATTAGGTTTATAATAAGTCGCCTTGTCCAAAGTGGGTCGAGTTTTAGGATCATGCACCGTGAGATGTAGTCTTTCTTACAATCGTAGCCAAGCAGTTTTGAGGTAAAATATCGTTGGATACTTTCCATCCTTAGCTTGTCGCGTGTGCGAGTGCTGCTTATAATAAATGGACAGTATTCTAGTAGTGGTCTGACACATGTTTTGTACAGAATTAGCTTGGCTTCATTGTCGTGAAAGTTCCTGAGTATGCATCCTAAGAGCATCCTCGATTTTCTAGTCTGTGATGCTACTTGCTCTGAGAATGTCAAGTCACTAGAGTACCTCAGGCCTAGGTCAACGACACTTCGGAGTCTTGTTAGGTTAGCAGATTGGAGCGTTAATTTCAGGTCAATTGAGGGTGCACCGAAGCAGATCCAGCCACATTTGTTCAGATTAAATTGGAGATTCCATAGGGACGACCAAGCAGCCATTTTATCTAATTCCTTCTGTACTACATTCTCGAAGTTCCCTAAGTCATCACGTTGGAATGTATAAGCTACTTTTAGGTCATCTGCAAAGATGAATGGTTTCCCGTGCGTGAAGCAAGCGCATATGTCATTGATGTATAGTGTAAATAGGAGGGGTCCAATGACACTACCTTGTACTACACCAGAAGTGATAGGGCTAGGTTTGGAGGTTGCAGACCCGAGTTTAACTATTTGGGACCTATTGTTAAGGAATGATTTAAGCCATCCTAATAATGGGTCACGTATTCCTAAGGAGTTCAGTTTATTTGTTAGCAGTAAATGGTCAACACGGTCAAATGCCTTAGAAATGTCAAAGTAGATGACAAGTACTAGTTGCCGTCTGTCACGACTGCTGGTTACAAAATTGAAGAAGTCTAGGTGACATGTTAAACATGATCTGGATTTCAGGAATCCATGTTGGTTCGGACTTATGATGTTGCAGCTAAGCATATGTTTGATTAAGTTATCTTTGACTAGTCTCTCCATGATTCTAGATGCTATAGGTGTGATATTGATTGGCCGGTAGTTACTGACTTCAGTTTTCGAGCCAGATTTGTGTTTAGGCATAATGAATGTTGTCTTCCATATGTCAGGGTAAGTTTGGGTTTCTAGGGACATTGTGAATATTTTAAGCAGCAGTAGAGGAATGTCAGGGCCACCATATTTATAGAAGTAAGATGATATACCGTCGGTACCGAAACCTTTTGAACTTTTGAGGGTTCTTATAGTTTGGTTAATATCAGCGTAAGTGAATTGAACAGTGCTAATTTGGTTTGGTGTGAGTGGAGTTGGAGTTTGTGCCATTTTAGTAATAGGGTGTATATCGAGTAGCTGGACTGAGGGCTTAAGGTAGTTACCTGCAAACGTTTTGTTGAATAGTTCACATATGTCTGCAGAGTTAGTGCATAGCCTGCCTTTGTCTATGAGGAGAGAAATGCTGTGATTTTTGCGATTCATTCGCTTCCTTAAGATTTCTGTGAGTGCATACACTCTAGCAGGACTGGCTACTGCGATGCGTTCTTCCTTTCTCATACGGAAATCTTGAGCTTGTGTGATGGAGCTAAGGGTTTTAAGTATTAGACCTAGAGTGCCAAAGTCGTGGTGTTTGAAGTAACTTGTTGAGAGTTTCTTCAGTTTCTTACGATCCTTTGGTTTTATGAATGACTTTCTGTGTGGGGAAACCTTTAGTGTTTGGAGTGGAATGACAGCATCTAAGCATATGTTTGAGTTATGGTAGAAGATGGTTAGGGCTCTCGATAGGTCATCAGTAGTGAAGTATTCATCCCATTTGGAGGATCTTAGCATCGATTCAACTAAGGCCCAGTTTGCCTTACTATAGTTCCTATATATTACTTGTTGTGAAGTGGAGGTATGAGATGCATTGCTACTCAGCGGAATTGGCAGTGCACACATTACTGTTTTGTGGTCGCTCCCTGGGAACTCAGAACCTACTAGCGTTGAAAGGGGGCTTATATTGTGGCAGAAGATTAAGTCTAGTACGTTGTTACCTCTTGTGGGAGTAGTGACAGTTTGTTTCCAGCCAAGTATATCCAGTGTGTCTAAGAACTTATCAAATTTAGTTGGACCTGTGGGTATATCCCAGTTGATTTCAGGTAAGTTAAAGTCCCCACATAGGATCTTATGATCGTATTGTAAGTCGGTTAATTGCTCCAGAGTATTAATAAGTTGGGTCTCGTAATTACTAAAGGTGCCAGGTGCTCTGTAGGAGCATCCAATTAATGCTGTTACGTTATTTAAGTGTACATTAACCCATAGAGTCTCAGGCATGTTAAGTGTACTACTTTCTAGCTGTGATACAGTAAGTGCATTCAGAAAGTACATGAGACAACCCCCTCCCTTACCACCTTCCCTGTCACACCGAAAGTGTGTGTAGTTATCTAAGCTTATTTCTTCATCCAGGATGTCCGAATGACACCAAGATTCAGTGATGACAATTACAGGGGGTTTGTATATTACTGTGAGTGCTCTGAGCATCGGCAATTTATTTAGAACAGATCTAGCATTTATGAGGATTACGTAAAGATGAGAGTTGAAGTAGCATTTGAAGTATTTAAGTTCGTTAGTCAGCCCCGAATATGGTTCAGCACCCAGTAGTTCTGCTGGACATGACGATCCTATGTTAAGAGGAGTTCCAGCATCATGCTCACCTATGTCTATCGAGTTGTTGTGTGCTGTTTTCGGTGGAGAATTAGGAGTTGGAGTACTGGATTTGCTATAGACTAAGGAACTTTTATTTTTAGTTAGGTTACAGAAGTGGGTAGGGTTCTTTATTTGGCCTATACTTGTGCAAGTGTCAAGTGTGTCCAATGGATACGGGTGCACTAGACCGTTCCTGTTTTCATGCAAGGAGGGAGCCAGCACTAGTGGTTTAGGAGTGTTAACATCCCTACCAGCTGTTTTTTCAACGCTGACAGGGACGCGGGGGATAAAAAATGATTGGATCCTTGTGATGACCATGGCTTATTATTCCACCTATTGTTTGATGCTAGTTGTGTCCTTGTGTGGGTTTCGTGTGTACTGCATTTTGGGTTAGTTCCCAGCAGACTTGTACCATATATCCGGTCGAAATTTGTTTGTGTGCCATACTCTGAAGACCCTGAGTTGTTGGTAGCCGAGTTCTGACTATTACCACTTGTACTATTTAGGGTGACATCGTTGTGACATTGGATATTAGTGTGTGCCACGGTGCGATTTAGCACGTTGTGAGTGCTAATACTATTAACCGTGGGGAGTGTGGGCTTATTTAAGCTGCCACTGTTTTTGTTGGTATGATTTAGGGGCATATTTTCCTTATCTTTACCAATGGAATTATAGCTAGGAGAGGACAAAGTCGAATTTCGGGGGGTTTTAACTTTTTTTCTGGGGTTATTTAGTGGCATTTTAGATTCTGCGGTGATGGGTGGTATGGTTTTATTATTTATTTGGTTACAGTCTAGTGGCCTTTCGGCTGGTGTTGCACTCTGATGGGATATTTCTGTGTGTTTTGAGAGGGGTGATGCGGTGGGGTCTACTGTATCTTTCACAGGGTTGGGAATAATGGCTGCTTGCAATGTCCTATTACCTATTTCACAATTAGTCTTAGTGAGATAGTTGTGTGCGCGCCTTTCTATAACTGTTTTTTCCACCCCGACCTTTATATGTTTGTAGTTTCTGGCTTGCGATAGGGTGTGTTGGGAGTGAATGAATTTTCTGGTCTCTGCCGGTGTTTCGAACTGAAAACGAATAGGACAACACTTTTCATGTTGACTCTTCTTCAGCCTGTAGCACTTAGTCTTGGAGTTAGGCATTTTCGCTTCACTAAGTAAGATGCGCTGTACCTTTTTTAGTGCCTCATTGTCCGGAACGTTGTAGACAATAGCACTCAGTTTTGCGTCGAGTCGTTTTGTTACTTCTGTGGTAACAAAGTTAATGAGGTTATCTACCTTAGTTACCGATTCTGTGTCAAGCTTGTTAAGGTTTACCGTTTTCATGAGGATAGTTAGAGGTGTCAGTTCACAGACCTGCGATCTGATATCGCTGATCTGATCTGATAATTTGGATATCTCGGTATTGGTTTCGATGTTTCCAGCATTTACTGACTTGCTGTTTTTTATTTCCCTTAACTCAGCCTTAAGTTCTCCTATAGACAACTTTAGAAGTTCTATTTCTGAAGATAGTACTGAAAAAGAGCTTGATGGCTGGAGTTTCTCCATAAGCACATAAGGTGAAGGGAGGAGTTCTGTATGAGCAGAGGGTACCGAATTTTTAGGAGTAGTGCTAATACTGGCTGTCAGTACAGTTTTATCCTCAGTTTCAGCTCGACGCTTACGGCATACACGTGAGTTATGTGACTCACTATAGCCGTTTGTTGGGTGTGTGTTGCTTGATGTAGCAATCAAGGACGTTAAATTAGACACCAGTTTTACAGGGGATTGGGTTCGTTGCTTTTTACTTTGATTAACCATAACTATTAGAAATGAGAGTTAGTGGTTACAAGAATGGAAGTGGTATAGTACTTGTGCAAGTACTACAACAAGTTAAATTTTATGTAACGAATCACGTAAAAATGTAACGCAAACGTTGAACGTACCGCGGTACAACTGCATTGACACTCCTCGGAAAAAAGGGACCCAACCTTTTTTCTCCATCACGACCAATACACGTTGACTTGGATGCCATTGCGAAAACCTGGGTCACACGGACAGAGCTGAAATGGAAAACAAACAGAAAAGCCAACACACCACAAGCATACCCACAGCACAATCTCACACATCAATGACGACCTGCGCCTCCAGACAGAAACCTCCTCTTGACATCTTGCATTACAATCGCAACTTGCTAGAATGACTCTTGCAGAATGCAACGTGACCATAGCAGCACCTCATGATACTCTACGCTCATCCTCTTATCTACTCACTACCAATTACCACTGAAATCTCTTGTCACTCATTCTGCCTCAGTTCTAGTAACGGTGACGTACGCAAGCCTCAGCCGTCTACACTCTCACTCCCCGGCGTGTGGGATCACAGCTAATCATTATCTCCGTATGCATTTCATTCTCAGGAATATCCTCGCCGGCGTATACGACCCATCTGCTGTCCTTAACATCAATCAATTCATTCATGGATGTAGAAGACTCGAAACAACTTCAGAAGTAATCACGACGAAAATTTTAACAAAACTACGCAATAACAACAAGGTACGAAAACAACGAGTAAACACAATTAATCCAAAAACACCAATTGATAAGACACACCACACATATATACAAACAGTACACACAGACTCGCGGATCATGTCTTGGTGGAATTCCTTTGAAGAATTGCAGGACTTACACCAGTACCCTACAACCCTTCACAGGTTGACGATTGTAAGTTGTGGAATGTCCAGACACAAACACGATTGACCAACAATTACAATAATTGGAACTCACACAATAATTTAACACAAACAAATGTACAATCAACACATCAAATGTGGTGGATTCTGCCTTGACGAACTACCCTTGAAGAACTGTAGGACTTATAGCAGTACGCCTGCATTCCTTCTCAGGTTGATGATACAAGTGACAAATTTATAATAATATATTTCTTCCTGTTTATGCAGGAACATACCAATTGTACAGGCATGGATAAGTTATTATATAAATTACACAAAATTTGATGTATAATGTATTTACAGTTTGGTTGTTCTTTCTGACATCAAAGTCAGTCGGAACAGTCTGCTATAAAGTTTGTTTGTGTAGCACATAAAGAGATATAGAAATATTGTCTTCGCATTAACAAAAAACCCAGACATCAGATGAATGTAATACAAATATCTGGGAAAAATAAAGCTTGAAGTCAATTCTCCTATATAACTTTGTTGTGAACAGCACCCTTGGCTTAAAGATTATTGATGTATTATGTTGAGATCAGTGATATATTTATTCCATTTTTTCAGTAGTCTTGTCGTAGTTTTATAACAGGAAAGAAATTTGATCGTGGATACGAAAACTAGATAAGGTCATGTTGGGTTGTTTTACTGCATCAAGTGGTGCCGAGGTCGATTCCAGAATTCTCCATTTGTTTTTTTTTTGTCTGCATGGCGGACTGTATTCGTAAGTTGAGTAAAATGTTGAAAACTGTTTGAAAACCAGTTGCTTCTTCATTTCAGATCATGAATACTCATTTACAGCATGTTCGCCAGCGTCTTCAAATGGTAGAATTGGATCGTTCATGGAATTTGAGTGGTTATGAGATAGACGGTTTGGAATTAATCCTCATTTCAGTTTAGATGCAGGGTTGTTCGACCTCGACCAGAAGATGAATAGGAGCAGCAAAATACCAGAAAGAGAAAGTATGTGAACATGAAAAGGACATTTAATATTATGCATTTATAAATGTTTATCTTAATTGTAAATTATACTTAAGTAAACATTTTTCTATATTGTATTTGTTTTCACGTATTTATGCGAAGTCTTAGAGTTTATTTAATGTCATAATGTGTATTAATGAGTCTGAGCGTTTTAGTGTTCTAATGACTGATGCGTTTTAGAAATAAGTGATGGGTTCTGGTAGGGATAGTCATTTGGACAAAACAGTTTATATAGCAAGCGTTTGAAGGTTACAATGAGGGATAGGTCCTATTTCTAAGGGTAAACTAATCCTGTATGTTCCGTACTATGTCTTTATGCATCCATGCTGCTAGTTTATTTATAGTTTAAAGATTGCTAAGGGTGTTGAAGTGCGTCTTTTAGGTGCTGTAGTAGATTAGTGCTTGATTCGTTCTAGGAGTAAATAGTTTATTAATATAATCAGTAGAGTGAAACAGTCTGTATAGAGAGCGTTTGAAGCTTGTAACCGAAGAGCAAGTTCTGACATCTAGGGGTAGGCTATTCCATATTTTAGAATACATGACTGTGAAGAAGTTTTCACGGAGTGTTGACTTAAAAGAATGAGTTGTCACTGTGCAAGTTTGGTTACGCAGATCGTAAGAACCTTCCTGTGCGAATTGTATGTCCCTGTTACCTGAGAATGATATTTTGTGAAGGACCTTAAAGAAGAATATTAGGTTTATAATAAGTCGCCTTGTCCAAAGTGGGTCGAGTTTTAGGATCATGCACCGTGAGATGTAGTCTTTCTTACAATCGTAGCCAAGCAGTTTTGAGGTAAAATATCGTTGGATACTTTCCATCCTTAGCTTGTCACGTGTGCGAGTGCTGCTTATAATAAATGGACAGTATTCTAGTAGTGGTCTGACACATGTTTTGTACAGAATTAGCTTGGCTTCATTGTCGTGAAAGTTCCTGAGTATGCATCCTAAGAGCATCCTCGATTTTCTAGTCTGTGATGCTACTTGCTCTGAGAATGTCAAGTCACTAGAGTACCTCAGGCTTAGGTCAACGACACTTCGGAGTCTTGTTAGGTTAGCAGATTGGAGCGTTAATTTCAGGTCAATTGAGGGTGCACCGAAGCAGATCCAGCCACATTTGTTCAGATTAAATTGGAGATTCCATAGGGACGACCAAGCAGCCATTTTATCTAATTCCTTCTGTACTACATTCTCGAAGTTCCCTAAGTCATCACGTTGGAATGTATAAGCTACTTTTAGGTCATCTGCAAAGATGAATGGTTTCCCGTGCGTGAAGCAAGCGCATATGTCATTGATGTATAGTGTAAATAGGAGGGGTCCAATGACACTACCTTGTACTACACCAGAAGTGATAGGGCTAGGTTTGGAGGTTGCAGACCCGAGTTTAACTATTTGGGACCTATTGTTAAGGAATGATTTAAGCCATCCTAATAATGGGTCACGTATTCCTAAGGAGTTCAGTTTATTTGTTAGCAGTAAATGGTCAACACGGTCAAATGCCTTAGAAATGTCAAAGTAGATGACAAGTACTAGTTGCCGTCTGTCACGACTGCTGGTTACAAAATTGAAGAAGTCTAGGTGACATGTTAAACATGATCTGGATTTCAGGAATCCATGTTGGTTCGGACTTATGATGTTGCAGCTAAGCATATGTTTGATTAAGTTATCTTTGACTAGTCTCTCCATAATTCTAGATGCTATAGGTGTGATATTGATTGGCCGGTAGTTACTGACTTCAGTTTTCGAGCCAGATTTGTGTTTAGGCATAATGAATGTTGTCTTCCATATGTCAGGGTAAGTTTGGGTTTCTAGGGACATTGTGAATATTTTAAGCAGCAGTAGAGGAATGTCAGGGCCACCATATTTATAGAAGTAAGATGATATACCGTCGGTACCGAAACCTTTTGAACTTTTGAGGGTTCTTATAGTTTGGTTAATATCAGCGTAAGTGAATTGAACAGTGCTAATTTGGTTTGGTGTGAGTGGAGTTGGAGTTTGTGCCATTTTAGTAATAGGGTGTATATCGAGTAGCTGGACTGAGGGCTTAAGGTAGTTACCTGCAAACGTTTTGTTGAATAGTTCACATATGTCTGCAGAGTTAGTGCATAGCCTGCCTTTGTCTATGAGGAGAGAGATGCTGTGATTTTTGCGATTCATTCGCTTCCTTAAGATTTCTGTGAGTGCATATACTCTAGCAGGACTGGCTACTGCGATGCGTTCTTCCTTTCTCATACGGAAATCTTGAGCTTGTGTGATGGAGCTAAGGGTTTTAAGTATTAGACCTAGAGTGCCAAAGTCGTGGTGTTTGAAGTAACTTGTTGAGAGTTTCTTCAGTTTCTTACGATCCTTTGGTTTTATGAATGACTTTCTGTGTGGGGAAACCTTTAGTGTTTGGAGTGGAATGACAGCATCTAAGCATATGTTTGAGTTATGGTAGAAGATGGTTAGGGCTCTCGATAGGTCATCAGTAGTGAAGTATTCATCCCATTTGGAGGATCTTAGCATCGATTCAACTAAGGCCCAGTTTGCCTTACTATAGTTCCTATATATTACTTGTTGTGAAGTGGAGGTATGAGATGCATTGCTACTCAGCGGAATTGGCAGTGCACACATTACTGTTTTGTGGTCGCTCCCTGGGAACTCAGAACCTACTAGCGTTGAAAGGGGGCTTATATTGTGGCAGAAGATTAAGTCTAGTACGTTGTTACCTCTTGTGGGAGTAGTGACAGTTTGTTTCCAGCCAAGTATATCCAGTGTGTCTAAGAACTTATCAAATTTAGTTGGACCTGTGGGTATATCCCAGTTGATTTCAGGTAAGTTAAAGTCCCCACATAGGATCTTATGATCGTATTGTAAGTCGGTTAATTGCTCCAGAGTATTAATAAGTTGGGTCTCGTAATTACTAAAGGTGCCAGGTGCTCTGTAGGAGCATCCAATTAATGCTGTTACGTTATTTAAGTGTACATTAACCCATAGAGTCTCAGGCATGTTAAGTGTACTACTTTCTAGCTGTGATACAGTAAGTGCATTCAGAAAGTACATGAGACAACCCCCTCCCTTACCACCTTCCCTGTCACACCGAAAGTGTGTGTAGTTATCTAAGCTTATTTCTTCATCCAGGATGTCCGAATGACACCAAGATTCAGTGATGACAATTACAGGGGGTTTGTATATTACTGTGAGTGCTCTGAGCATCGGCAATTTATTTAGAACAGATCTAGCATTTATGAGGATTACGTAAAGATGAGAGTTGAAGTAGCATTTGAAGTATTTAAGTTCGTTAGTCAGCCCCGAATATGGTTCAGCACCCAGTAGTTCTGCTGGACATGACGATCCTATGTTAAGAGGAGTTCCAGCATCATGCTCACCTATGTCTATCGAGTTGTTGTGTGCTGTTTTCGGTGGAGAATTAGGAGTTGGAGTACTGGATTTGCTATAGACTAAGGAACTTTTATTTTTAGTTAGGTTACAGAAGTGGGTAGGGTTCTTTATTTGGCCTATACTTGTGCAAGTGTCAAGTGTGTCCAATGGATACGGGTGCACTAGACCGTTCCTGTTTTCATGCAAGGAGGGAGCCAGCACTAGTGGTTTAGGAGTGTTAACATCCCTACCAGCTGTTTTTTCAACGCTGACAGGGACGCGGGGGATAAAAAATGATTGGATCCTTGTGATGACCATGGCTTATTATTCCACCTATTGTTTGATGCTAGTTGTGTCCTTGTGTGGGTTTCGTGTGTACTGCATTTTGGGTTAGTTCCCAGCAGACTTGTACCATATATCCGGTCGAAATTTGTTTGTGTGCCATACTCTGAAGACCCTGAGTTGTTGGTAGCCGAGTTCTGACTATTACCACTTGTACTATTTAGGGTGACATCGTTGTGACATTGGATATTAGTGTGTGCCACGGTGCGATTTAGCACGTTGTGAGTGCTAATACTATTAACCGTGGGGAGTGTGGGCTTATTTAAGCTGCCACTGTTTTTGTTGGTATGATTTAGGGGCATATTTTCCTTATCTTTACCAATGGAATTATAGCTAGGAGAGGACAAAGTCGAATTTCGGGGGGTTTTAACTTTTTTTCTGGGGTTATTTAGTGGCATTTTAGATTCTGCGGTGATGGGTGGTATGGTTTTATTATTTATTTGGTTACAGTCTAGTGGCCTTTCGGCTGGTGTTGCACTCTGATGGGATATTTCTGTGTGTTTTGAGAGGGGTGATGCGGTGGGGTCTACTGTATCTTTCACAGGGTTGGGAATAATGGCTGCTTGCAATGTCCTATTACCTATTTCACAATTAGTCTTAGTGAGATAGTTGTGTGCGCGCCTTTCTATAACTGTTTTTTCCACCCCGACCTTTATATGTTTGTAGTTTCTGGCTTGCGATAGGGTGTGTTGGGAGTGAATGAATTTTCTGGTCTCTGCCGGTGTTTCGAACTGAAAACGAATAGGACAACACTTTTCATGTTGACTCTTCTTCAGCCTGTAGCACTTAGTCTTGGAGTTAGGCATTTTCGCTTCACTAAGTAAGATGCGCTGTACCTTTTTTAGTGCCTCATTGTCCGGAACGTTGTAGACAATAGCACTCAGTTTTGCGTCGAGTCGTTTTGTTACTTCTGTGGTAACAAAGTTAATGAGGTTATCTACCTTAGTTACCGATTCTGTGTCAAGCTTGTTAAGGTTTACCGTTTTCATGAGGATAGTTAGAGGTGTCAGTTCACAGACCTGCGATCTGATATCGCTGATCTGATCTGATAATTTGGATATCTCGGTATTGGTTTCGATGTTTCCAGCATTTACTGACTTGCTGTTTTTTATTTCCCTTAACTCAGCCTTAAGTTCTCCTATAGACAACTTTAGAAGTTCTATTTCTGAAGATAGTACTGAAAAAGAGCTTGATGGCTGGAGTTTCTCCATAAGCACATAAGGTGAAGGGAGGAGTTCTGTATGAGCAGAGGGTACCGAATTTTTAGGAGTAGTGCTAATACTGGCTGTCAGTACAGTTTTATCCTCAGTTTCAGCTCGACGCTTACGGCATACACGTGAGTTATGTGACTCACTATAGCCGTTTGTTGGGGGTGTGTTGCTTGATGTAGCAATCAAGGACGTTAAATTAGACACCAGTTTTACAGGGGATTGGGTTCGTTGCTTTTTACTTTGATTAACCATAACTATTAGAAATGAGAGTTAGTGGTTACAAGAATGGAAGTGGTATAGTACTTGTGCAAGTACTACAACAAGTTAAATTTTATGTAACGAATCACGTAAAAATGTAACGCAAACGTTGAACGTACCGCGATACAGAGTGCCCAGTCATGACCTTAAGCAAATATTTCGGGTCAAAATGGTTGTCAGTTAATGGTGTAGATACATATATATATATATATATATATATATATACTTGCTCCTTGGGATATTTCGGATCGTGGCAAATACCCATCAGGACGTTAGAAGGAAAAGAACAAGAAGTTCAGCAAACTGAAATCTTCTTTACGGCAATCCCAGTCAGTCGCATTTATATACTTAAGTCTACATAGATTCAATCATTCTTGTTTAATTCTACATAACAAAGAAGAAGAAGGAAGTAAAGATGTGCTAATAATCGTTAACTTGAATGGAAAGTTTGAGAGTGTGAGCTTCTGCAGTACGAAGAAGACAGAAACACACTTCTTCTAGTAGATTTCCGTTTACTTTGTAAGTGACTGAATGATGGATGAGTCAGTTGAGATACTGTGACAGGTGTTGACAAGGCCTCAGTTATGGCGATTTTGATGAATCAGTGCCTCCTCTCCACCATAGCCATGCTGAATAATGTTCTCTAATACGTTTTAATAGGACCCTCACAAAACGACCTATGTATCTAGCTGTTCACGAGCAACTATTTTCTTACCCTTTTGTAATCGATATTCGGACCCTTGAACTTACACATCACGTTGAAATTAATATCACACCTATAACCTCCTTCTCCGTTATTATAAGAAATTAAATAATAATAATCACAAAAAAACTTGGAGGATCTGGACTTCGCCGATGATGATATATGTCTGATTTCCCACAAACTGGAAGATATGCAAGTGAAAAGCAACAAGTTGGCAGAAGAAGGATCAAAGATAGGACTACAGGTGAACATAGAGAAAACAGAGGTGATGAAGATTCTTGGCCAACAGCAACAACAACGACAGACAACAATCAGCCAGCGTGAATGGGAGAAACCTGAAAGAAACAACCTCCTTCACCTACCTGGGAAGCATCGTTTCAACTACAGGCGAAACTGACGAGGATATCAAAGCAAGAATCGGGAAAGCAAGGGAAGCTTTCATTACTCTCAAGTCTGTGTAGAGTTCAACAGCGCTCACCATGAAAAATGACATCCGGATTTTCAAGTTCAATATGAAGTTAGTGCTACTCACTATACGGATCAGAGACTTGCACTGCGCGTCATAAAGAACATCTCAAACAAACTACATACCTTCATCAACAGCTAGCTGCCTTCTCCCAAAACTCAAGATCAGATGGCCGGCCAGAAAAGATCAGCAACAGGGATCTCTGGCAATGAGCGAAGCAACCAGGAACCGATTGTACAACAAATAGGCAGGAAGAAATGGAGATGGATTGGCTGGTCATACTCTGCGGAAACCATCAAGTGACATCACTAGACAAGTCACTGTTCGAGTGTGACCCGAAAGGGAAGCGGCGAGTTGATCGTCAGTTCGAGGGTTACTTGGAGGTCATGTGAAGAGAAGATGAAAGCGTGTGGGCAGACTTGGAGCCAGGTGAAAACTCTAGCAGAGAACCGAACGCAATAGAGACGCCAGATTGAAGCCCTGTGTTCCTCTAGGAATTAAAGGAAATAATAATCATGATTATATCTGTGTAAACTTATGTATATAAGTGGGACTGTACAGCTGCGCTTTTGAGAATTAAATCGCCGAAAATATCAACAACTTTTCTGTTGAACTTCATGTTCTCTTCTCTCTAATATTTTTAGTTCATTAAACTCTCGTCATTCTTCATATGTGATTTATTTTGATTTTTGACAACATCAACGTTTATGTTAATTTCTTTACACTTCTCTGCTTGATAGATGAAATTCAACCAGAAGATTTCATTAAACGTGTGGAGCTTAAGGAAAAATATGAAGAGTTGGTTGAATGCATAGACTGTCATCAGCCGACTATACAACATATAGACGGGGAGTTGAATACAATCACTCAGAATGTACACTTAGGCAGGACTATTCCTACTACATGGAATAATCTAACACAACAATTGACGCCAAAAGTATTTCGTGAATTGGTAAGCATTCTTTTTGTTACCGAAATAAAATAAGAAACTTTCATTGATAATTACTAATTACATTTATGAAAAGAATATTATTATTAAGTTCTTGAGTTCCTGGTGCAATATACAGATTCAAAAGAACATCACTGTTTTTTCCTGTTCTCTGACGTCATCTTCAGCTGTCTTCACGATTGTCTGTTGGCTGTCATCTCCTCTTCGCACAATCCCTCCATCTAATCCACTGACCCATGCCCAAGTTGTCGTTCTCCGTCAACATCTTTTTCGCTATATTTTTACTGGGCAATAATTTCTTGATTGGTTCGCTGACCGCCAGAGTTTCGTGTTGTTAAATCTTTCTGGTCAGTCGGTAGTCCAACTGGTCTTCATTGTACTACTGGTGAAGGTAGAAGATGTTGAGGAGTGTTCATTGACCTGTTATAAGTATTTTTCGTCAATCATGAGCCAAGTTCCTGGTCTATATATAGGAGAACGAAATGACCGACAGACTTAACAGTACCGTCGATACTAAGTGTTTAAGAAAGCAAAAAATGCTCCGCATTCATGATGACAGTATAAACTTGAAGGTTAAACTAATCAGAGATAATTTCATCTTTTGATATTGTCTAATGACCTTCAGGAGTTGGTTTGTAGGGATTTGAATTGTTTCAAGTTTGACAGGAGGTTCACATTAGTTGGAAAATCATTGGAAAACCAGCTAGGAGTACTGGACAACCGTTTCGTCCTGTGAGGTTCGAATCTAGGACCTGTAGATTGCAAGGCGGGCTCTGTTCAGACTGTTCAGCCATTAGGACCCGATTCAATACCCAGTCCATAAATTCTTACTTCTATCCATTCGGGATTTTAGTGCGACTAGCACCAGCCACTGTCATCTGTGGTGAGCAGCTGTCCGCACTCCTTATCGGATGGACTGCACTAGTAACAACTTCTCAGTGGAACTCAAGGAAACGTTTTCCTGCAAACAGTCATTAGTCAGCATCAGGTGAGAAGGAAAAATACAGAGGTTTGAGTCGACAACCGACGTAGCGCTTGACACCTGACGATATCTGATTGACTAGAGATTTTCGAGAATAGGCAAAAATGGGCACGTCAGTAATGGGTCAGTAGTAAACGATGCATTCATAACAGTGGTACATTAGGAAATAAATGTTTCCCTCGATATTATGAATTACTTGACAACAAAGGCAAGTTTCATGTGTGCTTGTTTGACGAATCTGAATCTAAAAAGACTCACTTCACTCACCGTTTGTTAAAGTCAAGAGTATTTAGGTCTTACATGACTCTTCTGTGATTGGATTCTTTTGTGTTTCAAGTGATGCATGAGAATTAAAGCTTCAGCTTTGACGTTTCACAAGCAGTGGTGTCATTCTGTTTTACGCTAAATGTGCCTTCTTTATCAGCCTTATCACCACCTAAGCAGTGGGGTTCAGTTATGCATCAGCCGAGTATCCACCCTCAAACCACATGAGGCATGGCTGGCGACTATTGTACCCGTGAACCGCCGAAACATTTAGTTGATAACTAATTAATTAATTAATTACTGATAACTGATTTTTACTGTATGTTGCTAATTCGTTTACTTTTTCTTTCGCTTCTTCAACTTCTTTGCCTTTCTGTTATAGATTACTGCATCCTATGAAGAGCTTACAAAGAATCTAACACCAACCATCAGACGCCTTTTAGAATTTCAATCGTTTGACTTTCTGCTGACGTCTGAAATTGGTCAGCTACCAAAACCATTTGCTATTGAAGGTGCTATGAATTTCATATCAGTAAGTGAATTATTCACTCGGATAACTATATATGTATATATATGTCAGAGTGAGACAGTTTGACATGTCAGGTGGTCTTAAACGGAAAGCTCAGTGGATACAGCAGTTAGCCAAGGCTGTCTACTACCACCAATGGTATTCCTAGTTATGGTCGACTGACTCTTGGAATGAGAGGACATAAATATGTTGAACCAACGAGATAACTCTAGAAGATCGAGACTTTGTGGACGACTTGTTTCCAAAGACCCACAAACTCGAAGACTTACAAGCGAAAGTCAAAGATGCTACAGAAGAGTCACGCAGCAAAAATATAATAATAATAATTTGCTTTTATTGCAGAAACAGTACTAGTGATACAGTGTGGAATTTTCAGCAGTTTATCTACAATGTTGCATCTAATTTCGCCAAACATTTAAAAGGTGCATTTCAAAAATAAAAATTTAAAAAAACAACAACAAAAAAACACAAAATAGCAAAAAAGTGCGAAAAAATACCAAAAAGTAGAATGAAAAATATTTTTTTTTTTTTTTTTTTTTTTCAGTATTTGGGTAGTGGAAGCTATGATATGTTTATGCGTGGTGAACAGTAACAGCTATAATCATACAAGAAGTTATGAAATGATATTTAAGAATTTTTATAGCCAAGAGAATCAGTTAATTTGATTGAACTACACTAAACAATCATGAAATAAACATTTCAGGGTTTTTATTTTTATTGTCAGCACTAATGCAGTGCTTGTTGTGGTAGAGTGAGTAATCATGCATAATACAAAATTTTTAAGATGGTGATAGTGGCGTTCACAAACAAGATTGTCAGTTAAATAGTGCAGAACAAAGAACAACCACAAAACTAATATTTCATGATGGTTAATGACAGGATAATTTTGTAATACTCATAGTGATAATATAGTCGGGACCAGTAGATACACAAAAGAAGGAATAGAATAAAGAATAAAAAAGTAAGCCAACGATAATAATTTTAGGCAGCTAAGTATGCTTAAGAAGGCTGTTCACTATAGAGTACGAATAGGAGAATATAAGGGAGAAATAAAAGGGCCAAAATTATGTTATTAACAACAAATCAAGTCATAGGTTTCGCGCTTAACATTGTCTCTGTCACTTAGACCACTGGTTAAATATGGTATCGTTGAGTTTCTCTACTTGGTTGTACAAGCGTATATTATTTTATACTGATTTCTGGTTCTACCTGATGAGATGCAAGGAGAGAGTTGGGAATAGAGGGGGTGTTGGGGTTCGGAGAGTATGGTTTTAGACCATTTCCCGCATGTATTCAGATGCCTTTCTACTAATGTAATTACTTCAATTAAACATAGAGACCACGGAACTGATGCAAATAACCAACCAACCCATCAACCAACAACAAGAATCATCGGTAACTATGAACAGGAGAATTTTGCAAATTATTACTTCCTCTATTCAGCTAAGTAGCATCGTTTCAGCCACAGACAACGGCAAAGATAAGGAATCCAAAATCAGTCTGGATCAGAAAGTCAAGGGAGACCTTCATGGCTTTAAAATCAGTATGAAAATCTTTACTCCTGAGCATAAACGATACAATGTAGATTCTCAACAACAATGTTATGTCAGTTAATTCTTCCGTATAGGTCAGAAAATTAACACATACGTCACGAAAAGCATTTCTGATAGGCAGCTGCAGACCTTCATCAAAAGGCGCCTGACAATCTTCTGCATAATCCAGTCCACTACAGTTGGTATGCGGCTTTGTTTAACTCCGTTGCAGATCTCTAGATATTTGGTATTTCCATATAGCTGTTGGATGAGCTTGGTAAGGATTAAAGAGACTGCAGTGCTTCGTGTTTATAGATTACTTCACGGTGAACTTTGTCAAAAGATGTCAAAGGAGCTCGGAAACCCCATTTGTTGGATAATAACGGTGTAAGCAGGTTCGAGCACAAAAATTTCGTATCATAAGGATCTCAATTTGTCAACCAGGTAGGCTACATCATCTGGTTGATGTGGTGATGAGTTGTTATTCGATAAACAGACACTACAATGACTCTTCTGTTTATCCGGGGAATTTAAGGAAGTACAGATGAACTTTAACGGAAAGAGGATTCTTCACCTTTCCTAAGCTTTCTATGATTATCTTCTTATATGAATATGTTTTTCTCCTTCGTTTCCTACAGGATCAAATTGACAATATACAAGGCGAAATGAACTGGTTACGTGGCCATCTTGGACCAATTATCCTCTCTGAGGATAGATGTCATCTCTTTGCGAGTAGAGACTATAACGACAGTGATATTATTAACAGTGATAATAACAATTCAGAAATTGTAGTGTTTGATGAAACTGTCAGGGGATTGGCTCAACTGGTTAACTACTGTATGACTATTTATCAAAATCTACAGTTGGAATGTTTGCCAGCCGTTCAAACGTATCATGACACTATGAATTATGCGGCATGCTACTTGAAGACTATTCAACGTCAAATAGATGTATTATTAGTACCGTTGGCAGAAGAAAATAACAGTAGACAGACAATTGTCAGCAGTCGAGATGTTAATGAAGAGGTTACTTTAGTCATTTATGAAAAACTGGAGACTCTTCGAACTGGTAAAGACCAGTGTTTGGTAAGTTTGTAAATTTGGATTCGATAGCTGCTTGAGTGGAGTTGGTTTGATTGGAAATTTTTGCCTGAAGCTGCTGATTACTTCTTTAGATTTATTATCTCTTGCTTATCGTCGAAATGGTGAGATTTCTTTGTATCACTTTATAATCTGTTGTTGTTGTTGTCTACCTTCGTCTACAGTCTGGAATGGAAGTTGGTATAGAAGTAACTTTAGTCTCTTGAGAAGTGGTCACTCGATGATCAACGTCTCTATCTTGCCACTAGCATCTTTTGGTCACTTATAAGTAAGAAAGGGGGAATGTCATGAATTTCGTCTTTCTTCAGTTGAAGAAATGGAATTGTCTGAAGCTTGAAGAATAACTTGGTAAAAATGGGAGACATTTATTTCTTGATACGTATTTATAACAAGTAACAAATCTTTCTATATAAAACAGAATTTAATGAATTCCTCGAATTTCGGTAGAACACCTCCTCAGCTGATGAATTTTCTACATACAAGGAAAGATATAAAATTAGGATAAAATGCCTTATGCGGTTCAGTTACATCACTCAGATAAACAGTTTTTTAGTTATCAGTGAGTGAAAGGACTTGGATATATACCAAGAATTGTGAACTAGACAATATTGATAATAATAGTAATGCGGTGCGTCGGTGGCATAGCTGTAGAGTACTCGCTGACCGCTCAGGTGGTCCTGAGTTCGATCCCCGGCTACAGATGCACTCCTTTACCTCCCTAAGCCAGTAATAAAAAGCTGCTGAAGAGGGAAGTTTGGGCATGAGTCTAGCAACCCCTATCCTGTAAAAATAATCACCACTACTACGGAAACTTTAAGTCTGTAGCTTGAAGCCCTATGTTCCACCGGAAATATGAAGGAAAAATTTCTATTATTAACATGGTAGATTCAGAGTGGCGACCGTTTCCCCTTGTACACACAGAGATACCTGGTTCATAAACTCTAATCGCACAAGCATTCACAATTTTCCTATTTGTCTGTCTCCTGATAACAGTGTGAATTGTTTAAGAGAGCATCAATATCATGTCCATCGTCCAAGACATGCTTTGTTATCGAAATTTTAGGCGCTTTGACTTCAACCATTTCCACCGAATCTGAAACGCGTAGACAATTACTTTTTGATGTGCTTTTGTTCTCTGAGCTGGATGGTTAATTTGCGAAGCTTTCATCACCCTACTAGATGACATCTTCAACGCATACTTCAATTTGAGCTACAAATCTTCTCTATCATATCTAGACAATTACTTTTCTGTACAACTTGTGTATTTACTTCCACATACACACTAATCAAATTGATAAAGGCAGTGTGAAGTGCCGAGGATTGGCAACTAGTCGTTCGCAGATTGCTGAAGCACCCACTTAGTGGTGGTGGTGGTGGTGTTAATGAAGATGAGTTTTGCAGCACAACTAGTTCTCTTCATAACTTTATCGAGTCGTCGTTTGTACATAATTTTCTTTGAATAGTTCACTTTTATATACAAATGTCTTTAGAATTGTTTGAATAGTTTCACTGGAGCTCCTTTCTTTTGAGGTATTCTGAGATAGGATATCCTTCAGAGTCTTTGCTTTATATTCACACTTGTACCGTTAGAATAAATGTTCTACTGATGAATTCATTCAATCCTGCCGTGTTGACTTTTACTGCTTGTTTCCAACATAACACTCTAGTTGTATAAAAGAATCTGACTGAGAAAAAAACAACAACAAAAAAGAAACTGGAAAACATTAAGCACATAAGTAACCTTATACCTGATACCAAAACAGCATTGATTTAGTATACAGGAGTTGTTCACTATAGAGTAGTCAATATCAGTTCGAGAACCACTGAAAACCATCATTGAGTACTTGAGAGGTATTTCTCTGTAATTTGGCGCTCATCTTCAGTACCATTGCTCACCACCAACGGGGAGGGTGGGGTGTTTCGAACGCGAAACCTCCTGTTTACAAGTCAAGTTCCTAGACTATTGAGACACTGGTAACTAACTTATGAAGAATGGTTCAATCTTTGACATTAGTCAGCTTTTCGGAACACCTTTTTTTTCTAGGCCAAATTACTACCACATATATACATATATGTATGTCCAAACCAAGTTGACTTTTAACAGTTTAAGAAAATTTGGGCATTGGGTATATTATATTCATAATAATAATGGTTTTTCGTATTTGATTGTATGGAGGATTTCACCATGAGCTGACATCAGTAAGAGAACCACTGGAAATCCTGGAAGTACTGGACAGCTGTTGTGTCCTAGTGCTTGGGACTCTTCAGCATTACGCACCCACCGGGATTTGAACCCAGGACCTTCTGGTTACAAGGCTGGCGAGCTCGTAGACCATTGAGCCACTGGGTTTTCCAGTGGTTCTTTAACTGATGTCAGCTCATGCTGAAATCCTCCATACAATCAAACAAAATCCCTACAAAACCAATACTTTTTCGTATTTCCCAATAAATGAAAAACAAGGCGATATAGCTATTTTTACTGACGTTTAGCAGCTACTTAAGGCTAATAGCTTTATCAGAGTAGTATTAGTAAACCAGAATTTACAAAATCTCAGCGTATTTATTACAACTTCATCATCGTCTCTCAGTGTTGCGTCATTTTTGCATTGTCAGATTGACCAACCAATTGGTAAAGACAACAAAACCAGGTGTAGATTGTTGGATTTGATAAGTGTGTAAAATTAGAAAAGAAGCATATGTTTACATACTGAAATAGCTTATCATCCATTTATGTTGATTTTGTCATTTCGTATGAGAGGAAAGTGTTGTAACCAGGTCAAATTCAATTTTAGTCTATCATTCCTATTCAGACAAGGTGGATTCCATTGGATATGAAGTACTTCTGACGATACTAGAAGTTCTTTGTGATTTCTAAAATTTTTCTGGCTGATGATTTCAATATTGTCAAATTATTAACTCTTCTGTTTCCTCTGATCTATTTTTATCTATTTTATCATCTGTACAATCAGCAACTTTTGAACAGTGTTCAAAATAATCATCGAAGCATTGTTGATAAGCTGAATAATTCCGTAGAACAATTTCAATATTCAATTCACAAATTGCCTATGGCGAAACAAGATTCCTCGACAGCAGATACAACAACCACAACATTATATAATATTGAAAATATCCGGAATTCAGTTATTTCTGTTGAATTAATCTCTGAAAATTTGATGGATTTTACAAATCAATTAAAGAATATGATTGATCAATATGATGAAGTCATTACTAGTCTTAGTCAGACGAATGATGAGAAGGCAATTTCAGAATTATCCAAAGATAGAAATGTATTCGATTCATTGGAGGAGGAATACACTCAAGAGTCGGACTCACTACAGGTTAGTTGTAACCCTATGCCAGCATACACATTGTCTGTCTATTGTTTATCTTCATGAAGAATTATTCTAGACATAATTAATAAATGTTGGTTTTCGGGGATTTCCCTAAAGGTTAACGGTTTGATTAAAAGTTGACATCAGTTAGAGACACAATTGGAAAACCAATACTGGAGTTCTAGATAACTGTTTTATTCTTGTTTTCCGGAGTCTTCAGCAGTACGCACCCAGTGGTTAAGACTCCACCACCGAGTCAGACCAGTTATTCTACTATAGTATTAGCTAGAGGTCGTGACATATACAAAATACCAGAAGTTAGGATTCATGAATTATTGGAACAGGTCACAATGGGTTCACCCCCCTCTGCAAGGGTTCGTAGTGATGAAAAGTCCAAAACTAGGACGACAAAGCTGTCCAGTATTCCCAAGTGTTCTGCTAGTTTCCTAACTGACGTTATGTATAATTGCGTTTTACTCAAATCCATTTGAAATTACCGTTATCAAGACCTAATATGGTTGACACATTGCAAAGTTGACTGATAGTGTAACAACAGAAGACAAGGGCCAGGCAACAGATCGTTTTATTATGAAAATCAACACGTATTTATACATATTTCAACTACATTATTATAGACAAACGCAGTCATCTGATTGGTTGTTTATCAGAAGTTAGGTAGACAAACGCAGGCTTCTGATTGGTTGTTTCGGGATTCCTTGACAAATAGAGTTCTCTATCTGCGAATCATATTTTGCCACGTTGACTTTGCTGTGATTGGTTGTTGACTCAGCCTTGTTCATATTTTCTCACGGCCCATATTAGTGACCTAGACCTTAACGTAGATTAGTGCCAACCAATCGGCTAGCAGCCTGCTCTCACCACAATAGAATTTAGTCTGCAGCGGCAACGAGGACTGCACGAATGACACAGCCTCATTAATATTTAGTAAACGAATTCTTAAGACGAAGTTAGGATTTGTTCACATGTGGTAAATGACTTTGAAAGCTGCCTCGTTAACATCAGTCTTGTGCTCTGTATCCACAAGATCAGATAGAATAGCGCTACGAATGGATTTTGTTTGCCGTTTACTTAACCACGCAGAGTGATGTTCGGAAATCCGATGAGAATCACGCCTAATTGTACGGCCTATGTAACTGGCTCCCCAAGAGCAAGAATAACAACGATAATCTGTTCAGAATGAGATGGCACCGTCGTAAATTCCGTCGACAGGCCATCATCCATCTGCCTACAGCCTAAAGAAACTATTAAGTTTGTGTCCAGATCAATTTTAATAAACTTGTGAATGTCACACAGTCATTTAATGACAGCGGACTCCAAATTTAATTTACAGTGTTCAGAAACTATAATTATGTTGTCCGTACGTAGAGAATCCAAGTTTAAATAAATAAATAAATAAAATACCTGGTTACAATGGAAGGTGAAGAAGACAATGAGTAACAATGTCACTTGCTCAGCTCAAACCATAAAAACTAGAGACAAGCACTGTGTAAAAAGGAGAAGAGGTTACATCCAAAGATTACTTAACCAAGTGATACAGAATGAAGAAATTCGATTACCAGGGCAAGGAAGGACTGATAACTGTTTCTTTGTGAACATATAAATCGGGTTTCAAGCATTCGATAGCGATTGCTTCGGCTGATGCACTTGAAGAGAATTGAATTATTTTGTCTGTTGAGAATTTTAAAGCGTTTCGTAACGTCCACCTCATGACCTGCATATCGACGAGATGTCTAGCAATGGCACAATGGTAATGTTTATAAGATTTTCTAAATTAACTTGATCAAATCAAGTGTATGGCGGCTGTATAAATATATATATACATATATTACTGATGGATAAGAGTAGTATAGTTGGAATCCTCTTGGAATCAGTTAGTAGTGTCTGTGATTTGCAATTTTTGAATACTTAATTCCCCTCACTTTTTATATAATTTATTCTCAAGCTTAAGTACCACCAAATGCTATTCTTTAAGTTTGAATTTATTCCTGCACAAATAAAATGGTTTTATATAAATGATCACAAGCGTAAAGTGAGTTATATTTGAATTGTCTTTCTGTTGTTGTTTTTTTAATTTCAGAATTCTACTTTACCCCAAGACATCATTAATTGTATTAGTGAATTTGACAAGAATTATGAAAGACTACTTAATTCATGGTCAATACTTCCTTCAAGCTTGAATCGATTCAACGAAGAGCCTATGGAGGATGAGACAACAGTTGTTGGCAGTGGCAGTTTACTTCCTCTGATTGTTAGTCAACAGCACGATAAGGTTGATACTAATGATTACAGTGTCAGCCACATCAGTGATGGATTACAAGTGATGTACAGATGGTTCGAGGAATTAGATCACCTTGAAGGTAAATGAGATATATATATATATGTATATATTTGAACAAGACATATAAATGGACAATATTGCTGCTTTCAATTAGGTAGTCTTCAGGCTTTATTCTAATTTAACCAAGGATGGCGAGTTTGTGCTTCGAATAATAATAATAATAATATGTTAAATGTTTTGAACGTCAGTAAAAGCGATGATTTTAATGATAACAAAGTAATGATAATAAAGTTTATGCACGTGGTGATAAGAATAACGAAAGTAGTAATATTTGTGTATGTGTAGGCGATTCAATAAATAAATAATTAGGTCAAATCCTAAAAGTTACGTATTGTTAAAGTTGGAGCTGGCAGAGATAATCAGAGTTTAAATAAATACCATATAAGTACGAAGGAAATGGAAAATAAGAAAGGGATGAAGGGTTTAAAGTAGACTTTACTTAGGCAATGCAATGGAGGGACAATGGTAGAACAAACCTGTTTTGTGTGCAAAGACTAGGATTGTTATGTAGAATTCTCATAACTTCGACTATGTGTAAACGGCGGGGTCGAATTCCTTTTGAAAAGCTCGATGGAATGCGATAGATAACTTTGAAGACAATACTTCTGTCTACTTGGTGACCGCTATCATCAATCAAATGAGTCAAAATAGAAATTCTCACAAATAAATGCCTTTGTTGGACTATCTATTTGTTCGCCCTGTATTATAACATATTATATTAGTGTTATATAACTTTTAAGATTTGACCTATTTTATTTATTCATTTATTGAATTGTCTACATGCACACACATATTACTACCTTTGCTATTCTTATCACCGCCTGTATAAACCTTATTATCATTATTTTGTTATCATTACAATCATCGTTATTACTGACGTTCTAAACATTTAGAACATTATTATTATTATTATTTGATCCACAAACTCACCGCCATCGGTTAAACTTTTTATAAGATATAATTGAAATCAACAATATTGCTCGTGTATACCATTTTCTTATTATAGCCTGATTCTACACCGTATTTTTGGTACAAGTATGGCATTTTTAGGATGTGATATCGGTAGCCCACTGATATCGGGCTTGCGTCGGCAGGGGATCGAACCCCAGATCTTACGCACGGTCGGTGAGAGTCCTAACCTCTGTGCTACCGACGTATTGTTCTAATATGAATAAGGGGAATATTTAAAGATGTATATATATATATATATATATGTCCGTGATTCGCTTTATCGACTGGTCATTTTATAGAAAGCCTACTTGAAAAGGAATAGTATTTAAAATTTGTCACAGTTTCTGTTGGCTAGAGTATAGGAGAGGCTTGCTAAAGTGTTTATTTAAGAGGATTCAGTATATTTATTAAATGGCTGGTGTTATAGATTAAAAAGATAAATAAAAATATTGGTAAATACTCTTATCAGAAAAGGATATCGTTTAAAAATTTTGAAATCACTGTCGAAGTCAGTTAGTTTTTGAAAATCTGCACTATATTCCATCCGTAAGAAAGGTGTTTTAATTAAATGATCTACCATACAATAGGGGAATGAAGAGGAGGATTTTAAGATAGTAAGTGAACTCGGTCCTCCATAGAACCACCTACTATTGCAACCCGGATTATAGTTATTGAAAAAGCTGAAAATATGCTCAACTACAAGCCTGAGCATTGATTGTGCAAGTGATTATGTCACATCCCACTCTAAATGAAAATTTATATGGAAGTGTTGGGGGGGCGGGGATTAATCGGCTTCACAAGTAAGGGTGGGAGAGCATAATCTCAAATGGTTAGGAAAACAGATGAATTTCGAGAAATCGATAGACTACCAATTTCATCTATAGCTAAAAACCTATTCGATATGAACTACAAAATTGATACCAAAACAGCTTTTAAAGTAATTTCTAAAACCGATCAAGGGCGTTTATTGAAATACGTTGAGGCGATAGCTATTCATTAAAATTACGCCTCAACCCCCCCTTGTGTGTACAAACACAGTGTATTATTATTCTCAACCTACCTTAGTAGTCCTTATCTGATTAGATAAGCAAATTTAGTGTTAATTATTCTTATTATTCACCTTGTTTATTTTAATTGACTTTCCACTTTTCATATGAACAGATCTGAAAAGCCAATGTGTTTAGTCATATTGTTGTTCGAAATGTATTACATAAATACATCATATTTGTCGGAAAATCTCTATCTTCTAATAACACTCCCCTAATCTACACTTCCGTATGTGGCTCATTCTATTCCTATTTTCGGTCAAAGTACCACATTGGCTCTTACCAAAGACTTCTTTGCTTAATTTCTTCACTGCTAACGTAACAATTTCAACAAATAAGAGTAGTGTTGAGAAAACTGTGATGGTCGAAGACTTGAAATCTACACAGATAACCTTTTTTCAATCATGGTATTTCAGAATCAAATATTCTATTGCGCGATACGCTTTGCGTTCAGTCGACAAATGGATGTCTTGCCTATTTCATAAGTCACCAAGTTGAATGACCCAAAGCGGCCAAACTTTGTTAACATGCTATCCTCAACTAAATCATCTAAGCTGAAATAATTACTCATTTAAGTGAAATGGGTTGTGTGCCAGATGAATTTAGTGTCTATCTTCAGATGACATATCAGCACTCATTAATTTCTGAAGTGAACATTAAGGCAGCTGACCTTATCTTAAGATGTAGTCAGGGGACTCTTTATCAAAATAATATCTGTGATGTTATTCAAGTACTTTACTTCGCCGACTAATGTTAATTGTCATGCTTCCTGTTGTGTTAGCAGAAAGTGTTCGAAAGGCGATCACTGGTTGTGGATATATTTTAAAGAAGTTATTCTTTTGACTTCTGCAGTGACTGTGTAGTGTATATGCGCTTCATTATACTGAGCAACTGGTATATAATCAGTGATGTAAATTAACTGTTTCTATTAGACGGTTGGAGGCTGTAGACAGGGAGTCATGCCTGGTTGAAGGTAGTCAGCAGATAGACAGATAGATAGATGGATAGATAGACAGACTTGGCCTCTGTCTGTCTGTCTATTTTCAATAAAGAACTTTCCACCGATGTGCAGCAGTTCTAGTCGCCACACTCCCTCCATGTAGCACACAAAGCAAGAGAAGAAAGTAGAAGAAATGCAAAATAGAGAGAGTGAACAGGGATATAAGACAGAGTCATAGTAATAACGAAGAACAATATAGTTTAATTGGAAATTATAAGTCATAAGGAGTGCATGCATCTGCGACAGCCATTGGATTTTACCGTCCCGAGGACCCCAACCAGTCAGGAAGTCTAAACCTTTCTACGTGACTGAATGAATGAATTTCGATCTTACTCTATTTCATGTAGCCTAAAACGTCAAAATCCTATAAGTAATTGCAATAGAATGGGTGTGTTACATTCTTTAGTAAATGAGTCTTTCGCCAGACTGTTATCTATACATCATTCTACATGATGCACTGCAACACACCGAAATTCGCTTTGTGTTTATTAAATATGTATATATATATATGCACTTTTATTCGAAGAAATCATGATAATAAATAGCGCATTTATGCAATATGCAAACACTATCTAGGGTCAAGTAAATGTACGTCATTGTTTTAACTACTCAATTTCAATTATTTATAATAAAGAGGTATTGCAACATACCGACAAAGATATGTATATATATATACATATAGAAATGGGATACACATAAAGTCGAAACGAGGAGACATGTGATACAAGGGGGATACACCCATTTTTTGTTTCATCTGAAACGTTTTATTATCGTTGTTGTTATTGTTAGTTCTATTGAGTAATTTTGGCGAATATCTCACATATTGATTGAACACTGTGAAAGGGCTTTTATTTTCTCATAGTCTGTTAAGCAAGTATTCGATTTGTACTGGCTATTTCATATTATTATTATTATTATTCATTTAATAGACATATTAGACACACAAACACAGAGAGTGAAGCAGTATTACTGTTTACCGGATGACAAGGATTCGAATACAACTTATTGTCGTTCATAATTATATCATCAGTTGTAACTGCACAACTTCAATTCACTCGTGAACTGGGAAGTCAGGAAGAGCAGTTTCCAATGTTAGTCTGTAGCAGAAAAAGTGAAGAAGATTGGAAGATAAACATAGATGCGTTTACAGAAAACCCACCTCTTAAAAGTGATATTTAGATTTCGAATGATCCATCCCTATGTCACTAAAAATAGGATTGGTGAAATGTTTAAGTAATAGGGTGCAAAAACCAAGTAGTATCAAAGAAAATCTAAGACATGAAGTGAGGCATATAAGAGAATCTTTGATACTTAATAATTACCCTAATAAACGAATCAGCAAGTATTTTCGAAAATGTAAAAATAAAATAAATAATAATATTAGTGATAGTGATATTAATCGTAATATTAATGACGAAATTTATGTTAAACATGTGTGTCAGAATAATGACAACATCAACGATAGGGAATATAAATCATCAGTAGTACTTCTGTACAAAAAAGGGACCTTTGAAACCTCACGTAGAATTCTCAGTGATGCAGAAATCAAAGTGCCATTCAAATGACCCACAAACGCAGTTAGAAACAAGCTTTGTTGGTGAAAGAATCCTGTGAAATAACCCATTAAACAAAGCAATTTAGTTCATATAATACCCTCTGCTGGATGACTGTCAGGTTAAGTACATAAGTCAGAGCTGCAGCAAGGAGGCAGTTAGACTAGCGGAGTGCGAAACCTAGCGAAATCTAGATTAGTTCACCCTAATAAGATAAGAAATCTTGAGAACAGTTTAGCCGTAGATAGCACGACATGCAATTACCCACGACTGCACAGATAGGAAGGGGTAAGTTGACAGTCCCGAAATCTAATATAACAACGGGCTGGAGAGACAGATTGATGACGGAAGCTTTATCTCAATGAATCAGCTGAAAATACGTTTAATAGGAAGAAATCAACACCTGTCCACTAGGGCATCTGGAAAATTCTACTACATCTTCGATGACGAATAGGAAAGTATAAAGAAAACTATAAAACTGAAGTTTCAAAGTTGTGTGGTTATGATTAATATGATTACGAACACTAACAAATTGTATTCGAAACGTCATCCAATAAGCTGTAATATTGTTTCACTGTGTAGTATATCTAATAAATAAATTAACATGGAATTGCATGCCACCAAAGTACTCAAGTTTTGCATATATTTTAATAAAACTGATTTTGTTTGCTGATGGTTGATGTGGAGGAGGGCGGTAAGCGTTCGATGCAGACACTTAAAATAACTATGGATTTAGGTTAATTGGATTGAACCTTTTATGAGTTATTGTAATTGGTCACAACTACAGAGCGAAAAATAAAATGAGTTGTGTATAAGGATAGAAGTTGTACTGTAGGCAGAAATCAACTAAGTCTTTCTTCCGAACCATTGATGAAGGCATCTCACTTATCTCTTAAAAGAAAATCACATCTTAAAGGTGCTTCTCGTCTCCTTAATGTTTATATGCTGGCCCACATGTTCTTGTGGAGTGAATGGCTTCATCCCAGACGCGCCATGAAGTATGTAAGCACTTCGTGAAACATTTTTTGGATCGGTTAGTCAGATGAAAGGTTTTCGCGAAATAGTTCATCAAAAATAATACTATCATTTCTGATAATTTTTCAAGAAGGTTTTCTTCACCAAAAGCATTTTCAACGGATGAATGCACACTTTCATCAACAGCTGACTCAAATAGCGTGTCGGCCAACCAGAAAGAACCAGAAACGAAGAACGCGGAGAGCAAACTGGTCAAGAACCAATTGCTCAAGAGATATGCTGACGAAAATACAAATGGTTAGGGTACACTCTGAGGGGACTGCTGGGTGACATTATATGGCAGATCCTCACTTGAGTGGAACCTGAATGTAGAGCGAAGTGTTGAGTGTGAGTTCCGGGTTGATATGGAGGAAACTGTGTTAGAAGGAGGCGATCTGTCTCTGTTTTCGACATAGAACTTTGCACAAATGTGCGGAAGTTCAAGTCGCCACATTGTGTAGCACGCTAAGCAAGAGAAGAAAGTACAAGAAAAGCATAATAGAAACAGTGAGCAAGGTTGAGACAAAGGAGTAATAAAGAAATACAAAACAGTTTCATTGAAGATCCTAAGTCACAGGGAGTGGATGCATCTGCGCCACTGAGAACGATTTTGAGCCATGTCACCAATTGTTTCCAACCATAGAAGGAGGCGATGGCAGCTTATGAGAAATCGTGGGGGCAACTGAAGAGGACTGCATGGGATGTGCTGTTGAAGCTCTATGTCCCACTTGGAATCCAAAGGAACAATAGTGATTTTCATTATTTTGAATTTCCTGTCTATTGAATAACTTCCTGTGAACCTCAAGACATCCTTTAAGTATCCGTACTGGGAGCTGCTGACACGATTTAGTTCAGAATAATTTACCAACGAGAAATTCATAATAATGATACTTTCAGTAAATGACAGCTGATGCCCGTTGGACAGCCTGTGGCTCTGGTACTTTGGTTACCTAGCAGTTATAGACTTTTAAATTATGGGTACTGAGTTTGAGTTTCATTAGGGAATACTATCGATCGGTGAGAGTGCAAGTATATCCATCCAGAAGATGAGTGCTAGTTAGTAGGAAACACAGCAGTAGAGTGCTCTCCGATCACTCAGGTGGTCTGGGGTTCGATCCCTGGCTGACACACACCTTTTCCTCCCTAATCCAGTACTAAGACTGGTAAAGAGGAAAGGTTGGGCATGAAGCTAGCAACCTCATCCCATAAACATAAACACCTCTGCTACGGAAACTTCAAGTCTCTAACTTGAAGCCCTACGTTTCAATAGGGACTTAAAGGAATAAAAAAATTAACCACTGTCAAGCAAATACCATTACATCATTTATTAGGATTTAATCATTCGGCTCATTTGTTCTTGTGATAAGTTAAGTGAACTATTTATTTCCCTTTCCGTGTAATAATTTTAAAAAAATTTCTGTTTTAGACAACCTAAAATCCTCATGTGGTGATGTCCTTCATGAAAATGAACTATTTATTAGTAGAATAAATAAAATCAATAAATTACGTGATGATATCAAAGAAAGATTTACTGTGAGATTGGCAGTGTCTGAACAATTCTGTTTCAACCATCGACTTGATAAGGTTCTCGTGGAATTCCATCAATTAAAAGTAAGCACTGAACCATTTTGTTTTCCTTTCCAAAAGGCAAAATTACAGTTTATCATCTTTTTGTTACTTTTTATCAATTTCTTTTGCCTTATATGAGTAGACTGTAGAATCCTTGCCAGCACAAAAGTGGAGATTCTGTTTTTGATTTCCGGCTGTTAACGTACTTTTCTGTTTACATCTCTCGTTAGTTTGCCAGCCTTTAGTTAACCCGATAAAAGTGGGATGCTTTGGGCGTGAAACTAGCAAATTTACCCAGTGGCAAAAAAAATGAGACCACTTGGAATCTTATATTCCATTTGAAACGCAAAGAAAATGAGGAAGTATTATGCTTATGAAGCACACACTCAAAAAGATGCCTTCCTGCACTTGCCATTGCATTGAGTAAGAGGGGATGGAGGTAGGCGATCGTGTAACTGAATTGCATATGACCTCTCAGACGCCTATTGAGAGAAGTTGTATTCCGTCGACAAATGCTAGGAATTATTAAAAAGATGGTTGCAGTGAAGAAAATAGACAGCTATACATTTTTGTGTATTTTTGGTAAAAAATGGATAAGACAGTTCCAGAATTACTTCCCATCATGCGTGGGTGGGTGCGTACTGATGAAGAGTTACAAACTAGGACGAAACAGTTATCCAGTACTCTCAGGTTTTTTCAGTGGTTCTCTAACTGATGTCAGCTCATGATGAAATCCTCCATGCCAAAAATAATAATTCAGAATGGAATTTTAAAAAAAACGTTCAAATACGTAGGACGGTTGGATAGGAAAGGTAAAAGGATAATCATGATTGATAGAGGTGGCTTTTTATGGTGGTCATGGTAGAGACAACGGTTGGACATATTTCTTTTGAGCACCTAGAGTGAAATGCTTGAAATCTTTGGTCGCCAAATGCCTCAACTATATCCAGATTTAATTTGACTAGATATAGTTCTGGAACTTCAGCACCCATTTACTACAATTACTCGAGTGCACAGATATCTAGTTAGTGAGTTTTTCGGAAAGAAAATTTTCTTCGCTGCATTCGTCTCAGTGGCTTCGTGGTCTACGAGCTCGACTTTTAACCATAATGTCCTGAGTTCTAACCCTGGCAGTGGTGAATACTTCCGATGAGTTTCAGAGTGTGACGAAATAGCTGTCCAGTACTGGTTCTCCAATGGTTGTCTAACCGATGTCAGCTCATGATGAAAAACTGTCACCACTCAAATTCCCGCAAACAAACACTTGAAAATCCTTTTAATAATTCCTGTGATCGACGGATACTAACGCAATACAATTATTCTTCATTCAATGGCACAGTATCAAAGATGACCGCCTCTGAACCATCTTGAAATGTTATAAAACTTCACTACTTAACATAATTTACGCTTTTTCTTATCAGTCTGATTTCCTATTCCCATAATTATATTCAAGGAAATTTTCCCTTTATATAGAGGAATACTCATCAAAGTTTCGTAAGTCTATGGCATTTTTGATTTTCATACACAGAATGTAAGCATGCATTTTCAAAGGAAGCCTCTCGTTTTTAATGTGGGTACTTTTATCTCACTTGTATAGTGAGTTAGTTAGTTACCAAAGTTAACAGAAATGGCAAATGATTTGTTTGGAGATCGGAGGTTTTTAAGGTTAAAGGCGAATATGGTCTTCTAAGTGTATAAAGAATAAACAGTATTGAGTACACTTGACTTGTTTCCCTCCATTTTAGTGGTGATATGGTGGTTTTTAGTATCTGGAACACAAGTACGAATGTTTAGGATTGTCTTAGCCTATCATGTGACTGCACATCACTGCAAATCCTGAGCCCTTTTTAAATGTTGTGAATTTAGTTTAATTCTAAAGTAGTGCTATGAATTAACTGACTAACATTGAAATAGGTGTAGGGAGGCCTACTTATGTCATCTACATCCAACACATGCAACTGAAGAGATGCAGAGGCGTAGAATGACACAGCCTTTGAAATCAAACTTTAGAGGTCTAAGCAATTGGCTCAAGTACTCAACATTTATTCAGTGGATTCTGAGTTCACAACTCGCTTCATCTATTTCAGTCTGAGCTAGTATCATTAGCTGTCATACATAATATCTATGGTGCTTAGCTTGACTCTGATTAGAAAACAGTCAAAGTATAAGAAACGTCTGTTTTGTGTTGTGTATGAGCACGCTGCTCTGACTGCAGACGATGAAACTATGCTCGAGATCACGAGACGTAAACATTCAGATGAGTATTTGCCATATATAGTAACTTTCTACTACTAAAAGAACTTTATATCCACCTAAAGGTACCATTTCCTGGAACAGTGGGGATTTCAGTGAATTCAATTTGAATTTTCTCATGAAGTGAAATTCTCTACACACATATACACTCACTGCAGGATGTTGAAGAACTGAAATACAATATAACTGATTTAGCATGGTGGCACACTCATCATGGGACCTAATGATCCTGTGTTTGATCATTCAGAGAGATACACATGTGAGGTGTTGATGACTTCTCAAAAGTGCTCAAGTTGCAAAACTATATACTACTATTTATTGAAGTGAGTAGCTGCATACAGCTCACACCAAACATCAGCGCTTGTTAGCCAACCGATGTCCGTTTCCTTCGTTTAGGGCGGAGTTCATCAGTGGTGTACGCCGTGTGGCCTAGTTGAATGAGCCAAGTCACTAAAAAGACGACTCTACAGATGAAACATTTCTTTTCGACTAGAGGAACACTGAAGTCATGTCCAGCAGAGTCGACCAGGTGGGGAATGAGGAAAAATATTTCGTGGACCACATAGGCTGGTACTAATTGTCCTAAATAATCACGATTTGATAGAAGTTTGAATTCATGGTGTGACCTTTGAGTCTAGTCCCACTGGGCATAGTACCTAGAAGGATCTAGGTTCGAATGGTAGTGTGTGTGTGTGTGTTGATGAAGAGTCCAAAGCCAGGACAAAACTACCGTGCAGCACTCCCTACTGGTTTTTATTGTTTTTCTAACTGTTATCAACCCCGTGATCAAACTTGATATAAAGATTAATAATACTAAGGAAAATAAAGAGATAACTTTCAGGTTTTACCTACACTTTCTCTTATTTTCTCATCTCTCCAATGTTAAATTATACTGTTTACATTAGGTGATCCAATTTTATAATATTAAAAACTATTTCCATTTATCCACTTTATTTTCATTTATAGAAAACATTTAAACAATCCGCTTTATCATTACTTCAAGATATTGGTGTGTCTGAGGATGAAACATACATCACATCGAATATATTTCGCATATATGTTCAATCATTAAGAAATAAACTGTCTGAAACTAAAGTAAGTAGAATTCAGTATTTAATGACACTTGTGTTTACTTATTATTATTTCGTCCTGTTCTTTGCATTCCTCTTCACCTGTCCCCGACGGTTTCTCATAAGCTCTCATCTCCTCCTTTTCACACTGCCTCCCATATGTCAAACTTGGATCTACGTTCAACTAGTCGTTCCACATTCAGGTTCTTTTTTTTTTTTTTTTTGGCGTATGATGTTACCCAGCTGTCCCTTCAGCGTGTATCCTGTTCATCTCCAATTTCTTCAGAATATCTGTTGAGCAATCGGTTCTTGATTGGATCGTCCCCAGAATTTCTTGTTTCTAAGCCTTTTGGCCGGCCGACACGACATCTGATTTTCATTATAGAATCATAGAAGGCAGCTGTTAATGAAAGACAGCAACGGCCTGTTGGAAATGCTTTTCGTGACGCGTGAGGTAAATCTCTTACCCATATAGAAGAACCCATTGAATTAACACTGCTGAATGCAGAAGATTCCCGCACTAATTTCACATTGATGAAGGTCTGCCTTTCCTTTATGATTCAGACTGGTTTTATCACACTTTTATCAGTGTCATTTGACTGTAGTTGAAACCATGGTGCTTAGATAAGTGAAGGAAGTGACTTCTTTCAAATCTCTCCCACTGCTGGTTATTGGTGATTCTTGTTGTTGTTGTTGTTGTTATGGGTAGTGATTGGTTATGTTTGTCACTTTCATTTTCTCCATGTTTACTTGAACTCCTGTCTTTACTACCTGTTTTTTCTGCCAACTTGTTAATTTTCACTTGTAAGTCTTCAAATTTATGTGACATTAGACATAGATCGACAGCAAAGTCGAGATCGTTTAGGGTCTTTTTACTGGTCCAACGTATTCCTGTTTGTTAAATGATTCCGTTTACCTCCATTGTGTAAGGAATGAGTTAATGTCGAGTTGAAGTCAATAATATAGCTATGCTTGTGATTACAGTAATGCATATATTCCAGTTAGGTAGCCTGTTCATCTGTTTTATCCATTAGCGTTTAAGTTTATGAACTGATAGTGTATTGTTCGTTGAAGTAACATTATCAAACATTCAGTTAAGTACTTATATTGGACTGATTTTCTCAGTCTCTGTTGACAACATGAAAACTCCTAATAACGTCTTGAGGGGAACATAATGTTACTTGGTTGATGATGTCGGCTAGCAGTGAGATTCTTGATGTGAATTTCCCCCAGAAAATTTAGGACTCATCAGTTAGATGTAACAGCATCCTGAGTAAGTGAAGGTATTCACACTGAAATTCCATCTCAGTATTCATCGTTTCAAGCTCTGAAGTACTATCTGTAAGTCGAGTAAGTCTTGATTTTTGGATTCCATTTCAAGCCTCCAAAACATAACATAAAGTGACAGTGTCTTATTAATCACTATTCAGAAAGAAGAAGTCAAGTTTTAACGTTCTTCAGTCACTTATGGTGAGTAGTAGTAGTAGTAGCAGGGCAGAATTTAAAGTTCACAACAGAAGTGTACCGCAGTGATTTTGGAAATGTACTCCATTTTGAAACTGTATCAGCATTATGAGCTTAGTAGACATTGATGATATTAGATGGTTGGAGGCAATTAGTGGTAAGCCTTGGACCTAGGTTTCGTGCTAGTTGTCACTCATCAGCAAGGCCTATCTGCAACCTTGAAGGAACTCACGTCTCTGCTTCTGAGATTCGAACCCGCGTTACCCAGTGCCGGCTGCAGTCAGAGACGTTACCACTGAGCTATTCAGGCTCGCGATTGACCTCCTGTAGGACAGCAGTGGATATTTTGATTTGACACTAGTAACTAGTGTGATGTGTCTAGTCCTTTCTTTGGTGCAGATTGAATTCTATCAGTCAGGTTTGTAATGTGGCCACCATGCTAGAGGGCTCGCCAACACGGTGCGCATTGATTTGATGATATTAGATGGTTGTAGCCAATCGGTAGAAAGCTTTAGACCTAGGTTTCGTGCTAGTTGGCACTCAGTAGTCAGCAAGACGTTTGGAAAAGAGCCAGCGGTGGTCAAACCAAAACATGGCTTCACCAGTCAATGAAATCCACAACAGGTAGTTTAAGCCAGCCACGTAAGAAGGTGTAGACTTCCTGACTGTTTGGGGTCCTCGGGACGGTAAAAACCAATGATTGGAAACAATTGGTGACATGGCACAAAATCGTTCTCAATGGCGGGTGCAGATGCATCCACTCCTTGTGACTTATGATTTCCAATGAAACTATATTGTTCTTCGTTATTACTATTCCTTTGTCTCATATCCATGTATACTGCCTCTATTTTGCATTTCTTCTACTTTCTTCTCTGGCTTTGTGAGCTGAGTAAAGTGTGGCGACTAGAACTACCGTACATATGTGGAACGTTCTATGTCGAAAACAGACAGACAGAAGGTCCTTGAAAGAACTCATGTCCCTTTTGAGATTCGACATTTTTTCGCTTCATTCGACACTTTCGTTTTTCAGTAAACTCTATTCCATTTTTATCTTCCTTTGTATCATCAGAAGACAAGGGTCGGCAACAGATCGTTTTTTATTACGGAAATCAACACGTATTTATGTATATTTCATGTACATTATTTTAGCTTATTCAAGCAGACAAACACAGTCTTCTGATTGGTTGTTTCTAGTTTCGCGGAAAGTTACGCCGTATATCTGCGAATCTTATTTGCCCACGTTAAGTCTACTGTAATCAGGCCAATATTAGTGACCTAGATATTGACGTTAATTAATGTCTACCAATTGGCTAGCAGCCTGCTCTCACCACACCTTCACTTAACAATCTGCTTTAAAAATAACTCCATCCCATCTTTGTGGATGAGAAGCAATGGGTCGGAAAAACTGACTATCTAACCTTAAATACGAGAAACAGATATATATCTATCCATATGAACACTACCTTTTTCTGTATCAGTGAAAAATTAATTCGAGTTTAATTTAGCTAACATCAATTATTAAGCATGTCTTATATCTGACCATCATTTCGAATTACTTCTTGCAATCGTATTTCCGTTATCGCCATTACCATCAGTCTGAGCCTGAACTTCTCATCATGTTGAATAAACAATATGCGCCTAAGGCATTAAATATAAAAATAAATTATCGAAATATAGTGTAGCGTTAAAATGCTTCTGATATTTAGTACTACTGGTAAGTAGCTAAACGAAAGTCAATAAAAATCAATAGGATGAAAATGATAAAGTTGGATGCGGGAGATTGTCGCTTACTCACTGAGATGAAAAGAGAATTAATGTTGCATTACCACAGAGTTCAAAGAACAACTGCTTGAGGCCTATTTGCACACAGCCTGTTTGAATTGGTTCTTAGAGTTGTGTCCATACTAAGGTGTTACTGTCGTAGGCTAATTTAGTCTTTTCCAACTCCCCGTCTCCAGGACGAAGGACGCTGGCATGATAGTCATCTGAGGGAAACCCTGTTTTGGATCCCTGTTTCCAAGCAGTAAAATCCTGCCCACAGATCATAAGCATAGAGTAACATATCTTACACTCTGCCGGTAACTGCTTCTAGTCTAACTATTATCTTAATGACATTTTGGCACGGTAGGAGTTGCAGGAACATTAGTTCCAGTGTAGCTTGCTGGACCATTACGGCGTGCATAACTCACGAGGAATAATGTGAGTTTGAAACTACCTTAGTATCCATCTAGGTTAAAAAGTATGCTGTTATGTTTGCGTGCAGGTGGCTTCCATGGCTCAGCTGGTTTAGTAGCGAACGCTCTGGCGTCTACAATGATGGTTACTGATTCTGAGTCTCAGAGTGAAGAACAACGCACGCTAAGGGGCTGTGGGCAATTCCTCTCAATGAGTCTCAAATAGGAAGGTGGGAGGGGTGAATGAGTATCCTGGGTTCCACTGTTGATCACTATCCCCTATATTGATAAAAATTATGTTCTTGTGTAGAATTAATATGAAATCTTGTTTGTCAGAAAGTGCTGTTTAGTATATAGAGCTTTTTATCTGAATCTGTTTTTGTGATACGGAAGTATTCAAAGACAAATTTCGACACTGTTAACAGTATCAGTTACTTGAGTCTTCCGTTTGATTCTTTGTCACCGATTTGTGGTACAAACTCAGTTTACCGAAAACCAACAACTAGGTATGTCATCCTCAGCAATGCTTAATAATAATAATAATATATAGAAGATGAAATGTCATATTGTTCATGCATCTTCTATGAGTTATATCACGAAATATATAATGTCCGAATAACTCTTTCCTGCTTTATTGAATGCCTTCTTTCTTTCAATTTTATAGGGATTAATCAGTAGACTTCAAGATTTAGCTGATGAAACTAATTCAGTTGATTTCGGCATAAATGATTTACCATTGAAGCTGACGAAGACTTTGAGAATAAGTCTACAGAAGATTTGATGAAACAGCCTTATGACGCTAGACAGCTTTGTATACCAAGTATTTCAGTGCCTCTATGGCATGGACAAGTTAAAATTAATGAAGTGATTGTAAACTTTTTGGAACATATTCAAAATCATCATGAACGTTTACTTCTTGCCTATGAACTGGCTGAACGTCTTTCAACATGGTTATCGGTAAGCTAGTTATTGATTTTTGTTTTATTTTATTCTGGAAGATATTTTGTGTATATTTTGGTCAAGCGCCGATACATTCACAGACAGGGCGACTAGATTCAGTTGATTGATGTAAACAGTCGTGTTCTGGTTAGCCGAACCTTTCCAGGTACAGGAGCTACTATGGTTGATTGGAAATAAACAAAACGGCAATCTAAAATGTAGGGAACCCTGCAGAATAATGTAGAACTTACTTATCAGTTCACAGTCCCGCAAGTATGATGGACAGTTTACTGTATTGCTTATTTTGTAGTGGCTAATAGTGGAAGCCAGGAAGCTAGTTTCATCTCATTTTGGCACATCCTGCTGAACATTCTCCCGCTGTATGAAATATGCGTCCTGCCCACCACGGCAAGCTACTACTAAGCAAATAAATTCTAGTTAGTGTTAATGATAATATTAAGACATCTGTTTAAGAAGCTCGTGTGTCGAAATGAAGTTAATTAAATTCGTGAGAAATCACTTCAATAAATAGACAGTTCTTTAGGTCATGGGCGAGTATTAGTCCTCCCACCCTACTGGTCACGGCTTTCCACTAGAACCCTAGGTAACTACCTATCTGAATAGACCCCGTCGCTATAGGGCCTATCATTGCTATTCAATAATCAGGTTTTAGGGATTTGACTGGTTACACGATTTAATCATGAGCTGACATTGGTTAGAGAAGCATTAGAAAATCTTCAGGGAGAACTGGACAGCTGTTTGGTTCCAGCTTGAGGATAGGGTCTCACTGGCTTAATGGTCTATGAATTCATCTTGTAACCGGAAGGTACCGGGTTCAAACCCCGACGGATATGTTGTGGTGAATAGTCCTAAACTAGGACGAAACAGCTGTCCATTACTGGCTTTCCAATGGTTCTCTTATCGTTATCAGAGGACGATGAAATCTTGTAACCATTCAAATCTCTCTCCACTAGTGACTGGCAATATTCCGGTAGGTGGTTACCTGGGGTTCTAGTGAAAAGTCGTGATCAGCAGGAAATAACAGGTTGGCTGTGACGATAAATTCCTTAAGTGTACTAGAAGTAAAAATAAATTCTTTGGTAAGAAAGAACGTAATTATAATTTCCAGAATCTGTGGCGTAAACAACGGTTCTTATCATTATTTTACCAACAGGAGAACTACTGCAAAACGGAAGTACACTACAAAGTTTTTCCACCTTATGTGTGTTGAATTTTTTATGACATTCACTATAGCTAGAGTTTCCCATCTTTCAAATTCAGCCTGGATGATGACTGACGAAGTTAAAGTAGCGTAGCCAAAGTCAACGTCTGTCAGAGATTGACCTTCAGAAACCAATCAGATTTAGAGAACACCATGAATGGTCATTCCAAAAAGAAAAAAATTCATTCGTGATGCCAGATACAGGATTGTAATTATTATTTTCTGGGTACTTTATTCTGTTAGGCTTTAGAATTAGAGTTAATGTTAGGGGAGGGGTGGCTTAAAGAGCAGACCCAAGAATACCAACGGGTCCCAAATTACCATGATCCATAGTCACTCGGATGAATAAATCTGTTGACTGTGGTGTGATTTCTCTATGCCTTATTCTTTTAGTAAATGACAAACAGTTTTACAATTCCTAAGATACAATTATTCAGCGTACTATCATCTTTGGAATGCAGTTCATTACATTTTTCATTGATTATCCGGCTGTTTGAATCTAAATTCTGATTGGTTGTCCAGGGTCACTTTGATTCTGACTATGATTCTTTAACTTCGCTTGATGAACACATTTTAGTGACACATAGAATTTGTATTACATGCAAAGAATTCATTGTCTAGTCTGAGATATGCATACGCGACTGTTATCTCAGTCGTGTAGATAGCTAACTTCATGGTAATAGCCAATCCTCGAGTGACTATTCACTGACGAAAGTCTATACAACTAGAAGATTTCATAGTCAGATTTACAAATCAGTATTAATTGACATAGGATTGCGTCACCAAAAAAAAGAGTTAGGGTCTGGTCAAACCAAAACTTGAATTTCCTCCAAAAGAAATTCGGGACGATAACCGAAAGATTATTAAAACCGCAGGCAGAGTAATAGTGCATCGATGGCACAAAGGTAAGGTGCTCGCCAACCACGTCTCATGTGGTTCGGGGTTCGATCCCCAGCGGACAAACTCCCTTACCTCAGTAAGCCAATACTAAGACAGGTAAAGAGGGAAGGTTAGGCATTAGGCTAGCAAGCCCATCCCGTGAAAATAAATACTCGCTTGAAGCCCATGTTCCACTGGGAACGTAAAGGAGTAGCAGAAAAAATGTAGGGTGATGCGTAAAATCCGAAAACACAGGATTTGTCTCAAATACGGTACTATATTCAATATAAAATATAATATACAAACAACAATTGTGAGGTGTCTGTAGCTGAATGACGACAAAATGCACAATCAATGTGAATCAGTAAGTAAAAACAGCACAGCTGAATCAAAGGCGATCTATGTGTTATACAAACAGCGCGCGAATGCCAGACACAGATTAAAGGCATGCAGATAAACAATGTGCAACAGTAAAGGGTACATGAATAAAGCATATACAGTGAATAACTTACGATTATAAGAAAATAATTGTTATACATCTAATAGAATATTAATATATTGAGTGAGATAAACTTCAATCGTAAATAAAGACAAGGTTAAGAATTAACAAATACAACTTGTCCCACTCACTAGAGATGAGTAATATAAATTTCAACACAAAGAATGAATGACATGGGGGGGGGAACTAGAAGATAAATCAACAATCGGTTCGAGTCAGGTATTTGAAGGACTGTAGACCTCCGGATATCAAGAACCAACTGTTAGCGACCAAAGATGACATGGCAGAATATCGTTCTCAATGATGCAAATGTATTCTCTATTCGCAACCTTCTAAATCTATTAATTTCTCATCACATACCATTGATTGATTGAGATCATCAGTTCTGTACCACATATCAACCAGCAGTGTTTACTGGCTAGCCGAACCGAGGTGATCTAAGTGCAGGACATCCATTTGTGTCGTTTGGAGCCGAGTTCATCTGTCAGCGCTGCATCTGGTTTGATTCATCTCAGAGAAAGAGCTGAATCGATTCAAACCACTCAAATTTTGGTTAACTACTTGGAAGAACTGATGTTTGGCATCCAACTACTCAATTCATTGATTGTTATATAGTTTTATGCAAATATATGCTTGCTTTCTTGATTAGCATTTATGACGTTATCAAGCAGACCATACATTGTGCGTGATCTGGACAGCTTTCTTTTCCAAAGGAAACTGCATGGTGAAAATCTTACTCCTCAAACTGTATCCATTGCAAATTTCTAACTAATTTGAAAATTGTGGATTTCATTTATAAGTCTTCCTACTTTAAGAGCCGCATTGATTACCTGAGAGTTGACCCAGCTGTCTAGATTGAAATGGTTGGGGAAGGAATCAGTCCCGGGACCAGTTGGATGCACGCCAAATACTAAAGCCATTGAGCCACATTTACACAAAACTAGTTTGATGTTGGTTTGCCATGGAGTTTAGAGTATGTTCGACGTCACTTGTCAGTTTGTCAGTTGTATCTATCTGTTTGCCAGTGGATGGTGTTGTCCCAACTGGGACTCGAACCCAGATTCATTTCGTATATATATATTGTTCCCTCTTTTTCTTCCAACATTTCCAGATAATGCATCCTAGAGTGGATAAACTAAAAATCAGACTACAACAATGCAGTATAAAACCAGTAAATGAAGTTCCCATTGAAGACTTGAACTCACATTTGCATAACATAACAGTAAGTTGACATAATTACTTGTAAATGTACGCCATTCTTTTATCAGTAAAGTTAGAGGGGGAGAGAGAGAGATATCCCACATAATTATTGAACAAACGATTCACTTGTTTCTACTGGTCCATTATCTTTGATGATGTTGTTTCCTTTAAAATTCGGTTAGTATTTGCCCTTCTTGTGTTGAAGGCTATTTTATCCCAGGAAGTGTAAGTTGTTCTCAATCTGTGTTGGGAGAATTTATTCGAAATCGAAATACTGGGGTGATGACCGATGGTGTCATCTTTGAACATTTGGCATCTCGATGAAGTCTATCCAGCTCTGTAACTGGAGGTAAAGTTTTCTTCAAAAACCACTACAAACGGACTATATGTGGTCGGACTAAGTAACAGTAATGATTGTAATCCTTTTATTATACGCAGTGGGATTTTTGGCATTTGCTTACGTATAATGCAGAAAGGTATCTCCTTTTATAAATGTATTCATACGTAAAATATCTTCACATGAAACTCGTGCTAAATATGGTGTGGTGTAATTTTTGATATTTAGCAGTAACAGCCTAAATTCTTATGAGATACAATGCGAAAGCTAAAAATGAAGAGGGTGTTTAATAGCCTGCTACTTGCAAAAATTAAAATCCCCATCACTCACAATGTCAGTTAGTTTAATGAAAGACACACGCACGCACACGCCACTAACCCTGCTTGCTTACAGCCTTCAATGTTCTTCCTTATTTGAAATATTCGTTCTTGAGAAGCTCAGGGAAGAACAAACAGTGAATAAAAAAGAAGAATAGGCGGAATACATGAGTTAATAAAATGCAAGAGGAGGTTCCAACTTCTCTATAAAATAATTCAAAAAAGAAAACTTTTCTTAGAAATCCACAAGATATGAGACGACTAACAGAGATTTGAAGAGAAACTGATGTTAAAATCAAAACAAGTGGCGATTCAACGAAGGGACTCTAATTCAACAACGAATTTATTCTCAAGCTGTAGAATCGTATAATGTGTTGTAAGAAATTATATCCAGTGAGGGAATTGAATCATAGATGTGAATGCATAAAATAATAGTAATAGTAGTATGAAATGAAATTAAAATATTTGTAATTATAATCATAGTTATATGTCATGTGGCAAAACAGTCAATGTCATATAAGAAATAATTCATAGGATCTATAGATGCTGGAACGGGGTGCACAATTACTGGAGTAGTAAGCAAATAGAATAAAAATAAAAGCGTTACGTAACATTGTGTGAAATTTGATAACATAGAATTTAACATTGCAAAACAGAATTGATTTAGAATGACAAGTGGGCCAAGTGAAATAGTACCGGGGTCAATTCAGAGTGAGAATAGTAATGGTAACATTTGACGTAATAAAGGGAGAGTATATAAATTGAATAACTGGTAGAGCCAAAATCTGATTAGAGATTATCATACTTTACCATAGGGGAATTAAGACCATGAAAGTTCGGGGTGGGTAGGTGTTGAACGAACGTTTTGATTCTACAGAGATCTGGCTTTTCTGTTACGAGAGCCAAGGATGGCTTCAGCAATTCAAATGAGTGGGGTACATAGTGATTTGGGCAAATTACTTTTCACCTCGTGGATGACTTTAAAGGCGAAGGCTGTAGAGAAACAGGGTGATCATTATCGATCAGATGTTCAGTGATCGCACTTCTCATTGCTACACTTCCACCTATTCGTAACTACCACGCAGCATAGTGTTTTTTGCACGCTCTTGGACAAAACCTGAATCGAACGACCGATATACCTAGCTCCACACAAGTAGATGAATTGACAAACGCACGCAGAGTTAGTCAAGTTGATATCACAAGAATCATGCTACTGAATCGGTCCCTTAGGCTTTACTCTTATGCAATACTAATTCTCTCTCCGTTTTAATTCATTGCACCTCATAAAATGAACTACTTCACAAAACATTATCACTATTATTATTATAATAACGCAACAAGAGAAAATTAATATTTTAAAAATTCTTTTTGTTATCATAGTTATTCCGTCTTGAAAACTGTTCTCAAATGTCGATTATTCAATGCATAGTCAAAGATGGCAATGAATTCAAAAATGTTATTCTCCACCTGAATGAAGATTATAAATGGGAGGATAAAACAGACGGCCTTCAGTTGGAATTTCTTTCATTATCATCCGGTAGTAGATGTACCAAAGAGGCGTCTGATGTTATTACATCAGTTATACCCTTTGTAAATCAAAAAGTGGAGAAAATTATGAATGATTTTATCGTCAGTTTCAATCAATCATCTATCCTTCTTGTAAGTCAACTATATTTCATATATATATATATATATGCCAGAAATATTTTCAAGTACTGGTTTTGTAGGGATTTCTGTTTGATTGTATGTAGGATTTCATCATGAGCTGACATCAGTTAGAGATCCACCGGAAAAACTGGGAATACTGGAAAGCTGTTTCATCCTAGTTTGGGGTTTCCATCAGTACGCAACCACCGGGGTCCGAACCCAGAACCTTCTGGTTACGAGACGATCTCGTAGACCATTAAACCACTGGGAATCGATCAAACAACCAGTTCATGAATTCTAACTTCTGACAATTCACGACATAGCGTGACCACTAGCCAATGTCTTCGGCAAGTATTTGTCGTCACACTCGACCTGCTGCAGCCCACTGGTCACGAGTTCTCACTAGAACCCCAGGTAACTACCTAACTAAATAGAGCAAGTTGCTAGTGAGTGGTTCTGTAACCAGTCAAATCCCTACAAACCAACACGTGAATATTCTGTAGAAGTCAGAAAAGTTAGTCACGCGTCACAAAAAGCATTTTCAACAACCCCCTGAAGACTTTCATCAATGGCCGCCTTCATTTACTCCAGTGGGATGGCCAGAGGGGATGAACAAAAGGAAACTCTGGAACGAACCAATCAAGGAGCTACGGTTCAACAAATAATCCAAAGAAAAAGGAGATCGGTTGGATAGACGCTGAGGAGAACGTCGGATAACATTGCGCACCAGGCCTCCGAGTAGGTTGCGACGAGATAAGCGTGTGTCTTTGTAGGTGACATGAAGGTGATCGTGTGACGATGAGATGAAAGCTTATAGAATGTAGAGAACAGGAGGAGATGGAGATGTTCTTTTGAAGGTCTATGTTCCACTTAGAACCCTGGGAATAATTATAATTACTTTCTCACTAAATATGTTGTTTATTGGCTTATTTATTGGGCTTCCTGTTAATATTATCCGCATTTGAATCTCCGTCCGCTTTCTGCTACGTGACAGGTGACTAAACTGTCGTATCACAATTTCTATTGGTTTATATCCTGGTAGACGCAAAATCTTTTCAGGGTAACAGAGTGTTAATTCTAACAAATACTAAACACATTTAAGCAGTAATCATAAATCTTTATATTTAAGCAGTACTTTTATTTGGCATAGATGATGATGACTGTAATCCTCTTTAAGAGCTGGCTATTTATTATGTTTGTGCGTCGGTGGCACAGCGGTTAAGACGTTCGCCGGCCATGCACATGGTCCAGGATTCGAGCCCCGGCCGGCGCACTCCTTTACCTCGCTAAGCCAGTAGTGAAACCGGTAAAGAGGAAAGGTTGGGCATGAAACTAGCAACCCCATCCTGTAAAAATCAACACTGCTACGGAATCCTCAAGCCTCTAGCTTGGAGCCCAATGTTCTAATGAGAACGCGAAGGAAAAAAAATTTATTATTTTTGGCTTCATTTACTCACATAGTTAGTCTTATCTTCCTGTCTTATATGTACATATATATTTCAGGAAGCTACTAGAAGTCGACTTATTGAAACTGGACAAATTCAAACACTGCTGAACGACTTTTCAAGTATACTTAATGAATCATCGATTTGTTCTGCCAAAGTATTGGATCATTGCCAGAGTGAAAATGAGATTGAAAGTGTTGGTCAGCAGGCGGAAGAGAAGGAGAAAGTTGTGGAAAGAGACGAAAATGATTTATATGTCAGTGATGAACAAAACGACCTGGTTAATGTATCACTAAACCTTCCACTAAACCATTCGGGAAAAATGGAACACTTGGAGGTATGTTTAAAATTACACATACATTTTTCCGTGTTTATTCAGATTTTCTGTCATGTTTATTCATGAACAGGACATAAGAGCTCAACTTGTTCTAAGCTGGCATACTGAATGAGGCATTGAGTAGTTTATTTTATGATGTAACACAATTTTGATGTAACCAGTTTGTATACCAATTACTCTCATTAATAAAACTCTGAAGACAGTTAGGGAAATGAAATGAACATTGATTCCGAACTCAGAAGTAGGACTAAGCTCTCGGTTGATGAAATAATATTAGGTGTTCAGTTATGTTTCGCCTTCATTGTATTTGAGTTTCAAATGAGGATGACAGTAGGATGAATCACTAACATCCCCATCAGTAACAGGTATATATAATGAACACTTGAGGGACATAAAGCTTTCAGAATGTTCATTCCTCCTCTGCGTAGGTTATTGTGGGGATAACTGGATGACATGCATTCGCTGTGTTGAAATCTAAACATATCCTTCAGTTCTTCATACATATGCATGTAAACTCAAAAGTAAACGGAATCCTATGCAATTCTCGGGGAGAAAGCGGAAGAGGTGATTTGGTCATGCTAAACTGTAGAATAAAAAGAAGAATAGGTGATGGGTTAGGTACCAGTTAGCATTTATAGGATCCCTTAATACACACCAATAAATACTTAGATTTCAATGCATCCCATCCAGAATCAGTAACGGAAGATAGGATTAGTGAAATTGTCTGTCTATATATGATCGGGTCAGGAGACTAACTAACAGGTAAGTCAGAAGATTTAAACAAGGAAATGAAACAAATAAGGCGAATATTACTAGTGAATAACACACTGCCCAACAGAAATTATTCAGAAATATACGAAGAAACATAGAAAATAAAAGATTGTTAATGGAATTAACAATACATTATTCAGGTCACATTTGCTATCACAAATGATAAAAGCATCATCAACGTACCTTTTGTACAGAAAAAGAGTTGTTGTTGAATTTAAGGAATAATTTTCCAAACTGAGAGCGGACAATACACGAAGAGAACTGTTCTTTAACTGTGAGGCTGTCGGCGAAATGAATGAGGACGGAGAACTCTTCGCAGACTTGAGTTCCTTCAGTGATTTAGTGGTCAGGGTTTGCGTGTAGAATCACGAGGATATACATAAGGCGGCGTGAATCTCAGTCTAATGGACACTCCAAAAATTCGGTAAACTTCTCGATCTCACGAAAGTGTGGACGCATTAAACAAAGAAGTGGAGAAGAGTTTTAGAAAAGACAAAGATAATCACACGAAACATTTGCAACTGAAGCGGAACGTAATACAAGTAAAAGGGATATCTGAACACTATACTGGATAACTAGGATGCTTTCTGGAAAGAGATCAGCACAGACGAAACCAATATCAGATAGTGAAGGGAGTACAAGAGACAATACACTAACCCCTTCATAGGCCTCTTGACCCGACCATCACGTACAACTGGTTTGAAAATATCGTGAGCAGCTATAGGACTGCCAGTGTGCACCAACGCTTTTTCCAGAAAAGTCAGAAGTCTTGAATGCTATGAGGTAATTGAAAGCCAACAAGGAAAACGGCAGCAGCAGCAGACGATTACCTCATCTACTGACTCACAACTGTAGATTATTCGGTTTATTGTTAATACTGCTACTACTGTGCAAGTTTACATTAACAATATATGCGCTGGAGTTGGCATACTCATATGCTCAGTATTTACTATACCTCCGGTATGACTAATGTAATAATAAAGAGTTTTATTAAAACACCGAAGGGAATACTAAACTTCATTCTTTTTTTTCTTTTTTCATTTTAGATATGGTGTAAAGAAGTAGAATCAGTGCGAGGAATGCTTAACGTGATCGCTTCAAATCCCTGCATGGATACTACTGATGATAAGGATCTTGAAAGTGAAATAAAACGATTAACAATACAAACTGAACAACATTATCTTGATTTATCAACAAAGAAAGCTAAACTATTAGATGAAGTAAAACAAGTAAGTGTTTTTCTCGACTCTATAAATCTCTCCTATACGAGTATCAAACAAGCAATCTGTTAGGCTTTAGACTAGTTAGATGGTGTAATGATCATATCTGCACCTTTCAAAAATTCCGGTATCCAAAAACTGACATAATTCTTGACCTGAAGGCGGATTTCGACTGTGTCATCCAAGAGGTAATATGGCAGTGTTTGACCGTAAATAGAGTCGCGAGAAAGTGCATCGTACTAGTGACGGCACTCTACTTGAACTCATACATACAGCTAGCTGAGAACCTACGGAGAGTTGTCATCTGAAGTGATGACAACCAGTTGTGTCCGTCGGCAAAGGATGCCTACTGTCTCCATTTCTGTTTAATTCCATCACAGATGTACTAATGGAATTGTATCTAACTGACTTCAGCGACTAAGGGATTAAATTTTTACCAGAGAATAGTCTTGCTGACTTAGAATGTGTGGATGAAATAGTCCGCCTAGGTGAAGACGCTGATAAAATGCACAGTTTTCTGATTAATGTCGAAATCTCAGCAACCACACAAAAGAATACTGTTGAATTTCCCGATTTACGTCATATCTGGTGTATATGTAATATTCGACTGGCTCTCGATCAAACGATATGTGTACTGCTCACTACTTCACTTCGTCCTCCTATATGGCTGTGAGACATGGTCATTGAAATTGAATATGTGAAATGATTGGCTGTCTTTTATTATAGCTGTCTGCGTTATAACCCCCATGTTATATTGTAGGTATAATAGTGTGATTAATAATGAGGTTAACCATCGAGAGTCACGTAAGTATGGAAAGTCAACGGATGAAGTTTTGAAGGTACATTTGACTGAGATATTTAGGACAAGAGGTTTCACGCATCTCAAGCAGTTAGCTTCCTCGAAGGTTAATGTTACCTGACATAAGATGGATCATGTTAGAGATGAACTAGTGGTAGTCAGGCGAAAACTTGGAATTAGTGGATTAAATTTTCGACAGTTAGTTTAAGCCAACCATATAGGGAGGTGCACACTTCCTCCTCAGGATACTAGGAACCCATGGTTGGAGATAATTGGTGATGTGGCACAAAATCGACGTTCTTAGTAGTGCTGGATGCATTCACTCTCTTTGAGCTTCCTTATTCATCAAACCATCAAAGTCTTCTCCACATTACCATTCTCTTTCTCTCTTCCCCCCTCTCAAACACATTCTTTTGTATCTCTTTCTCCTCTCTTATCTACTTTTGTATGCTAAATGTAGTGTATCAAGTTCAGCTGCTACACTTCTGTACAAGGTTCTATGTTTAAACCAGTCGGTCAGTTAGTTAGAGAGTCTAACTAGTTATTATAACGAACTAACTAGAAGTTCTCCTTTATAGCCAAATTTTAGATTTAAATCATATTGAAACGTTTCAGTAAGTAGAGAAACCGTCTGATCAGCCTAAAAACAGGATTAAAAACTGCCTTAATGCAGTGTAATTTTTACAAACAACTAAAACTCGTCTTATTTTTGTTGTTGTTGTTGAAGATGCATTGAGAACTGATAACCGAAGTCTGTTAGAACTTAATTGCTGGGATCAGATCTTACAGATACCAGACTTAGTCATACATTTGTAGCATTTTGTTAAGACTCGTGATGCTACCCATTTGTTAAGGTTGAAGTAGATTGTAGTAAAGAATTCGAGTTTAGTCCCCATTCGCTGAAAGCCGAGTGCCTAAAGCAATATGATACATCTTCATGATTTTTTTTTTTTTTTTTTTTTTTTTTTTTTTTTTTTTTTTTTTTTTTTTTTTTTTTTTTTTTTTTTTTTTTTTTTTTTTTTTTTTTTTTTTTTTTTTTTTTTTTTTTTTTTTTTTTTTTTTTTTTTTTTTTTTTTTTTTTTTTTTTTTTTTTTTTTTTTTTTTTTTTTTTTTTTTTTTTTTTTTTTTTTTTTTTTTTTTTAACTGAATTAGTGAATCACGTAGCATCTACAGGCTATTCCAAAAGGTCCCGACTGGAACATAGGGCTTCTGGCTTCATGGTCTCAATAGCGATAAAGTTATTTTTTCATACTGTGTGCATGATAGCCTCACAGCGTGCCCCTTATCTTCTCCCAGGTTACTAACGGTTTATACTAGAGGTGGATGAATTTTAAGTCCACATAGGCCAGTAATCGAACTCCGGCCGTATACGTGGCTTACAAGCATTCTACTATCTAGCCACCGATATACAATTTGATTTTTAACGATAAAAACTTTGTGTGACTATTTATGCATTATTATTATTATTACTATGTTTTCATTAAAGTATTATTCTGTTTACTATATTTTTCTATGGGTTAGAGAATTGCCCTGCATTCAGCAAATAAAGAGTTTGTAAGCTCTGAATTCATTTGTGATTGTTTTCGTCTTTTGTTCTGTTCACCTAACTAACACAAAGTTCCCATTTACACTTCACTTGTATCTATTCTTATCGTTCAGAGTATTAGTAGTGTTATCCTCTTTATGTTGTTGGTGTTGTTTCTGTTGTTCTTGATGTTGTACTGTGCGCACAGAATGTATTGTGATGAATAAATACCATTAAGTGGTTTATACATGAATGCACTGTCTTCTGTGATAGCGAGCGAGTCAATTAAAAAGTATTCATCTTTTAATTCAATTTAGACTTTCACGTTGACTGATTGGACCGACGTGTTCAACCTCAGGTTGACATGTCGGTTCCTCCTTGTGCAGATACTTTGACGATGTCTGCTGATTGTTTAACTTATAGTAAATTGATTTGTGGTGTGTCCACGTTTCGTCTTCCACATGATTCGTCATCTGGATGAATCTCATTCATTCTCCAGTGGGTCGAAGCATCCACACGAGAAGCCGACGTGTCAATCGGAGCCCAGTCAAAGGGAAAGTCTAAATTGTAATAAAAAGTTTTGTATTTCCCAATGAATGAAAAACAAAACGATATTGTTTTTACTGACGTTTCGGTATTTAATTCTAATAGCTTTGTCAAAGTATTATTAAACCTATTATTATAGTATTATTAAGGTCTAAATTAATTTAAATAATTGCTGATACGTGTTTCACAAGGGGCGGCTAGCTGCCGTGAGCCAAGCGGTTTAGTGGATAATAATTCAGCGTTTGAAACTATGGGTACTGGATTCGAGCCTTTTTGGGAACATCATCACTGACTCACTGGGGGGAAATGAAATTGCATCCATCTGACGAATCACAAATAGAGAGAAATATGCATTCTGGATTCCACTTCTGGTCACTTATCATTCACGAATTTACTTCAAATATTCATCTGCTTTACTTTCTTTTATTGTGACTCCATCTATCTTTCTCTTCCAAATCTTAACTGTAATTTGGATTGTTTATTTCTTTTTAAAATATTTCCCAGGAGAACCAATTGCTTCTGTCTATATCTGCTTGTTCTACTTGGATTGGTCAGTTAAGAGAGGAACTGACGAAGCTCGGTATACCAAATCACCTGAATGTTGATGTAGCTGAAGTGAAATGGAAAGAGTTTAAGGTAAGTCTGTCTCCCTCATATTAATTTAAACATGTTACTAATGCGAATTTGACAATGAAAACCTTTTTAGTTACTCAAATTCAATTTAAGTAGCATGATTGTTTTCGGGTATAAAATTTGTTCAACTAACAGTAGATGCAGATATTTTCAGGCATTGTTTTGCAAGGCGTTGATTGATTTCACCTGGGTACTGGACAGCTCGGTTGCATTCAAAGTGATCTGATAGGTATGTTCCTGTGGAAAGTCTGAGAACAAAGACAAAACCACTGTCCACGTATCCTAGTTTCATACAGTTCCCTGAATGGTGCAAGCTAGTGATCTAACTTATATATATATTCGCCGAAAAAATACCAGTGGATGCATTATGAACCGTCGCCAAAAACGTTTTCGGCAGACTGCTGTAGATTTTTCATCAACAAAAGCCTTCATCGGATGCTGAAGATGGGATGGAAGGAAGAAATTTTGCAAGGAACAAGAAAGCCATTTTATCACCCTACAAATGTAGTGGAGATCGACTGAATATACACTGAGGAGGCTTTGAACTGACAGAACACACGAGATGTGACCTCAAACAGAATTCGAATAGGAAACGACAGATTGGAAGGATATCAAGAAGATCATGTATAGAGATGTGAAAGGATTGCGGACCCAGGTAGAGAAGCGAGTACAATGGTGATGTGATGCTGACGCTACATGCTTCATTGAGTTCAGGGAATAAAATAATCATAAAAATAAATATTGTTGGTGAAACTGGTTTTTGTACCTGTAACATAGTGTTACTTACTATAGAGCACAGAAGTAAACGTGTGTTAGACAATTACATATAAATTTGGATAAAGGGAACACTGTTGTAGCCACTATTCTTGTGGCCATGGAAAATTGTATGAATTTATTTTATGTATAAATGTCTAGGCGTTCGCACGTCGTTTCACTACCTCATATACAACCATACTGACAGCTTACTTATGACTTGCGCTGTCAAACATTTCCGTCCTTATAATGCCTAGAATTTCTTCTCTTCTTCTTTTTGTTTTAATCGATTAAAATATGACTCCTAATGGCCTCATGTCTGTCTGTCTGTCCGTCCGTTTTCGACATAGAAATTTGCCCATATGTTCGGTGGTTCAAGTCACCACAATTCCTCCTTGCAGTACACAAAGCAAGAGAAGAAAGTACCAGAAATGCATAATAGAGACAGTAACCGGAGGTGTGAGACAAAGGAATAGTAGTAACGAAGAAGAAAACAATTTCATTGGAAATCATAGGTCACAAGGAGTGGATGCATCTGCGCCATCGAGAACGATTTTTAGCCATGTCACCAATCGTTTCCAACCATTAGCCTCATATTTACTGCTGGTTGGTTAGTTTCTACTGAAGTTGAGAACGAGCATTACCATGAGTGACACAGTGGTGGCACAGTGATTAGGACTCTCACCGACCCTGCCCATGGTCCGAGGTCCGATCCCCTGTCGACGCACACCTGATATCTATGGTCGGCCTGCAAAATTTGGGCTAACGATATCACATGCTGAAAATTCCATACTTGTACCACAAATACGGTGTGGAATCAAGCTTTAATAAAAAAAATCAGCTTATCTCAATACATCAGATAACTATACTTGAGTTATATCCCTGGGTTACAAAATTTACTAATGAAATTATCATAATCGGTTTCAGCTAAATATCGCACATTTATCAAAGGAGTTTGGCTTACGCTTCAGGTCAGACAGTGTAGTGTCACAGGATCTGCCGTCAGTTAATATTTTATTTGGAAATCCTATAGGCAATAAACTTCGATGGATGTACCACGCATTATGTAAACAGTCCTCGGAATAAAGCTGTTTTTAGCGTTTAAGTAGAAACCTGTTATGTCTGGCCGTCTACCAAAGGACGTTTGTATTGCTTAGCAGCGGTTCGCTCCGTTCTCCTTTATAGCTATGAGACATGGAAGATATGAAAAGCTTGACTAGCTGTCTTTAATCATACGTGTCTGCGTTCTACCTCCAATGTTAGGTGGTAGGTGTAATAGACTGAGTAGTAATGAGGTTAGGCTTCTGTCGAATTTTAGGTAGATAGGGAGGGAAAATCAATCGATTAGGTTGGAAGCCACGTCTGTCTGGCCATCGCCTTCCTTGATGGTCAAATGTTAGCTGACATAGGATGGATCAAGTTGGGGAAGAGTTAGTGTTGGTAGGAACGAAACATGGAATAACTTAATAAAATCTATATCAGGTAGTTTAAGCCACTTGGGGAGCTACAGACTGATTGGCTAGTCAGGGTCCTTGGGTTGGTAAGAACCGATGGCTGGAGGCAGACATTTGGTGATACAACTCGAAATCGTTGTTCTCAATGATTGTGCAGATGTATTCTATCTCTGTGGTTTGTCATATCCATCCAATAAAACTCTATTGTTCTTACATATTACTAGTCTTTTTCCTTTGCTCACAATGCTGTTCATTATCTCTCTTTTGAATCTCACTTTACTCTGTACTCTTGTTTTGTGTGTTACAAGGAGGGAGTTTGGCCCCTTGAACTGCTGCACATCTGTGCAAAGTTCTGTATTAAAACCAGTCAGTCAGTAACTTGTTGGGAATTATTATGAACCTACAAATAGGGAGTTGAACTCAGTCCTTTCAACTGCTTGGAGATTGTGGGTTCATATGTGATAAGAAAAAATGATCCACACTCTGATGTAACCATAAAAAATCATGGATCGGTGGGTAGATGGCTTATTATGCATCCATAAGAATAAGTGTGTTGAATCAATCAAGAACAGAATGAGGTTTTAAGTGCTTAAAATAGTCACAGTAGTTTTATAATTCAATATTCTGATGGATGACACTAGAGACGTTCTGGTTATTACTGCTGAGGAAATTTATTAAGATATCTCAAAGTATCTATGAGATACTTTTGAATGAGGAACTGCAGTTACTTTCACTTTGATTTCCACATTCATCATTTGTAGAAATTACACACTTAGGAGGGATACATCAATGCAGTTCGCTCTGGGAACCATTTGATCTGCCTGATAATATAAGTAGGAATTTTAAAAAAACCCTAATTAAGTAGAAACAACTTATCTGTTATTGATTAGTATCAGTAACTGGAAGCAATTTACGTCGAGTATAACTACTTTTTAGCTAGATTGGGGTGATGTAAACACCGGATGACAGCGGATATCTTTGATTAGCTTAATTCTGAACGGGCCATTTCGTGTCTAGATCACTCTGATCTCGTTGGCAGGCGTTATTCTTTCACGAGAGTATATCTCTATCTACTCAAATCAGTCAGTTAGTAGTATGCTTAAGAATAGAAATATAAATGTGGAAATGAATACTGCTTCCTTATTTCACTTAGGCTTTAGTTATTGCAGTTTTTAGATTTTCGTCATGAACTAACATCAGTTAGAGAGATTACTGAAAACCAGAAAATAAAACAATCAACAGATGTTCGGTTCTATTTTGGAAGTATTCAGTACTGCGGACCTACTAACCCAACAAGGATCGAACTGTGGACGTCCAGGTTAAGACATCCAAATCGTTGACGATTTAGCTTCTTGGGCTGTAATCCAATAACGCGTGAATTCTAGCTTGGTCAACTTGTGATATACAGCCACCATAGTCCAACGCCTTCTATAAGCATCCACTTTATCTTGACATTCTGGGACCCATTGATCACGACTTCCAAATGCAGTTTCAGGCAACTGATATTCAGATTAGAGAATTTGTTGGAATTTTAAATTGATTACAGTTGTTTAGTTCTCATCATGAATCGGCATTAGTTAAGCAGATCGCTGCGTTTATAATTGCACAACATTTTTATTTTTGACTGTTATCATCTGATGTATTTAAATTTACCTATAAACAAACAAGATCTTCAATACAAAGGTCAAGTCAGTTCTTCTATACGGATCAGAAACTCAGTGGGTGGGTCACAAAGAATATTTCCAACAGGCTATTGCAGACCTTCATCAACAACTAACTGTCTTCGCTCTATACTGAATGAAGATCAGATGGCCGGGCCGGAAAGAATCACCAACAAGAAAGTATGGGAACAAACAAAATAAGAACCAATCGTCCAACAAATATTCAGGAGAAAGTGAATTGGACACTCGTGGCTGAGGAGGCCGCTTGGTGACATCGCACGCGCTTCAGGCCATTGCTTGAGTGGAACCAGACCGAAAGGGAAGCGGCGAGTGGGTCAGTGCAAGGGTGACATGGAGGAGATCGTGTGAAGAGGAGTTGAAACAGTATAGACTAACATAGATGCAGGTGAAAAGTGCAGCAGAAGACAGAAGCAAGTGGAGGGAGACGTGCAGTTGAAGCCCTATGTTCCACTAGGAACCCAAGGGAACACTAATAATAATAAACAAAGAAATTCTCATAATATAATCAGAATAAAAATAGAACGAACAGTTGTGGTGTCTAGTAATTCTCCTTCTTCACTCTCAACAATTATAAATCCATTAATTAATTTAAGCAGACAACAGCTAGTCAGTAGGGGAGAATTACAACCATATCAGAAATGTGTGTTGTGGAACAATTATAAGTTAGATGGGATGGAACAATGCTTAGTTAGTTTTGAATATACTTCACCAAGGAGATTATTAAATAAAATGAGATGAGGTAATTCAATGATGTGTGTATATATGTGTACACAACAAAAGTACAGGTTTCGAGGGTGAGTGTAATCATCAGTGATGTGTGAGAGAAGCGATATAAAGACTACAGAGAAATAAACCAAGCAATGGGATAGAATAGACGTCAGTTCAAGGGTGAAAGTAACGACAGTAATAATGACGATAATGAAATATTAACAATGGTGTGGTACGACCTTAAAAGTACTATTGGTGAATGATTATCAAATAATAATGATGAATTTAGTGAAGTAAAATGAACGTGACTGTGTAAATATGATAACAAGTTAGAAAACGCACTATGTAAACTTGAAGGGAATAGAAATCATAAGAAAGGTCATCAAGTCGTAAAAAGTTAGAGATGAACGTTTGTCAATAAAACAAAGGCAAATAAGGATTTCATGTGCTTATGTTTATGAAGGATTTGTTGGTCTTATTTTAGACGGAGGTAAACATAGCGGTTGAAGAAACTTCTCTATACCAAGATCCGATCTTTTGGTATTCATTGCTACCGCTTCAGCTGCTGATAGAAGACGTAGTCTAGCTCCTCTGGATAGATTACCAGGAAGGCGGTAAATAAGTGAGAATGCCTGGTCAGGTTTTATCAAATTCCCATTATCTAAGTGGTCTAAGACTGCACTGTTTACGCATTTGGTTACCCCTTTATGTAGCTATACAGGCACATTTTCACGTGCGCGCATGGATAAAGCCATCTAAGTACAACCAATGTAACTAGCTTCACATGAGCAGTTGATTTAATAGAGACACGTTGATGAGGCCATCTTCGGTTATTTATCCTTGACTAGTTTTGTTGAGAAGCCGAGTACCAGTTTAGCTGGAGGAAACTTTCTTGCCACTGATCTATTAAGTTGACATTTTAGAATGTCAGCTGCAATTTTCCCTTTGTAACTTCACTTAAGATATAAAGGTTTCTTATCTTCAATAACCATTATTACTTTATCTGCGTCGGTGGCACAGTGATTAGAACTCTCGCCGACCATGCACATAGTCCTGGGTTCGATCCCCTACCGACGCACACCTGATATCTATGGTTGGCCTGCAAATTTGGGCTACCGATATCCATGCTGGAAATTTCATACTTGTACCAAAAATACAGTGTGGAATGAAGCTGTAATCAAAAGTTAAAATAAATAAATAAATAAATCATGAGTGTAAATTTATCATTTATCAGTCAAAGTATCCCATGTGTTGCTAAGGTTTAACCCTCTGTATTTTCATTGTTATTTCTAACAGGAATGGGAGTTAACATTTCAAAATGAAAGTCATAAACGATTAAGCAGTCTGATAAAAAAATTACCCAATTCAATATTTCAATCTATTTTCAAACAAGATAAAGCTTCATTGACAAGCATAGAAGATTTTGTTTCAGACGAAAGAAACTTTAATGACTACATCATCGACATCAATGACAAAAAATCAACATCGTCATCATCATCGCTAACAACGAAAAGAATTAAATCACGTCTTGAGTTGAGCATTTTACGTATGCTAAGACAATATGCTGGTTGCCGACGTCAATGTTCAATCTTTAACAAATTATGGATCAAGCATATAAACTATGTAAAGCATCATGCGTACAGTTTGAACAAGATACACTTAGTATTTGAAGGAATTCAAGCAGAATTGTCCAAGTTGTACAGACCATCGAAATTGGTTAGCTGTTGTACAGCACAATTGAATAGTGTAAAGGTATGTTTCATTTCTCGTACAGCTTCAGTCTTATGAATAGTTTTGTACTTGATTTTTAAATATTGTTTAGCTCTAAAATCAATGTCTGTATGTTTGAGGTTGATGACGTTTCAGTGACTGGTTCTGAGTTCAATCCCGGTTGAGTTATAGGTAACAACCAAAATCGACTTGTTGTCTTCTGAACACAGGGGTGTGATCTTTGCGTTCTACTTTATAGCTGTCCGAAAATTCCTTGATAGACTCACAGTCACGTTGACTTCCAAAGGCAGCAAAAAGGCGATTATTCGTTGACAAATCTCTGTGTGGTTCTATTCACCAGCAGTAATAACATCAAAAACTCAATACTCCCTCAACAGTGTCCTTAGACAGTTACGTAATCAAGATAATTTTTGTAAGTACAAAACAAGTAATGTAGAACAAAATTACTTAACTAAAATTAAAATGTAAGACGTACTGGTGATCCAAATAGGGTATTACCAACAACAAGGTGGGATGAAAACTTTGTTCAAAAGAATTCCTGAAGATAGCCCAGGATTAGAACTGTCTTCATCTCATTCGGAGAAAATCACATCGTAAAACAACATATTCTCAGTATCATGTATCACACAACCACAAGAGAAGCATTAAAACTAGAGACTATACAAGGGGATAAGGACTAATAATAAGGATCAGGTCAACAGATGTTCTCTAAAATTTAGGACATTGATACACAGTCGATGGGAAAAACGGATCATCATCACAAAGTTGTTTGAAATATCTAAATAAGTCGATAGTTGAGGAGGGATTTTCCAAACAATCATTCAAGTTGCACATACCGCCGAAGAGTCAACAACGAAAATAGGCTAGAGAGGGTTAGTAAGTCAGCTGTTTATTTATCGCCCTATGTCTTTGAAGATTATGCCTTGTTGAATGAGATTATTAAACAAACTTCCTTATCTGTGAAATCTGTTTTTATAGGGTAATCGTTAAGACTTACTAAATATTGATTTTTATTTCACTCAATGACCACTAAAGTGATTGGGCATCTAAGAAAAGGATGTGTCTAATTAGCAAGTATTTATTGTTGTGAACACTAATATGACGTTGTGAAGCTTATAAGTACCATTAGAATCTGAGATTCTCTTGGAGGGGACATCAGTCTACAACTCTCTAGATTGCTGTGGTCAGTAGTCGTCGACTTCATGGATTGGTGCTATGTTTTTGATTTAACTATCCCTCGAAATCCTGTCTAACGTGATCCAGTTCCACCTAACCTAACTCTTCGAGGAAGGGTTATTGTTCCGCATGCTTAACACGTATTACTAAACTGAACTGTAGTAGCTTCTTTCTCTTACTGCTGAACATTCTACCTGTGATACTTTCACTGGTCTTATCCTCAAATATAATGAAAAATTGAGTGTTGGTAGTCAAAAGCTGGTTAGTATTTTCATATCTTCCACTTTCTTACTGTCATAAATACACATAAGGACAGCTGTTGCACGGTATACACTTCGTCTGAAGGATAAACACATATCTCACTGATGTTAAAGATGATTGCTGTTACTAAATATCAAAGGAGCCTTGCGTATGTTCACGGGGATTCCCTCAACTGCCATTTCATAAGGACCGATGTAGCTTCTCGAATAATTAAAGTGGTTCGTATATTTGACTAATTTACTTTACGGACGGAGCAAGAAAGATATGCACGGATGATAAGTTACAAAAGGCATTTGAATATATTCATGGTTCCTTGATGGAGACGGAATATCTGAGTGGTTTCATAAAGAAATTATGCAAATATTAGATGGAAAACCTAAGACAGTACGGAAGAGACCACCGTTTATAAAGTTACAATTTAATGGGGACTTGTCAAACTAGATTTTGTTTGAGGGACTAGCCACAATTATACGAAATAAATTTGCCTAGCCAACTTGATTTTTTCATTATCTATTCGACGAACTGTTGGGATTCAAAAGAAGGATAAGCTAGATAGTTTTGACACATCAAAGTGTATTTATCAATTGAAATACTTCTGCGAAGACAGTTATGTTAAGCGTACTACTGGACGGCTTAGCCAACCAACGTGTTACTGAACTTCCCCTTTTCGTGGCTTTGAGAAAGGACACAGAAATGTTACCCATAACTCCATTTTGTCATATTTAGTTAGTAGTGGTCATTTAGTGGAAAGAAATGAAAGCTTTCAAGGTTATCCAACGCGTTCAACTGAATCTTCTCAATGAATTTCTCATTTGTCTGCTGCATACAGCTGAGGCGATAGGCATTCGACTTATTAAGTCTAAACTATGCGTTCAAAAGAAGTTTTACTACCGTTATCCCTCTCTTGGCCAATTAAGACCCAACCAATTGATGATATCACCACCACCGTCTATTTGTATTTTTAATACTTCTCTTAGTCTTATTCTATCCCTTAGTCTTATCATGTTGTGCGTCGGAGGCACAGCGGTTAGGACGCTCGCCGACCATGCATACGGTCTGGGGTTCGATACTCGGCCGACGCACTCCTTTACCTCGCTAAGCCAGAAATAATCCTGGTAAAGAGGAAAGGTTGGGTATGGGGCTAGCAACCCCATCCTGTAAAAATAAACACACCACTGCTACAGAAACTTCAAGCCAGTTGCTTGAAGATCGCTCCACTTTTTCATCTTTTTTATTGGCAGAAGCGTTATTATTACTGTTCTTAAAGCTAATTGCATAACTTATATCCACAATCTTATAGTCCTAATGACAGTATATTAGGTATATTAGAGTTAAACCTTATGAGATCTAAGTGAGAACAATATTCAAGTGTAAATTTGCAGGGTTTTGACTCGTCACAGGAGTTCATCATGGGGTGAATTCAGTTAGTAGACTATTGGAAAATCAGCACTGGAGTACTGGACATCTGTTTTGTCAGCCTATTCTGAATTCTTCAACAGTACGCACCCATCCACTAACGGGGTTTGAACTTAAAACCATCGGTTAACAAAGTGCCAAGCTGGTGGACCATGAAGCATCCGCCTGGGACTCGACACAACGGTCATCCCATGAATTCCAACTTCTGCCAATTCATGATATCACAGAAAATACTCAGTGAGTCATGAAGAAAACAAAAGACAGATTCAGCGAAGAAAAATTTCTTTATCGACTAAATCATCTTCAGAGGCTGTACAGTCGTATTTATACTTATAACAATATATAGTGGTCTATTATTGAGTAATAGTGGGGGACATAATTGATATAATTATTCATAAGTGGCTTTAGAAGTTCTCATAGAGAATGGTTATCCTCCAGGATTTATCGAGAAAAACATGAAGTTAAGAGAAAAGCCTGAAAGAGTCCAAACGGTGCCGAAGAAACTGCTCTTTATGAGTGTTGAATTTAAAGGTGACATTGCAGCTGAGATCCTGAAGAATCGCTTATGCAGATCATCAATACAACCCTGAACTCTGTATACAGTGAAAGTTTGTCCAGTCTCTTATTCTATCTTGGTCTTAACCTCTTCACTAATCGTTCATTGTAAAACATTTTTGATTTTTTTTTTGTTCTTAATCTTTAATTTTACTTTTAGTTCGCTTTTGCTTTAATAATTCATTTACTATTATCAATTTCATATGCTCCTTTTGTATATTTTCACACCCTCTTCACACTTGTTAAATTCACACTCAAATACCACCTTTATTCTTATTCAATAGCAATTTTAACCTTATCAAACTTCTATCTTTGTTCCGTTGAGTACCATGTAATTTACAACTTTTAACTTTTAATTTCCACTTCTTTTTGATGTGGTTTTGTCAAAGTTCAGATCAAAGAAACAGTCAGTTCCAATACAAGTAACCTAGAAGATGTGAAAACACACATAAACAACCAATCACGTCCAAGGTCACCAGGAGAGATGATTAGTAAACTCGTGGAGAAATCTAAAAGCTCACTTCAAATTGAAGTATGCGCTGAAGATGTCACCCAGTAGGGTGATGAAAGCTTCGCAAATTAACCATCCAGCTCAGAGAACAAAATCACATCAAAATCATCCACCTGAGCTACAAATCTTCTCTATCATATCTAATTTCCACTTCTAAAGCCACTTATGATTAATTATATCAATTATGTCACCCCCTATTACTCAATAATAGACCAGTATATATTTTTGTAAGTATAAATACGACTGTACAGCCTCTGAAGATGACTTCGTCGATAAAGAAATTTTGTTTCGCTGAATCTGTCTTTTGTTTTCTTCAATTCACGATATGCCTTGACTACTACCCAGTGTCATCGGCGAGTATCTATCCTCACACCTTATATACTCTTCAGTCCTACGAGGTTTTCCTAGCGGTTTTCTAACCTATGTTAGCTCATGATGAAATCCTGAAAACAATATTGTTCGTATACATGTGTAGTTCTAAAGTCTACTATAGGATTATTTAATATTTTCAAATTTAATTCTTATCCTTAAACTAAGATTCCGTGCAGAAACGTCCTGCAGCATCATATTACATATGACAGAATGACAAGGGATACACATGATCATTTAATATGAATTTGATTTTAACGCATATGTGAATTGTGCAGATCGTGAAAATCCTGAGCCTATCAATGATTTCAGAAGACTATGCCTAACACGCTGAATACTATGCGCATAGCAACCAAGGCGGAATATGAGAAAGCGGAAGGACAGTAGAACTGTTTATTTCTCCACAGATTACGAAACAGGATTATAAGTTTATGTGTTCAAAGTCTGTTAAGAAACGTTAAAAGAAAATGTACAGTGTACAATACAAGTGATCATATTTCTCCACTTATCCGCTAATCAAGCATATGACTAATCAAACGGTCAACATTGTTGTCTCCCGCCAAGTGTGGACACCAACTCGAATAAACAAACCATTTAATGTTCACCAACGTTGACACCATTTATATATATGTATACCTTAATTCATTAAAGTTCATTTCATTTTAATAACTACCGACTTATTTGCTTCATTTCTTGCCCGTCTTTCTTTTTTTTAGAATGTTATTGATCAACTGAAAGAATATGAGGTGTTAGTAGTCAGTCTGTATGATTCACTACCTCTGCTGAAATCGGTATGTAGTACCAATGAAGTATCACGAGCAGTTGCAACTATCAAAGATACTAAACACAATTTTGTCTGTTTATTACGTCGAGCAACAGAACGGCAAAAGATTCTAACACAAGCATTAAAGGAAGATACTAAGGTAAGCAAGCGCATAGTCATTGCAGTTGTATTTGTGTTGTTTTGTTGTTGTTGATGATGGTGGTGGTGGTGGTGTTAATTTGTTTCGTTGGAAGTAAACTGTACACGTGATAAAAAAAATTTGTTATTAGTTGTTTTGTGTATGAAGGCCAAAGAATCAGTAAGATCAGATTAAAAAACACATTTATGCCAGTTAAATTCGAAGAGGTACGGTAAATATTATGAAAAGATAAGATTCAACCTTAAATTACATGTTTTTGTGTTTATGTAATTTCACTGTGTATTATTAGCATAATTATTCCCTTGGATTCTGAGTGAAACAAAGAACCTCAGCAGAACATCTCCACTTCGTCCAGTTCCCTGTCCTTCTCTTTAGCTGACCACTCTATTGGCCATAAACTCCTATCTCCTCCAAGTTACTCTTTGACAGGTGCTCAACTTACCATTTCCCATTCCACTAGAGTGCTCATCTGGCTCATCACTTCACTCATCCGTCTTCTCAGTGTGTGGATGATCTGTCTTCATTTCCTTCAGCAAGTATGTTGAGTTGCTGTCAGAGTTCCCTGTTGCTATTCCATTCTGGCAATCCGATGTTCAGTATCGAGCGAATGCAGCTGCTAATAAAAGTTGGCAGTCATCGGCTAGAAATGCTTTACTCCACGTCTGTAAAGAATATAGAATTTGATAAATTTGGCATTAGTGTGAAATCATAGTGTCCAAATCCTGTTATTTATGTAAAATGGGAAATCTTCATCACTCATCATCAACGACAAAATTCGGTAGGAATTTCAATACAAAGGTCAAGTTAGTTCTTCTACACGGATCAGAAACTCAGTGGGTGGGTCACAAAGAATATTTCCAACAGCCTATTGCAGACCTTTATCAACAACTAACTGTCTTCGCTCTATACTGAAGATCAGATGGCCGGGCGGAAAGAATCACCAACAAGAAAGTATGGGAACAAACAAAACAAAACAAGAACCAATCGGCCAACCAACAAATATTCAGGAGAAAGTGGAGATGGATGAATTGGACACTTGCTCGCTGAGAAGGCATCACACTGGGTGACATCGCGCGCGCGTCAGGCCATTGGTCGAGTGGAACCAGACCGAAAGGGAAGCGGCGATTGGGACGTCAGTGCAAGGGTGACATGGAGGAGATCGTGTGAAGAGGAGTTGAAACAGTATAGACTAACATGAATGCAGGTGAAAAGCACAGTAGAAGAGAGAAGCAAGTGGGAACGTGCAGTTGAAGCCCTATGTTCCACTAGGAACTCAAGGGAACACTAATAATAATAAATGTAAAGTTGAGAAGATTACCACATTGATTTTAAATTATTGCAGGTCTGTCTTGCTTTCCATGTCTGATCTTACTTTTGACATCCTCATCTGTACCACCTGCATTTAGGGCGATACTGCCTAGATAAGTCAGAGAGGTGATGTCTTTTGAAATTATCCTGTTGACAGTGTTTGATGACCGTTGTGGTTGGCTAGGCAGCTTCATTAACTTTGTCTTCCCTGTGTCTGCTTAAAGTCCTCCTGTCTTCACAGTTTGTTTCTCCTGTCGAAATCCGAGTTTGTGTGACTTTAAGCATAAATCATTCGAAAATTCCGTATCTTCTAGAGTCGTCTAACCGGTCCAACGAATTCTTGACTCCATTCTCCACACAGTCTCCTACATGATCCAGTTCACCACAACTAAGAATATCATTGTTGGTGGTGGGAAGCGTTGTCTTGCTCCTGCATTCAATTAAAAAAAACTCTCTAAGTTTCTGTTGTAGATCACTTGACATGTGGTATTGTCAAACAGCTGTTTAATGAGGTTGATAAAGGTTTGGGAAAGCACCAACAACAACAAGCACCAATCACCATCAACGGAAGACATTTGACAGATTTCCCGTCACTTGTCTGAGAAGCATCGTTTGAAATACAGGTGACAACACCAATGAGGAAGTCAAAGCCAGATAGGATCCGAAGGGCTGGACAGAATTTCACCAATGTGAAATCAATCTGGAAATCTTCCACACTCCAAAGTGTAACATTAAAATTCAGAATTTTAACACCGATTCTAAGTCAGGCAGTTCTTCCATAAAGACCAAAACTTGACTTACGTATTACGGAGAGCATTTTTAACAGTGTGCTGCAGATTTCCAATAACATCTGCGTTCGGTGGCTACAAATTGAAAATATTTTGGCCGGCCAAAATGAATTACCAACAAGAAATTCTGGGAGCGAACGAATCAAGAATCTATTGGTCAACAAATATGTTGAAGAAAGTGGAGAGGGATTGGTGACGCATTGAGGGAGTCGTCAGCTGACATCATGCGTCAGCATGAGAAAAGACGAGTTGGGTGTGGATCCTACGGCCACATGGAGGAGATGGCGTGTGAAGGAGATGAAAGCTTATGGGCAGTCATGGGGCTAGGTGAAGAGGACCACAGAGATGTGTTCCACTTGGAAGACAACAGGATAATATCAGTAATAATAAAGGTTTTCCACGTGCCCACCGTTTAAACATTATCACAGATTAGCCAACTGAGTCAGCTTATTTGCTCATTTTTACGTAATACAAACACTACTGTACTCGGTGAAAACTCTTAAAAAAATGTTTCTGTTTATCATTTTTCCTTCACTTTGTTTTCCAGTTTGATACAGCTTACCATAGTTTAATGGAGTGGTTCCTAACTAACGTTGAAGTGCTGAAATCTTACAATGCGCATACTGTATATGATGAAAAGATTCAAGCGTCAATTAAGACTTTGGTGAGTGGATTGTTATAACTTTTCATTCATACACTTTTTCTTCAACCTGCACTTTATTGTGTATTCTTCACAAAACAATGACATGTTATAATGCCAATGCATTGATACCCTTTTGATGATAACTAAGGTGATGTAACATACTAGATGACGTTTAGTGCAATTATAAGTGGACTGATGAACACTTGCTTAAAACTGATAGTAAACTGCTAACATAAAATCTTTGGTACTTATAAGGTTGGTATAATAAAAAGGGTGTTAAAAACACAAACCTACAGACAGTGTTATAGCGAAATAATTATACAGAAGTTAATCTTTAATTTATGACAGCTGGAGTTGTTTATCACTCCGAATAACTCTACTTTGTCAGTTGAATGAATCGAAATTCACCATGAAATTTGTTCAATCATGAAACCAACTTGACTGTTGTGCAGTGTATTGGGCAGTGTGTGAACGACTTCATGCTACATATGCCAATCACTAAAACATATTGCATTACTTTGTTTAAAGTACCATAGAATGTAGTAATGTTCCCTCAAATTTTATTGCTTTATGCTCCTAGTGGAATATAGGACTCCAAGCTTTGAAATTTACAGTAGCAATGGTGTTACTTTCTTTATAGCCTCAGGCTAAACCTTCTTCCTTTGTCGAGTTTACTGCTAGTTAGATAAGGTTTAAGAGTGCATTGTACAAGGCTCGCTAGAATTCGACTACCAAATCATCGACGAAAGGTTTAACGTGACAATGCAAGCCTCCAGTTGAAAAAAATAGTAGATTGAAACTAAGTTATGTAGCTGACTGATGTCAGCATTTTGTGAACTAGATGCATTCACTTAAACCACTACATATTGCGCTTCAAATGAACTAAACTACTTCACACATTTAGTCCACTTTATGAATTTCTATAAAGCTAGAACAATAGCTTTTGCAGAATAAGACGATGCTACCATCATTGTTTATTTCGTTGGCTTCTCATCAGCTGCTTACACTCTCGATAATTTATTATCAAGTTAATTTACAGAAAAGTTTTAACATACTTGCAAATTTTACATGATGTCAGTTGACATGAAGTTCGAACTAAGTGAATGGTGCTCAGAGAGATACGCTTACATAGTTTCTATACAGGGAGTTCAAGTTTAAACAAAGTAAATATATGCATACAATAGTACAGGAGTTACGTAACCAAGACGATAGGTACCTAAGATAATGAGTGAATAATAAAGTGGGTAACAATATACTGAGTTCAACTCAAACCATAGAAATGAGAGACAAGAAAAATTGCACTATAACAAAAAGGGGATGAGATTACAGTCAAAGATTGCGTAATCAAAGGAAAGAGAGAGAATAAAGACATCCAGCTACAGCAGGGCAAGGAGAGACAGGTAACTGCCTATTTCTGAACACATAAATTGGGTTTCAGGCGTTGCTTAGGCAAACTTGAGGAGGATTGAGCTTTTTCGCCTATTGATAATTTGAAAGGAATTTGAGATTTCCACCTCATTATCCACATCAAGGAAATATCCGGTAATGGCACTATTGTGAGCATTTGTTCCCTTGAGGGGTAGGCTTTTCAACACGACTACTTAACACAAGTCCCTCGTAATACTGTATTTTTTTCAATAGTTTCACACTGGAACAATAAAAATTTAATGGCGTATACATTTGGTTAGCTTCAATTTGGACATTATGAAAATGTGCTTAGGTTTACTTATTATTATTAGTAGTAGTACTGTTCCATTTGGGTTCCGAGTGGAATACAAGGCTTCAACAGCACGTCTGTAATTCGCTCTACCCTCTGCAGTCCTCTTCAGCCGCTTCGGTGTTTGTCCATAGTCTCGGAATGTTTGACTATGCAGTTTGATTGTGCGTTAGTCTGCTACAGAAGGATGATCCATTTAATAAATAAGATACATTTATTCAGCAGTTTTGACGCTTTCTTGAAGTGTTCAGTATTGAGGTAAAGTTTATTTGCTTTACAAGGTGGCTAAACTGTGCGAAAATAGTCTTTTTTGGGTAACTTTATTTTTTACCTTTTCATCTTTCGCGTTCAGCATGGAACATAGGGCTTCAAGCTTCACTTGTGAAGTGCACATTATATTTCGAGGCTTCTCTTCAACTGCAGACAACCTGGTATATATACATATATGATATAAATAAAATAAGCACATCCATTCTTCTTATTCTGTAACCCGAGATTTGGTATTAAGATCTTAATTTAGGGAGATGAGAATGCATGAAATGTAATGGGTATAGTCATAGTTACCAGTAGGACAGAAATGGAAGTGATTATCAATCATAAGTTTGCTCAGATCAGCAGTACAGAGAGAAAACTCTACATAACACCGTACAGGTAAGCATTTGAAAGTGACTGAAAATCAGTTATATGAGTTAAGATCAGTGGGTCACATAAAAACACACAAATAGGTAATAAGTGGAGAAAAAACGTTGACAGGATGAAATACACTTAGTCACTATTTCTTTCTGTATATACACAAATTAGTTTTGGCTTGTTTGATGGCTACTGATTCAGCAAACTGAAGTAACACATTGTGTTTCCTTGTTTATTAATAATACAGTAAAAGCAGTTTGAATATCTATTTGTTGTTCTGATTCTATTCAGTGTCGTTCAATGGTGTGCTGATAAGAGAATCCGTAAACTGTAATTTTCATGCTCTCAACTCCTGTTAATACAATGCATATTATAGGCTGTTTGCAGTTGAAGAAAACACGTTGCATGCATTTCTTGGAAAACTGCCTCCCTGCTGAATGAATATATATATACATATACATATATATAAATATATATATATATATATCTTTGTATAAGAGATTGAAAATTCAGTGGTGTTCATTGGATTCAACATTCTTTAATGATTAGTCATTGTGAGGCGTGATATTTTATGTGTTTGTGGGGTTCTCTACACTCAGACGGATGAAGGGAATGTTGAGCACATCTTTGTTAATCTGTCATTGAGCAAGCCTATTCATTTAATAACAGGGCACTTTGTTGATTTAGTATAGTCTTACCTTCAGTATTACTATTGACTTGTAAATATCATTTGAGGAAATTGCTTCAAAATCAAATAAAAGATCTGATCGAACCCCCCATAGGGAATGGATTCATGGCATCTGGGCATAGCTGAGGCACCGGTAATTCATAAGTTCAAGCAAACCATATTTATTCAACAGATAATATGTCCAACCGTTATTTCTAACGTGGTCATCATGAAAGGTCAATGTTCTCAACAGTGATTTTCCTATTGCCTTTCTTATCCAATTTTTCTGTTTATTCATGTTTCTTTTGTACGTTTTTAAATCCCTATTTGCAATCTTATTAATTTGAACCTCGATTGGAAATAGTTTTGAAATTTTCTCACTCATTTAAACAGTAAATACAGACGAATTTACATTTGGCTATCTAGTTGATGACTTCATCGACAAGAAGATCTTCTTTCCCTAATCTCTTTTTTAAACATTTATGCATATATATATTCACAATCCCCATGGTGCTATCAGAACAAGATGATTTTGAGTGAACAATTTTTCCTCAGTTTCTACAGTGAATATTAGAATACAAATAGCCGGGGAAGGCGAGTGGGAATTATATCAGAAACTGTATTGGGGCACGTATATAGGATAGAATAACTGTTTATTAGTTAATATTGTCTTCTGAATGCATTCAGAACATAAGATGAAGTGTGAATAGGCAAAAGGGTGACATTATTATTATTATATCCTTTAATTCCTAGAGGAACATAGGGCTTCAGCTGCACGTCTCCATTGCCTTCGGTTTTCTGCCAACTTTTTCACCCCGCTCCAAGTCTGCTTTCATCTCTTCTTCACATGACCTAATATATTTATAGTTAACAGGATATAAATTTCATCAGGCTTGGTGGAAGAAATATGAATACCGCCAAATGCATACAAATAAATACCAAATATATGAGGAACACTCAATGTAAGTTCAAGTAAGGACTGACGGATGCCAAGTGTAGTGACCAATGTGTCAGTAAAAGTAAGATTAGTGAAATGGTTAAGTAATAGGGCACAAAAAGTAAATGTTACCAAGGAAAATCTAAGACAGAAAGCGAGGCATATAAGAGAAGTTTCGAAACTTAATAATCAACCTGATAAATTAGTCAGGGAATATGTAGAAAAATGTAAAAATAAAGTTAATAAAAATGGCACTAATACTGGTAATAATAATAATAGTAATGATGACATGCATTTCAAACATGTTCAGGATAATGACAACACCAACAATAGAGAATATAAATCATCAGTAGTACTTCCATACAAAGAAGGAACCTCGGAAACCTTACAGAGAATTCTTAACAACGGAGGGATAGAAGTGGCATTCAAACCCACAAACTCAGTGAAAAATAATCTTTGTTGATTAAAGGATCCTGTGAAGTCAATTATACATAACAATTAAGTTTATCTAATACTCTACCTGCAACGATTGTCAGTCAAATAAATAGGTCAGAGTAGTAGAACAGGTGCATTCAAACTAGCGGAGCATAGAAACCTAGGGAAATCTAGATTAATTGACCCGAATAAGATAAGAAATCTAGAGAATAGTTCAGCTATAACACTCATTGCGTGCAGTTACACGCAACCATACAATAGGGTGATGGTATAAGATGACAGTTTTAAAATCTAATGTCACAGGGTGGAGGGAGAGATTGATGACAGAAGCTTTGTTTATCGAATCAACTGCAAATACACGTCATAGGAATGATTCAACACCTGTCCAGTAGGGATTCTAGAAAATTCTACTACCCCCAACGATGACGAACAGAAAAGAATAAAGAAAATTATAAAACGAAAGCTTTTTAAGTTGTGTGATTATAACTGAAATAATTGTGAACAATAGTAAACTGTTAATTGGTGGGTGGTGACTAGCAGTGGAATCCAGGATGTGCACTTCGTCCTATTTAGGACTCGTCGTCTGGATGTACCTTCATCCTCCTCCAAATTTGAAGTGAGTAATTAACTGTTTTCGAAACCTTGTCATCCAGTAAACAGTAATACTGTTTCACCCTGTGTGTGATATATCTAATATAGAAATTAATATGGAATAAAACAAAGAGATTAAATTGTGGACTGCAATAAAATACTAGAGACATAATAAGGTCCACACATAATAGGGATAATAATGGAGTGAAGTGAACTAGGTGAAAAGGAATAAGAAAGGCGTAATACGATGTGAAAGTATGAGATGATGAAGTCCCTGCTGACCTTACAGTAGATCAGGGTAAACAAACAGAATGAGTGTGCTTCTCTTCCACGTGTAGGTTAGGTTTCTTCGTATTAATTTTCATACCTATCGGTGTAGCTAAGAGACGTAATCGTATGCCTTTAGGCTCCTCTATTTTGATGTAATGTTCACAATCCACTAGATGAGACTATTTATTGATTTAGTCACACTTTTTCCAGGTGAAACAGGAACATGTTCAGTGGAGCGCAAGGGTAAATTCCTCTGAGTTTTACTCACATAACTAACTCCACATGAGCAGTTGAATTTGTATAGACACACTGATGTGTCCATCTTTGGTAATTCATCTTTGGTGCACTGTATCGGTGTCTGTGTGGTTGAGAAACCGATGTGTACTTCTGAAGCATTGAAAGTACTTTCAATTAACCTAACCAACCTACGGCTTAATACACCACCTTTGAACTGTACTCTTAAATAAAGCTTTTTCTTATTAACTGGTTCGATTTTATCAGTTCTTTTAGAAATATACTTCTTTACAAAAATGGTAGGATAACTAATTTTTGGCAAGGTATTTTCAAGATTTTCGATTACATCTTCAATACAATCCTTCCAACATATGCGCTTAATTCTGTGACTTATATATATGTACACGAATACAGGCAGTTTCTGATATAATTTTCACTCGCCTTCACTGGCTATTTGTATTCTAATATATTCACGGATTTATAATTGTGTAGAAGCTGAGGAAGAAGTTATCCAGAACACTTGTTCACTCAAAATCATCTTGTTCTGGTGTATATATATATATATACATGTATATTTGTGTATGCTAATGGTATGATTTTAGTGTATTCTTGAAGAATCGGGCTGGTATTCATTTCAAGTTAATTGGTAAGAAGGCATGTCAACTAAACAGTTTATACTAATAGTATGAATGCAATCTGTATATGTGTATACATTGCATGCAACAATTGGTATCCTTCATATGTTATTAAACAGTGTTATACACTTAGACTTTTTAACCTTTTTTTTTAAAATGTATATCTATGTCTATATGGATTTATCTGCACGCTTTGTAATGCATTCTGTCATTATGTATCTAGTGTTCTGGTCTTACTGGTGTTGGCGTTGTTGATCCTCTTCCTCTACTTCTAAGGCTTGTACCTGCTACTAATCTACTAAGATTACTGTTGCCTTTGTCTTTTAGAAATACATAAATGCAATTTATACAATCGTGCATTATATAATAAAAATTGCCTAAAATATGCATGTTTTGAATGTTATATTAGAATGGTCGTTGATGTAGTGTGTACATACATGTGTCTTACTGTTAACACCTGTGTTACATTTAACTCTTATTCTGTAATTATGTATATATGCATTATATTTAATCTCTAAATAGGGACAATTATTATGATTATCAAAGGGTTATTTAATCTTTTAATCCACTAGAAAAGGAATACACTTTTCTCGTAAACACATTTCTGGGACATGTTTATTTCGGCATCCTTGATCTGTTAAACTTCCGTAATTTAAATTATATTCGACTGTTGATTTGAAGTGTAGATAGAGTGGTTAGCGGTAGGGGTTAGATAGCAGCTAGTATGTACAGGAAATCGACTGACACACTTTAATAATATATAAATACTTAGACTTTAATTCTTCTTAATCATCGAGAATCGTTAAAGGAAGATAGGTTTAGTTAAATGTTTATTTATATGTATGATAAGCACAGTAGCTTAACTAACTAGTAAGTCAGAGAGTAGGTTGGATATGAGGCTAGCAATCCCATCCCGTAAAATAATCACCACTGCTACAGAAACTTCAAGCCTCTAGCTTGAAGCCCAATGTTCCACTGGGAAAGTAAAGGAATTAACAAAAAGAAAAACATGGGAAGTATTCAATTGATCTTCAAATCTTCGCTAGTATTGATATTTTTTGCTAAATGCTGTCAATGGTGATTCAGGGAGAATCTGTATTCTTATAACTCCATATGATTTTACATTAAGAAGTTAAGACAATCAGGAAGGCATCATTCGAATTGGTCTTTTACCATTTGTTAATTCTTGAATTTCGCCTATTACCCTTAACTGCTACCTATTAGTAGTTTCTGATCTACTTAAAAAGGACTCCTTCATACTAAAGAGAAGACTGTTAAGGGCTGCCAGTGGGACTAGTGGTCTACTATTAAGTCAGCTCATCATTATTGTAGTCGATAGACATATAAACTCATGCTAGAAATAGTCTAAATCCATACTGTTTTACTCTCAACACCCACTCTCTATGCACACCTCTCCCCGCTTTGCATCACATCGGATAAGAATATAAGTCATTATAAAACATTATATGCTCACTAGCACAACCAAGTACAGAAAGTCAACTATACCCTATTTGTCCCACCGGCATTCTGTGTGATATAGATAATGCTAAGCTGGAAACCTCTGACTTACTATGTTATGAGCAAAATTAATTGACTCTTTTGTTCTGTCCTATTTGTAATCTATGGTAACCTAGCTATTATTGACTTTATGATTTGCACACTTTTGTACATTTTTGACTTTATTGTCATCGCGAATACCAAAACAAACCGCCAAAATCAATCCTGTAATATCATTTTCTTTATTTTTGGTTTCACTGCTGTTGAGTAAATTAGATGCAGTAATATGGTACCAAATGCTAAGAATTCCACATTGTATCATAAGTACTGTTAGCGAATAAAGCAAATTATTTTTTTCCTTTACGTCACACAGTGGAACTTAGGGCTCCAAGCTATAGAGGCTTGAAGTTTCTGTAGCAGTTGTAATTTTTTTACAGGATGGGGTTGCTAGCCTCATGTCCTCTTTACCAGCATCATTTCTGGCTTAGCGACGTAAAGGAGTGTGTCTGCCGGGGATCGAACCCCTGACCATGTGCACGGACGGCGAGCATCCTAACCGCTGTACCACCGACGCACAGTTAGCAGGTCACAATGAAACGAAAGCCTAGACTCATGATGTCCCAATAGGATAATTGAATTCATAGATTACCTTCATCTGAACTGTAGTAGTAGCAAATTATTACTATACTTCAAGTGTTGGTTTGTAGGGATTTGATTGGTTACAGGATTTCATCATGAGCTGACATTAGTTAGAGAACCATTGGAAAACCTGGTTTTCGTCCTAGTTTGTGACTCTTCAGTAGTACGCAACTACCGGGATTTGAACCCAGGACCTTCTGGTTACAAGGCGAGCTCGTATACTATTAAGCCGCTGGGACTCGATCCAGTGGCCCATGAATTCTAACTTCTCTAACTAATGTCAGCTCATGATGAAATCCTATTACTATACTTATTATTAATGAAAGTAGCATGATATAAGTATTATTTAATACATCACTCAGTTAGTGAAATTGTATTTCATACACATTGTGTTGCCATTGTTTGCCTTGTGATCAGCCAGATTTGTCTACCTTTGGAATTTTATGCATTCTCAATAGCTTCGTTGTTCTGTTTTTTCATCTATTAAACTTATCCTTTATTTTTTGCAGTCAAATCGAAATGGAGAAATCATCGTTAACTGCTCGAAATAAGAAGTCGACAATTTCATGTCTAAAAGAATGGCTACATTCTGTAGAAGAACAGCTTGGTATTGAGAATATTCATAGTGGACTAAAATCTACCAAAATTTCATCGGAAAATGCTAATAGTAATATTGAACAGCCATTTTCCAATAGCACTGAGTCATCGAATGAGGAATGCAACAAACAATCGTTGAAATCATTATATTCAAGTTTCAGTCATCAACAGTATGTGAGCATTGTTTCGGTTGCCGGTGATATAGCTTTCGTTCAATCTGTGGATTCAAGTCATTCGGTGAGTTGTGTGTTTGTCTGGAAATCTAAGTCACTTTCTGATCTCGAGATATCATGTTGTCTGAAGTTAATCCTTAGAAAGTGATATTTCATTTTATAGATTATGGAGCCAGAAAATTATCGTTTTGCAGAGTGATGATACAAATCTGTTGGCCAGGGGATTCGAGCTGGTTGAGTGTCGAGCGCTTACACTCATCTCAATGGCGATCAGCATAACTTTACTCAAACCTGATATCCATCTTAGCTACTCTTTTCCTAGTTAAGGACTGTTCAGCAGTACGTATCTATTACGGGGCTCTAACGCAGGACCTTCTGGTTATACAAGTAACTATTTTGTTGCTTCACTTGGTTCACCCTACTGGTTGCGACGTCTCACTAGAATTTCAGCAGCAGTTAGTGAGTATCAAATTGGTGACGACCTATTGGTGGTCTGGATGGATTCGACAAGCTACAGGTTTTCTCTGCTTTTCCAATTATGATGATGGCGGTTGCATTGTATGATGAATATGTAAAGCTGAACACATATCAGATAAATAATTCGGTTGATACGTTGTTAACTGATTTAAATGATCCACTTTAAAACCAGTAACTCCTCCGCTCGAATCCCTCTCTACCTACTGTAGTTTTAAGTCTTCACACAATAGATGTGTGAGTCGCATGCAAACAACTTTCTCTAATGAAGTGAGTTTTACAAAAAGACAAAATACCACACATCAGTGAATTTTGTCTCATCTCTGACTATAACTGGTACATACCGTTGCTTTTACTTTAGTATTAGAGAGAAAAGAACAAGATGTTCAGCGAACTGATATCTGCTTTTCCGCAATTCCGTTCTCAAAAGCGCAGCTGTACAATCACATTTATGTGCATCAGTTTACTTAGATGCAATCATTGCCATCTAATTCCACATAATAACAGAGTAAGAGCAGGAGGTTAAACGTGCGATAATAATTTTTAACTTGGTTTGAAAGTTCAAGAATGTGAATGTTGATTACAAGAGGCTTAGAAACCAAATTATACAGGATTAGAAAAAGGTTTTTAACGAATATAGGCGTGAATGGGATGAGCATAGGTACAAACTGAAATAGTGGCTTTCTATAAGTGAAAATGAGGAAATAAAACTGAAAACTAAGGAATCAAACTGAACTAGATCCATGGTAAATGTAGAGGTTGGGATAGTTTCATTCTGAACACGTAGGTTCAGTATTTCGATGGATATGGTGAAGGGCTTCTGTTGTACAAAGAAGACAGAAACACACTTCTTCTGGTAGATTTCCGTTTACTGACTGTGAATGACTGTGAATAATGGATGAGTCAGTTGAGATGCTAAGATAGATGTTGATGAGGTGTCCAATTATGGCGCTTCTGATTGCATCAGTGCCTCCTCTTTACAGCCATTCTGGCTTGTGTTCTCTAAGATATTTTGACAATACATGCAGAGAACGACTTCCATACGAGCAGGTGAACTGATATATGCACATTGGGGCAGTGAAATGCGGAGGTTTGTTCTTCACATTGCTTAGAAGCAGTGAGCGACTGAACAATATCACTCTTAGAGTTGCTTCAGGAAAGGTTTTCTTTAGGGAACTACAGATTCTCCTCTTAAGCATACCTGCAGCTAGGTTTCCCCTGAATTTCATATTCGAATGTTATGTCCACTTTGGTAGTGATATGCATTCTTCTCGTTTTGACTTTGGTTGCATGTTCTATTCCACGAAACTTGCCGGGCATCCACTTTAACTCAGGATACTTTTGAGAAATAAATACTCTTCTTCTAGAAGCAGTCAATACGGCAAGGTTTTCTGATGCGGGGGGTCAGTGAGATGATGAAAGCGCTTTTTCCACTGGCAGGTATCCAACCGTGGAAACTTGTCAGTTGTTTTCTGTGGGTATATGTTTTCAGATTCCCATCATGTCTTCTCGTCAATTTCACGTTCAGAAATGGAATCTTTGATTCATTTTTTAATTTCGATGTTACTTCAGCAGTCAAACAAATGTCAATGCTCTAGTCTACTGTCATTGTCCAAACCCTAATCATATTTCTTCATGATTAGTAGTCATACTTCCTTCTAGGATGATATGGGTAAAAATCAATGACACTAGGCATTTATTAGTCAAAAAGCTTTAAAAGTGAGGCATAGCTTCACTTTCACAATAATATATTCACCCTGAGTTACGTAAGAATTTTCAAGTTTAATAACCTTTGATTTCTGCTGTTGTTATTACAAAATTGTTTATAGATATTGGGTGAACAGTTATGCCAGCATGAAAAGTTATATCAAGAAATGATTTCAAACGATGCCAACACCAGTGAATCAGCTGATCTAATGGATCGTTTAATTCGAATAAGGAAAGCTTACAATTTAAGATGTAGAAGTCTTCAGGTGAGTAAACTGTTGAATGTTATTGCTCCTTTGATGTTTCCATCGGGATAATTGATTTATCCTCGAAGATCTGCACCTGTTCCACTCATTACCAAACAATGAGAACCTTAGGAATAAGTTATTTAGACATGATTTCTATTTTCAAGTGTTGGTTTGTAGGTATTTCATTGGTTACAGGATTTCATCATGAGCTGACATTAGTTAGAGAACCAATGGAATCCAATGGTTCTCTAATTAATGTCAGCTCATGACGATTTCTATTTCTTGGTTGATTGTTTGGTAATGAAAAATTGTAGGAGATTTTCAGCTTAGGTGGATGATTTTGATTTAGTTGTATTCTCTGAGGATTTGATTGATTTCATTTCAAAGCTTTTGTTGTCTACCTTCTAGACAGCATCTATTCAGTGCAGGTTTTATTATGTAATGAACATTTTTATTGACTTGGAATTTTAACTTTCTTGTTATGTGACTTATTCAAATCGTTATTCCGTGTCATTGTCAGTAGTGCAGATGCATTCATTCTTTTTGATCAGTACAACCAGAAGGAAAGGAACAGGAATTATGTAAAGTAAATTTTGCAGTGTGCGTCGGTGGTTCAGCAGTAGGGTGCTGGCTGACCATGCACGTGGTATGGGGTTCTAGTCCTGGCTGGCGCACACTTAGCCGGTTGTAATACCGACAAAAAGGGCAGGTTGGGCATGGGGCTAGCAACTCCATCCCTTTAAAAACACCACTGCTACTGAATCTTTAAAGGTAAAGCTTGAAGCCTTCTGTTCTACTGGGAACCCAAAGGAATAAAAAGCAATTTTTGTAGCTGTTGATTTTATTACCTAGACAGTTTAATCAGAAATTCATTCGGTTTTTGTGAGCTTCAGAGAAAAAAGAGCCTATGCGTTCAGTTATGATTCAAAACAAAAAGACTGGTCTTTCCGTTCTCCGATGTATTCCTACCTTCACCGATAAAGTACACTGAAGTACATAGTGCGTTATTTAATACTCAACCATTTTAGTAATAGAGATAAAAAGATTTTTGAACTGATTTATTCCAGCAGTATAAGTCTATCTATGCCTAACATGTATAGTGCACATGTGAAAAATGATGAAAGCAAAGAAAAGAAATGGACTGTAATGCACTCCCAATGCAGAAATTCCCACATAAAACGTAGAAGAAAAGAAAGAAAGTGAAAGTTAGCTATGATGAACGGAAATGTACAAGATGAAAGGTAACAATATTGAGAATAATAGGAATTCGACAGGTGGGGAGGTCACAAAAAATGAGTGCATTTACGCCAACGGGAATGGTTTTGAGACATGACATCAACCGTCTCCAGCTCTCAGTTCTAGGTGACTTAAGGATACCGATCAGTCAGTTAACATTACACTGTATGATTTAAACCAAAAGTCAAAGTCTTCACTGATTGTTGTCAGGTTTGGATTTATATGTCCCTAAATCTTTTTCAACCTGACATGACGTTATACAGAAATAGTCCTCAGAATTTGTAAATTCATGAGACTTCATGTCACTCCAACTTATTCATGTCTTCTTCCTCTCAAAGCAAAGTCTTCCGCGTAATCCACTCCATTAGTGATAGTATTTAGCCATGTCAAAATCCTGAATTCACCTCGAAGACTTCACTGCATTCTCCGTTGTGGATAACTCAACATGTGACATTGTCATTTACTTGTTGAATGAAGTTTTGCAGCACTACATTCTGTAGTGTTGACACAGTTTCCAAATCATTTCTCCGTCAACGCTTTCAAAGGCCTTTCGGAAGTCGATGAAACGTAGGTAAGGATTTGTCCGCCATGCTATGCACTTCTTGCTGACATTGATGTTGATGATACGTAGAGTCACAAGTTCTATCCGCACATGATTTGCCTTTTGCGAATCCAGCTTGTTCTCAGGGATTTGGCGGGGAGGGGAGCGTAATTCTGAATCAAGTGAATCTTCTAGTCTCTTACGGATGACATGACTTATTTTTTTCTTTAGCGTGGAACAAGAGCATGATTCCGCGCCAGTTGTTGCAAACACCAAAGTCGCACTTCTTTGATAGTTTGACAAGGTTATTTTTCTTCCAATCAGTAGGTACTTTTCCTTCCTTCTAAACTTTGCGCGTTTGTGTCGTGAGGTTATCCTCTGCGGTCTGTCGACTCGTTTTCATTCATTCAATTCAACTGACCATGTTACATTTTTCACCAGTGAGTCCGTCAGCAGTGCATTATACTTATTTACTTAACTGTTTAGTTACCATTGCGTTACCGCGTATATGTATAAATGCAGTCTGGTATTCTATTTATATAATTTTATGTATATTTTGTTTGCATTTTCCTATGTACATTTTTTAATTGTAGATGGCAAGGGATATCGCCAGTGATTTGACAACAAATTATACCAACCTAAAGTCCTGGTTAATGGAAGCCTCTTATCAAATCAGTCAAAAATATGACTATGGTCATAATCTCAATACTAATGACGATAATAACAATAATAATATTGCTAATATGCTAAATAAACCAATACTACAGGTTTCGTTAAATATTACTGAGGAGTCATTGCCTCGGCAAACTGAGGAGTGTTCAACCACTTCTAGAGATCTTCCGTATAAATCTCAATTAAATCTCTGCTTCAAACTGTATACTGAACAACAACAAACATACCAATCAATGTTCATTGAATTGCAAAGGATAATGAAAAAGATACTTTTACACAATGCTAACACGGAATTCAAGAATGGCCTCAGGACAATACCAGATGATCGTCTTGATGAAATTCCTGTTTACTGTCATAAAGACTACCGTAGTCAACTTATTGCGCAATATAAAGAGATTACACATCTATGGCATAAAGTAAGTCTTATGCACAAATGGTATTTCATTTTCTTTCAGTTTAAATGTGATTAGACATTCTCATATATGCATATTGTGAATTCATTTCCCTATAGTCTGGACTAAACATAGCTCAATGGTAATACTATTTGACTGCAACATTTGTGTGACGCATACTGCAAACGAAGCTGATTCATTTATGGCGATAGATATGCCCTACTGAGTAGGCAACAGTGATTTAGTCAAAATTACCGCCAAGGACTAGATTTGTGACAGAAGTCATGCCTGCGTGATCAATCAGTGAATTTTCAAGTATTGGTTTTGTAGGCATTTTGTTTGATTGCATGGAGGATTTCACCATGAGCTGAAATCAGTTAGAGAACCACTGGAAAACCTGGGAGTACTGGACAGCTGTTTCAACCTAGTGCTTGGGACTCTTCATCAGTATGCACTCACCGGGGTTCGGGTTAACCTGGGTTTCTAGTGGAAGTTGTGACCAGTAGGGTATAGCAGGTTGAAGATGAGGCAGTAAATCATCGAAGAAGACATTGCGAAGTGGTCGCGCTATGTCGTGAATTGGCAGAAGTTAGAATTCAAGGATCATTGGATCGGGTCCCAGTGGCTCAATGGTCTACGGGCTCGCCTTGTAACCAGATGGTCCTGGTTCGAACCCCGGTGGGTGCGTACTGCTGAAGAGTCCCAAACTAGGATGAAACATCTGTCCAGTACTCCAAGGTGGTTTTCCAGTGGTTCTCTAACTGATATCAGCTGATGGTGAAATCCTCCATGCAATCAGTGAATTCTCACATTTTTAAAGTTTTGTGTATAGTTCGAAAATTGTGATCTTTCTCCATCACTGTTTTGCAGAAGAATATCTTAGTCTAGTAATGCATTTCTCTTCAAGATCTCAAAGGAGGCTAAAAGTCTAATCGCCAAACATTGAGGTATTTTTAACAAGGGTCACTGTAATATCCAGAGTTGTAAGAAAATCTTTAGAATATTATATTTCGACAAACTTGTTTTCCAGGAATCTTTCTATAAATATCAGAACTATTTGGTAGATGCTTAGGTGCAGCAGTCATTATTTTCTAACACGCATATGACAATGCCACATATCAGGTAATATTCCACGATGAAGAATTCACCAGAGCCTTTGAAATGAAGATAGAATGGAGTAACACAAGGCTGCTTGTCAACTCTCATCCACAATGATATTTCTGATTGTGGTTGACTGGATTATGCGACACATCGTACGTGGGGATAGAGAAGACATGAATACGTTAGTCGGTTAAGAAGGCTCTAGAAGATCTGGATTTCACGGATGATTTATATCTAGTGTCACACAAACTGGAAGACTCAGGAGAAAACCAACTAAATGGCAGAAAAAGCAGCCAGCGAAAACAGGACCCTAGGTAGACATAGAGAAGACGGGACGATGAAGATATCCAACCAACAACAACGACAACAGCCAGCACCAATCATTGTCAATGGAAGTGATGTGAAAGAGCTCACTTCCTTCATTTACCTAACCGGATAGCAGCGTTTTAGCTACAGCTGACAGCATGGATTACGATGTCGAAATGAGGGTGGGAAAGACAAAACAGACCTTTTATCGCTCTGAGATCGGGGTGGGAATCAGCTGCACTTCACAACCCAAAGAACAAGATTTGGATTTTCAGCCTCAATGTTCAGTCATTCAGTTCTTATACATGGGTCATAAACGTGACGCATGCACACTTTCATCGACAGTTGCCACTTTCACTGGACCAATCATGAAAGTCAGATGGTCAGGCCGCCAGAAAGAATTAGCATCAAGAAATTCTGGGAATAAACAAATCAACAATCTACTGCTGAAAAGATATTAGGAAGAAAATGGAGACGGACTGGACAGACTCTAAAAAGACAGTTGGGTGAAATCATGCACGCTGCACTATCAGTGGAGTGGAACCTGAGAGGGGGACGACGAGTTCGGTGTCGAACTGAAGGCGACATGGATAAGATCTTGTGGGTAGAAGATGAAAGTTTATGGCCAGCTGTGGAGCTAGATGAAGGGGACATTGAAGAAGAAAACAAAAATGGAAATGTTCTGTTGAATGCATATTTTCCACTTGGAACCCAAGGGAACAATAATATTATAATAATTTCTTGTTACCCAGTATATCTGTAAAAATTAACATCAAGACTATCTGAAAGAAGTCTGAGTAGTAGTCACTATTCTTTAGATGATTTCAACACAGGAATAACAACGATACTGAGCATATGAATGAAAAAAATTGAGAAATACAAGGAAACCTTTATTATAATGAATATGTACGATTCATGTGCTGAAGCATTAGAGATAGTCAAAACGATTACATGATATTGACGCACTAAGTGTTGATTGTTGATTTGAGTAAGACTCTCTGGATAGGGTCGCTTAAATGCCATCGGTGCCTGAAGAGATGTTAGCAATTGTGCAGATATATTCCACTGCATGCCATTAGCCAGACTGTAAAAATGTTTCAAAAAGGTTCACTTAATTACTGTTCCTTGTACATCTCTGTCATTCAGTATCCTTTCATTTAACGTATTTTCTGTGTGCTTTTATGAAGCAATACAACTCAGAGAGATTCACGTTTGTATACACTTGCACCTTGTCATACAAACCGTACAAATATAGCCAATAGTCAGTTAACTGTTCATTAAATACCACTGTAGGAATAAAAGAATAACTAAATCGTTTAGCCTCATTCACATCTTTGATGTCAGATAGTATCTTCTTAAGATTCTCGTTGATATTTTCTTTAAAATATCAAGCAATGCCGTTCATCATTGAAGCCCTAGTAACAGTACAAGAGAGTATCGAATGGTTAGCTGAATGGAAGTCTAACCCGTCATTACCACAAGCTTCCAACATATTCGTACAAGTTCTTAATTCGACTTGTTAATGAATTCAGCTTCACAGGTAACATGGATAACATCTGGAAGTACAGAAAACTAGAAGTCAAGACTTAAGCTTAATAAAAACCACATAATCAGTTTGCTCATTCCCTTTTTATATATTAGGTGGAGGGAAAGAGAGTAACATTAGTTCGTATGCTCTCTAAACACCTACCAAATCCTGCGAATAAATTAGGCTTTAGCTAACGATAATCAAAATATCAATTAGCAGAGTAACAGACAATCACTATATGGATTCGATTATTTATTACAATTCCCTCAGATTCCTAGTGGAACATGTGACTTCAGACAGAAAATCTCCCTTTCACTAGTTTCTCTGTAGTCGTCTTCAACTGCCCCCACGACTGCCCAAAGTCTTCCATCTCCCCCTTACACACTATCCATCCATGTTACACTCGGACCCAAGCTGGCTGGCCAGAAAAGTTTCGCGGCAAGAAATTCTGGCAACGATGCAGTCAAAAACCTCTTGCTCAATAGGGATGTAGAAACAAATAGAGATGGACTGGACAAAAACTGAGAAGACCATTGAATGACGTCATACCAGACCACCACCCGAGTGTAAGCTTAATAGGAAATGACTAGTTGGGTGTGAGTACGTCGGTGAAAGCTGACATGGAATAACATGAAATCGTTAGCAATCGCGTAGATGTATTCCCTCCATTTCTTCACCTGCTCTCACCAGTCTTGTACAGTTATATCTGGAGGAAGAAGACTTCTTTGTGACCTTGCCTTCTCTATACAAATCACTGATAAGCTTTAAGCTGACATTTTCATAATGACTATGCTGATATATTCATCGCACAACACTTCAGTTTGAAGCGATTAAGTTATACGTAGCCTGAGTTGAACTGTTTTACGCAAACATGTGACACATACTTATTGTTTTTAAACAGATGGAACTGAAGTCACACTTCTTGAAGAATTGAATATATATGTTCAACGGTACTTCATAAATCCACAGAATGATTTATTAATAATTTGCTGAGTTTTCTCTGAATTGTTTTCTTTATTATTATTCTCACTTAAAAGGAACTAATCGTTCTCATTTTCATAATTACAAGTTGGGATTAATTTCCTTTCAGCTGGATTATTTTAATATTCATTGTTTTAAACAAATCACTTAATGAAATTAGTTTCTATCTTCTTATATGAGTGAATGAAAAAAGAAACCTAAAAACAAGATTGTGTGTATTGGTAAAATTACGGCCTCTTTTCAGCAAGATTATACAGCCCACTTGACTTTCTTTTCTTTTCTACGATTCATGGGAATCGATAGAACCAACGACCCATTGAAAATCTTTCAGGAGTAGATAGTTGTATCCCCGGGGAAATGTTCAGCTTTTATTCTGTTTATGGAGGTACACTTTAGTATGCTCAATACGTTCGTAATGACCGAAATCTCCTCATTTTGGTCTGAACGTGGAGCTATGCTGTATTACAGGTTCGAAACCTTCTTGACAAGTGAACAGTCACAGAACGCTTCAAAGATAGCAACCACACGGATATTCATCGACACATCTGTGTGGTTCTATTTAACAATACTAATAATAATGTTAAAATCTCAAAATTACCTCAACAGGGGCGTTAGGCAGCTATACAGTCAAGAAGACATTCCAAGCACAAGACAATTACTGTAGAACAAAATCATTAAGCCAAAATCCGACAGTAAGAAGCACCTGAGAATCAAGTAGAATAATCCCATCAATGTGGGTGGAATAGAAACCTCGCTACGTAAAATAGAATCACACACCAAACAATACCCACAGACAATCTGTGGTCAGAATGACCCTAACGTCATCCAAATAAAATCGCAGTCAATATCATCACACAAACATATAGAGAAGTATTCAACTTAGAGATTAAACAGGAACAAAGTAAAAATAATACGGATCAAGTCAACATATGATATTTCAAATGTTAGAACACTGATTTACATTTTGAAATAATAGAGAAGGTTTGTAACTCAGGTGGATGATTTGCAATTAATAGTGTTCTCTGAGCTGGTTGGTTTGGTTACGGAGCTTTCGCCGTCCCCCTGCTGGACAACATCTCCATAACAGTATTTAGCATAAAGTGAAATTATTTAAATTTCTTCATGAGTGATATAATTGTGTCTCCCGGTTACCATTTTTACATATGTATTGACCATATTCTATTCACTTGGATTTTAAACTTTCTGGTCACCTGATTTACTTTTTATTAGTTGATATATTTCGTCTATATTAACGTGTTTGTTAATTGCATTTTCATTTGAGTAACAGGCTTCTAGGAATTCCCTGACTGCACTTTTGGTGTTTCCTCTGTCTAAGATCTCAACATTATCCCAATGAAATTGATGTCTATAATTGTCTATATGCATTGATACTAAAGAATATATATCGTGTCTTTTCACGGCTGATTTGTGTTCTTGAATTCTGATTCGAAGAGGACGTCCACTTTGGCTGATGTATTGCTTGTTACAGTTCATACAATTTATTTTGTAAATGGTATTAATTGAATCTTCCTTTTCTATTGAATGTTTCGGTTTGCATAATATCGAATTAAGCGATTTGACTGTTTGTGTGCTATATCTATATCAAATGGTTTCATTATCCTAGCTGTTATTTCAGAGATATTTCTCATGTATGGTAGGATAAATTTCCTTTTGGTCTTTGATGATGGTTCTTTGTTGGTGTTTTGATTCGACTTTAAACACTTTTGATGAAATTTTGTGGATAACCATTCTTCTTGAAGACCGTTTGTAGGTATTTTTCTTCCATTCTTTTTAACTCTGGAGTGCTACAATTTGTTTGAACTCTTTTAAACAATGTCTGCACACAGTCTCGTTTTTGAGTGAGTAATTGGATTATTGCTAGTATAGTCGAGTATTTGATCTGTGTGTGTGTGCGTTGATTTTCTATATACTTGTGTTTCTAAATTTCCTGTGTTGGTTGGTTCTCCTGATTAAGACATCTAAAAATGGGATTTTGTTATCTAATTCTTCTTCTCTCGTGGGGAATTTGATGTCTTCAAATATGTTGTTTATTAATTTATGGGTATATTCTAAATCATTTCTCTTAATTATTACAAGTGTATCATCACCGTAACGTACCCAGATTTTTGGTTTAATTATAGGTAGAGCTATTAATTCTAATCTTTGCATAACGGCTTTAGCTATTGATCCTGATATGGGCGATCCCATTGGTGTTCCTTTTATTTGTTCATATATTTTAGTATTGAATTGGAAGTATGTTGTAAGGCATAATTTCATGAGTTCTGTCCAAGTTGAACATTGCGTTTTTATGTTTTCATCACTATAGAATAATTGTTGCATAGTTTCTGTTGCCAGTTTTGGACTAAATGAAATATAATACATATGTAAAGATGGTAACCGGGAGACGCAATAATATCACTAATGAGGAAATTTAAATAATTTCACTTTATGTTAAATACTGTACTGAAGATGTTGTCCAGCAGGGGGACGACGAAAGCTCCGTAACTAAACCAACCAGCTCAGAGAACACTAATAAATGCAAAAGTGATTTACATTCTAAGAGTAAAAACGGACAATGGCTACAAAGATAGTTGAAACATCTAAGGAATTACAAACATTGTGATTAGATCATTGAGGAGGGATTTTCCAAGCAGTTATTCCCTGTACAGTGTTGTTTGGCATATATATTCATGTTATGCTATAGTAACCCCATAGGTGTATGAGTTTCCTCCGTCGTACTAGATATTATAATATTTTGGGGAACAGTGACCCTGATTGTTAAGTGGGAAGGGAAAATCATTCAACTCATTTGTGAAACTGAATTGGCTAATATGGTAAGATATGTGTAATGCAATTCAGGCCACCGCCTTCTGTGTCAATTCCTGTCAGCTACACATAGGTTTGGGTAGGAAAAAGGCTTAGGAGCAGTCAACTGAGGACCTGTCATCGATTCATTCACTTCCATGTGCTCGACTATCACTTTCTCCGTAGAATTGCCTGTATTTGATGGCACCATTTTATGACAGTAGTTCTTAGGTTCCGTGGTATTTATTTTGTGTTTCATTATCTTTTCTTGAGTTTGTATGACCCATCTCTTGGTGTCCATAGTGAAACAAGTTTGCGTTCAAAGAAATAAATTGTTTCGTTTTACTTATTCCTCTACAATCTCCGTTACCAATTGGAAGAAAGGCTACTACCAAAGAAGGTCGACCTTGGCATTTACAGAAACTGGTGCAAAAGCATACTGTTGTTCCACACAAAGAAAAATATTAAGTCATGTCAACCTACAGAGACTGAAGGATACACTGGATTCAGAACACCACTCCGCACCTTTCTCCCCCAAAGAAGATGCTGGATTCAGTAAAAGCAAATCATGCATGGATCGTACTCAGGACTCTACGTATCACCAAAATCATCGTCAGCGAAAAGAGCATAGAATGATAGTCGACTCCCTACCTCAACTTCACCGACTTCCGATGGGCCTTTGACAGCGTTGGCTGTGAAGTAATTTAGAAACTGCGTCAATACTACGTAACGTAGTATGGCGAACCTTCATTCAACAAGTAAATGACAATGTCACATGTTGAGTTATCCTCAACGGAAAATGCAGAGAATCCTTTTATTTTATTAATTTTATTTTTGATTACAGCTTGATTCCACACTGTATTTTTGGTACAAGTATGGAATTTTCAGCATGAATATCGGTGGCCCAAATTTTTGCAGGGAATCCTTTGAAGTGAATTCATGATTTGGACAAGGCTAAATACTATCACTGATGATATTCCTGATTGTAGTGAAGTGGATACCGCGTAAGACTGTTTTTCGGGATGCAGAAGATATGAATACGTTGAAATGAGATGAAGACTGTGGCTGTTTCGGATTTTGCAGACGATTTCTGTCTATTGCCGCACAAACTGAAAAACGTGCAAGCGAAAACCAACAAGTTGGTGAAAGAAGAAGGTAGCAAAGGTAGGAATTCAGGAGAACACTAAGAAGACAGATGTGATGAAGTTAACCAATCAACCAATAGCAACGTCAACCAGCACCAACCACTACCGATGAGAGTAATTTGAAAGAGGTCACTTCCTTCACTTATCTAGTCACCATTTTGTCAACTGGACGCATGTCGCATGAAGATGTCAGAGTGAGAAGCGCAAAGGTGATGCAGACATTCCTCACTCTGAAATGAGTTTGAAAATCTTCTACGCTCCGCTGTATGAAGAACAGGATTTAGATTTTCAACACCAATGCTAAGTCAGTTGGTCAGTTTTTCTTCTATTTGAGTCAGAAACGTGTCACCGGCATCACAAAAACAGACATTTATCAATAACTGCCTTCTCTCTCTGCATACTGAGGAACAAACGGTCAGCCGAAAAGTATTGCTCACAGGAAACTCTAGGTATGAACCCACAAAGAACCTACTGCTCAACAAATATTCCGAAGAATATGGAGATGGAACAGACAGATAAGTCATCCCCCGAGTGGAAGGTGAATGAGAAGCAACAAGTTGGGCGTTAATCCAAGAGTGACATGAAAGAGTTCTTGGGAGTAAAAAATAGAAGACTATGAAGAATCTTGGGACCAGGAGACAGAACAAAGTGGAGATGTGCTTTTGAAACTCTATCCCCCAGTTACTATTCAAGGGAACAATTGCAGCAATCAGTAGTAATGATACATGGATGCACTGGTGGTTTTAATTACCCTCATAAATTCCATTATTTTGCTTTTTTCAGGACAACTTTCAATTATGTCTCTAGTGAAAAGTTGTACGAAATAAACGATATAAACTGTATGAATTGTTTATGATATCATTATGAATATACATACATACATACATATGTGAACCAATTATCATTTCACTCTTTTATTTTTAGGTTGATAAACGCTTACAGTGCTTATGTGTGAAATTAGGACAATCTCTGGAAGCATTTAATACTCCAGATGATCGAAATCTAGTAGAGAAAGTTTATCAGGAATTAGAAGAGAGAATCGATCTATCAAGAGTAAGTTGTTCTTCTTTTCAAATGTTAGTTTTATCATGATCTCTCAATATTTAGGTGGGGGGGTGGGTGTCGACCAGGAATCTGACGTAGATCTCCTCGTGGCTGAAAAGCATACAACGCTTAGACCACTAACACATTCCTAATAGACAATAATATTCGCTTTTTTGTTTGTGTAAAAATGCATGAAATAATCTAAATATTGATTAATTTTTTCCCTTCTCCTCTTCTTTCTTATAGTGTACCGTCTTGAGTGATTTTGACTTCGATGAATGGAGACGTAATTATCTACAGTGGATTGAAAGTTGTCACTATCGTCTAGCTGATATATTTCCTACTGTTACTGCCAGTACCGATACCATTCAAGCTGATCACAAAAATCAAAGCTTCACTTACACCTTTCTCCAACATCTTCAACATCATTGACTCCAAAAAGTGTGTCTACTGTCTCGTCATCCACACAGTCGATGAACAATTCTCCAAGGCATAGCTCACCTCCTACGCCTACTACTAAAAGCATCAAATCAGTTGGGAAACAATCCAGTAGTGAATCTTTAAATCTAGGTAGTAATGATGTTGTCGTCGATGTTGCCACTGGTTCGAATAAAACACATGCAATTGCAAAGGGTAAACAAACTGTGAATATTTCAAAATCACCTGAATTAAATTATTCACAGTTTAGGGAAGTTTTACTCCTACGACGACGACAACACCAGCAACAAAAGCAACATAGTCGACCTAAATATGACTGGGCAAATCCTCTGCGTATCAGAGCCGTATTTGATACCATTGATAAGACGAAAAAGGCAGAATAACACATGAACAAATTATTGAAGCTCTGACTGATAAAAAACAGGTGATTCTTACACTTTTGCTTTGTTGATAAATTACACACATTAATGTATTCTTTGATTGGACACTAACTAATGTCATGATGTTTGATACAGACTGAAATTCTAACATCAGCTAAGTTTTTGTAATGTGTGGCCACCATATGTTAGGCGGCTTGCCATCATGATGCATTCAGAAATATTGTTATTAGATTGGTTGGATGGCAATCGGCAGCAAGGACTAAATGACCCAGGATTTTGTGCTTGTTGACACTCACTAGTTAGCCAACAAAGCGTATCTGTAATATGACTGCAGAACTGGGCGACACGCGTTCAAACCTCAGAATGCCAATGAGTCCCTTCAAAAATTTGCAGATACAATTTGCTGTTGACTGATGAATGCCAACAAGCAAGCAACAGCTAGATCAGTTAGGTAGGGCTTCCTGCCGACGGCCTTCAACCATCTAAAACAATAATGTTGCATTATCTTGTCAATCTTAATTACTTAATTAATATTTTGATATTAGAATTCAGTTTATTGAAATACATATTTTTATGTGTCAGCTTATAAGAAGCAAAAGTGATTAGAGCGAACAATTATTTTCAATAAATTCTATTCATTTAGGCTCTATAATTATAAATCCATTAATATTAGCCTACGGTATTGCCAATAAAGTTAAATCAGGATTAAATGACGAAGTGAATTGTGTGTGGTGGAAGCACAAGATGGAGTAGTAGTCAGTTGTCTGTCTGTCTGTTTTCGATATAGAACTTTGCACCGATGGGCGGCAGTTCAAGTCGCCACACTCCATGTAGCACACAAACCAAGAGAAGATAGAAGAAATGCATAATAATAGACAGTAAACAGAGGTGTGAGAAAAAGGAATAGTAATAACGAAGAACAAAACAGTTTCATTGGAAATCATAAGTCACAAGGAGTGGATGCATCTGAGCCACTGAGAACGATTTTGAGCCATGTCACCAATTGTCTCCAACCATTGGTTTTTACCGTCCCGAGGACCCCAACCAGGAAGTCTACACCTTCCTGCGAGGCTGGCTTAAACTAATAGTTGTAGATTTCATTGACTGGTGCCGTGTTTTGGTTTGACCGCCGCTAGCTTTTTTCCAGCATTCTACCTCTGTGCCACTGACGCACAACTTGTAACACACATAATACGCTTTCTGATATAGTACTAAGTTGACTTTGTTGGCAGTATTGTATGCTGAAATTAATGGATTTAAAATTGTAGAGTCTGAAGATGGAGACTTTATTGAAGACATTTGTTCGCTCCAATTATTTTTGATTGTGAACAATTACTTGGATATTTAATTTATAAGAAACATCCATTATATCTTGTGTGATCCTGACAGCCAATCTATCAAGCTTAATTAGGTGAAGTCAAATACGAACCTGAAACTCACAGGCTACAAGTCAACTTTTAAATCCAATCGGTTTCATGAAATTCTTGTCTCAAAAAATACCACTTAATACTGATAACCAGAAACGATTTAAGACCGAGGAGGGTAATGAAAATTAGTCATATTTGACCAAAATCAAGGAATAAATGATATTTTTATCTATTTACCCGTAAGTAGCTGTGTAAGATGCCGTATACAATGCAGTGACTGTTAGAAGTTGTTTTATGTGTTCTTTAGGGAACCCTGAGTTTCATCGTCTATGTTTTCTGATTATTATTCACAAGTAATGTATATACTCCTACCAAAGAAACCGTTTTAAACTTACCAGATGATGGCGATTTTGACATTTTCATGTCTTGAAATGACCAAAACAAGATAAATCTTGCATTATGCCTACATAATTCCCGTTATTTATTTCTTGGGAATAACTCACTATCTGTTTTTCTCTTGATGCCGAGATGAATGAAGTCTACTAGCCAGCCGAAGTTATAGACTGAGGTTTAGTGCAAACGACAATAAACCAGTGAACTTCGAGATGTCATTGTTTTGTGATCAAGCTAGATCCTTTAAAACACTAATCTCGTCTTGATTCCTTCAAAGCTCAAGCTTGAAACCCTATATTCCACTTGGAACGTAAAGAAATACAGAAAGTCTAGACTATTAATCATTCTTTAAGGATATGACAAACACCCTCCGGTATCAATTGAAATCCCTTCTCTGAGATAAACTTTAACCAGCTTCATGTTTGTGCAGAGGCTTTTACCATCTACTTCACACAAACCACAAACTGACACCAACACACTGTTGCTTTCATTCGAGCCTTCTTATAGTAAGTATTTCACGTCATTTTCCATTTTCTTCTCTATATGTGTTGGGTTGCATCGGTGGCATAGCGGTTGGGACGATGACTGACCATGCACATGGTCCGAGGTTCGATCCCCGGCAACCAACGCACTCATTTTCCTCACCAAACCAGTAATAAAAAAGCTGGTAAAGAGAAAGGGTTTGACATAAGGCTAGCAACCCAATCCTGTAAAAATAAACACTGTTACAGAAACTTCAAGTCTCTAGCTTGAAGCCCCATGTGTTCCACTGGGAACGTGAAGGAATATATATATATATGTTGGGCAGTAGGTCGTTTGTCTCATTCGCTATCGGCGTTGTTTGGTTAATCATCCGCGAAATTCAGATCTCTCAGTGTCTATTCTTCGGTCAGACGTATCCTCTTCTTTTCGCTTCCCACGGTCTCCTACTTGATGCAATCCACCACAAGCGGGGGGTATCATAGGTGATAGTAGGCAGAACTGTCTTCACTCTAAATGCTTTAATGATTTCTCTATTTGTGATTTATTTGATATGTGGTATCATTATTATACAGTAGTTAAAAATGGCTTATAAATATTCCGGAAACTCTGTAGCGTTGACGCAATTCTCACTTGAACTACAGTATAAAAAAGAATAGTTGATTTTTTTTTATAAAATCAAGGGATAATTGAAGGTCATTATTACATACAGTACAGTACATGTATAGTAATTCATTTCGCCTTTAGAATAATCACCCGAGTGTTAAAAAACAGCTTAGTTGATTAACTTGTTTAAAAGCTTTTCTTCTTTCCTTTCTGTCTCTCTCTCTCTAACACATTTTAGCAACAACAACAACAACGACAGGAACAGCCAACCAGACAGCAACATCTGCGAAATGATGAGTTAATTGCACGTGCAATAGAACAAGAAACCAGTAAATGTATTTGCCAAATAAAATTTCAACCTAAAAAAGTTGGAACAGATAAATATTGTGTAAGTGAAAAAACTTTCTATTATTAATTAACTTACATAATATTTTCCTTTTTATTATATAATTCAATTTGGAATCAATGCCGATTGACTGATTGATTGGTTGTTTGGACCAAAATGCTTGACTTCAGGTTGATATATCGACTCTTTGTGCAAGATGCTTCGACGATGACTAAGAATTTAACCTGAAGTAGTTTGCTGGATGATGACTGATGACTAGCAATGGAATTCATCAGGATGCGGATTTCGTCCTATTTGGGATTTGTGATCAGCTGGATTTACCTGGATTCCCCAATGAGTCAGTGATGGTGATCCTACTGAGGCTCGAACCCGATGCTTATAGTTTCAGACACCAAAGCGTTATCCACTAGACAGACTACTTGAGCAACCAGCGCCCTTCTTGGGGAACGGGTGGAGAGCACATCATGGTGGATTCCACTATTAGTCACCTTCCACCAAAGTACTTCCCACGTTTTGGATTTCTTTCATCTGAAGACTACGTCTCAAAGATCTTGTCTTAATAATAATTCGCTTTATTCCAAAATACTGCTTACGATACAGCATGGATTCTCAGCATTTAGCACAATATTACTGCACCTAATTTACTCCACTACAGCCAAAAACAAAAAAATAATATTACAGAGGACTACTATTTTAACTGTTCCTTTTGTTTCCGAGTGAAACATAATACTGCATCAGTACGTCTCCACTTTGTTCTATTTTCTATAGTCCTGTTTTTGGCTGGCTCCTCAATGTTGCCCTTGAACGCCCCACTCGTCGTTTGTCATTCGGAGATTCCACTCGAACTAATGGCCTGACAGGTCATGTCGCTTAACGGTCGCCTCAGCGTATGCCCAATCCATCTGCATTTTCTTCTACATGTTTGTTGAGCGATCGGCTGATGGTTCGTTTGTTCCCCTAGTTTCCTGTTGGGGATTCTTTCTGGTCGTTTGACCTTTAATATGGGGACAGCGAAGGTTGCAGCTGTTGATAAAAGTCTCCAGCCTGTTGAAATACTTTTCGTGACGCGTGAGGCGAATTTCTAGGAAGCATTAAGAATTGAATTCTGAGACCTTTACACAAAGAAAATGCCCGATATAGAATTAATGTTGTCTTTAGCTTTATCTCTAAAATATCTGAGACTAATATTAGTTACAAACTTATGTTATCCATGAATGTATCACCACTATTTAGGACTGTAACGTCTGTCCAAAAACGTGGACCCTGTATGCCGAAAAAGCATTGAGAGACAAGTGGTCTTGGGGATTCTTCTGTCCCGCTTCGAATAACTACTACTCTATTAATGCACAATAAATGTAAACATGGTGCCTTCAGTAACTAATATTACCTATAAGCATATTGAATTTCAATGCGTCGGTGGCACAGTGGTTAGGACGCTCGCCGACCATGCATATAGTCCGAGGTTCGATCCCCTGCCAGCGCACACCTGATATCTATGGTTGGCCTGCAAAATTTGGGCTACCAATATCCATGCTGAAAATTCCATACTTGTACCAAAATTACAGTGTGGAATCAAGCTGTAATCAAAAATAAAAAATATAAAATACTGGATGCAATACTGTAGTAAAATGCTGAGAATTCCATTCTGTATCACAAATACTGTTTCGGAATAAAGCAAATTATTATTATTATTATTGACTATGAGTTCAAAAGAAATTGCTACAGTCATTATCCTTTCCTCAGCAAATTAAAACCAAACCAACTGATAAAATCACCACCGTCATCACCACCAACATTTGTTTGTTTAATCATGCTGTTCTCACACATTATTCTTGTTATCACAGATCATCTCACTTTTTCATCTTTCTTCTTCCTGATAGTATCATCATCATCATTATAACTAGTTGCACAAGTGATATGCATAATCCCATCATCCTGTTGACAAAGTAGCCGTGATTGATTTATATATTTTAATAATAATTTGTAAAGTTGTCTAAATATACTAAAGTTAGGGTCTGATGAGATCCAATTGAAGCAGATCACTACGCACTAATAAAACTCTACGCATATCTCCCTTCTTTTTTCCATTTTTTTTTGTAGTTTGGACCTAGTTCGAAAGTCTACTTAGTCCGTTTCCTGAATAGTATCACTATGGTACGGGTAGGCGGTGGATGGATGAAGTTGAGCGAATTCTTAGACACTCGTGATCCATGCAGAAGTAAGCAGTTGTAGACTTGATTTTACTTAATCCCTTTTTATTCACGGGTATTTTCTCACTGATTGGTTAGCATTAACATTACACATTATCTAATCTAAGTAATCGCAGTGTGGTTTTGAAAAAAAAAGGGAAAAATAAGACAATCATATATACTTCTAAAGATTGTGTAGACAAAAAGTCAAACTATAAGCGCCATTTTGATACCCTTACGTTTGTGACCCCTCAATCAACATGCAAAAATAATTCCACATCGACAACTATAACCTGTGAAACCAGATACTGACTAATACTGACATAAGAATAAAACTTGTGCACTGTGGTAGAGTATAATTCCATTATGGGTGAATTTTTGTTTTGATAAAGTCTCACTGCGGTGTTATACAGTAATGTTTGCTAATGACCACGTTTCGAGCACAATTTATTGCCACTCATAATCATATCAAGGTAATCACACGACTTCCTAACTTTATTTATATAGTTCCATTATTTTTCACTTGATTTGATTGGCAGTAGTATTTTCCATATTTCCGGTATGAGTGATGAATCGTTCCTATTGCATGTGTTGGGTGTAGATTCAATGAACCGAGCAGGATTCAGTAATCAACCTCTCTCTCCACCTATCTAGATTACTTTTTAGAATTTTAACCCTCTCCCACCCACCACATAGTGTGTGGTTGTGTGTTAATGCATGCATTGCAATTGCTGAGCTTCGCTTTCTAAATTACTTATCTTCTCGGGTGGGGTCAACCATTCTCACCTTAGCTAAATTCTTATGTTCCGACAATCTGACTACCCCGCCCGATCAACTAGTTTAATCTATGTAGTTGACCTAACTCACAGTCATTGCAGGGTATTTTGTAAATTATATTATTTTGTCTAATTGGGTCAACCAACAGGGTACTTTAACCTACAGAGCTTGTCCCTGAGTGAATGTATAGGTTTAAATGCCACCCTAATTCCTGCTTTATTTAGAATCCTACGTAGGGTTTCAGATGTCCCCTCTTTATATGGTAGAACTGTAGATGACTTATATTCTCTCTTATTTATGTTATTATTACTAGTTTCACAATTATTTTTATTTTTCGTTTGGCCTTTTTCTATCTTCCCAATGAATTTTAAAGGATAGTTAGTTTTTAACACTGACGCCTCTTCTATCTGTTTTAGTTCATCATTTAGGTCTTTTCTTGTGCTACTTAGTGCAACTGCTTGGTTTTTTGAACACTTAACCAAGCCTGCCTTCACAGACAGTTAACGGATGAGATGAATTAAAGTCTAATTATTTATTAGAATGCGTTGGTTGGTTTTCTCTATAAACAGTAGCGTGTATTTTACCTTCTTCTATTCGTTTTATTTTACAATCTAACATAGCTAATTCTCCTTGTTCATTTTCCAATCACATCAAGTGAAAACCAAGTGAAAAATAATGGAACTATATAAATAAAGTTAGGATGTCGTGTGATTACCTTGATATGATTATGAGTGGCAATAAATTGTGCTCGAAACGTGGTCATTAGCAAACATTACTGTATAACACCGCAGTGAGACTTTATCAAAACAAAAATTTACCCATAATGGAAAGATACTGACTAAGTATTCCAGTTATACCTGAAGTTGAAAAAGAAAACTATTCCGTACTGAACAGCTGTTTCATCCTAGTTTACGATTCTTCAGAATGACTATTTAGCCCATGAACTCTCAAGCCCCCCCCCACCGATTCGTGATCTTAGCGTGACTACCATGGCCAGCTATTGAATCGAGTACCAGTCGCTGAATGGTCTATGAGTTTGCCTCATAATCAGAAGATCCTGGGTTCTAATCCCTGTGGGTACGTGCTAGTAAAGGGTGCTGTAAAGCACTCATGAACTCAAAAATATGAAAGACATATCTTTACGGACAGATTTTCTGTAATGATAGCCTGGCCATCTGTACACGTTTCCATCAACGGGCTGCACACCTCTATAAAGATATTACTAGCTCACATTTACAAGCTTTCTATGAACCCATTATCTAGCCAGTACTAAAATACTAGACCTGGATGTAATCTGAAACGTGATCGCAACGGGCTAATCTGATTAGTTGTTCGAGGTCATTTCGTCCGTTGACTTGAGTTTTACTTTTGGGTCGCTATAGTTTAGAATTACTCGTATTCTTATTTCACCTACACATTTCAGCTTCGCTAAGGGGAATCATCAACCTTCATACGATAAAAGGGACTCAAAGCTTTATACAAAGGAAACGGATTAGTCACAGAACTTGTTTAGATCTCCAAAGCATAAAGACATATTCCAGTGTTAGTTTGCACAGATCTGAATAGTTACAAGACTTCTTCATGAGTTGACATCGGTTAGAGAAAACCTGGGAGTACTGGACAGCCGTCTCGTCCTCGTGTGGGACTCCTTATTAAGAAACACCCAACAGGTTTCGAACGCAGGAACTTTGGTTACAAGGTGTGGTCGTAGACCATTAAGGGATCACTGGGACCCGATCCAATGGCCAGTTCATGAATTCCAACTTCGTCCTATTCACTATACAGTACAGCCACTAGGTCTTCCAGTGGTTCTGTAGCCGATGTCAGTTCATGATGAAATCCTGTAGCCAATCAAACGCTTGCAAACCGACACTTGAATATCAATGTGATGCTCACTAGAGACTGGCCCTGTTCAGGTTGGTAGCTATATGGGTTCTAATGAGAAGTTGTGAACATTACGGTGGTTCTGGTGTGAAGAGAATTCTCACCGATGTTGACACTGGCTAGTGTCAGTCGCAGTATATCGCGGGTGAATTCTCAGAAGTTGGAATTGATGCGATGGTCACCAGATAGGATCCTAGTGGCTACTCAACGGTCTACGAGCTTGACTTATAACCGGAAGGTCCTAAGTTCAACCCAAGTTGGTGGGTGCGTACTTCTGAAGTGTTTCAAAGTACGACTGTAGAAACTGCTCTCCAGTACTACCTGGTTGATTTCCTATGGTCTCCTAACCGACGTCAGCTCATGATGGAATAATACAAATGGTGTATAACAAGGTATGAACAGTATTAACTGGTAAAATTCTACCGAATTCATCACTATTTGTTACTCGTTTTAATATTATGGAAAAAAGAACCTTTCAGGATGAAGTTCACAACTTTTAAAATCCTGAAATGGAAGTAATTGTACACCTCATTCAATGATAGATCTGATCCTGGATATTGTAAAATTATCTGTAGGTCACCAATTGTTGACTCTGGTGTTTTGTTTCAACCACACACACACACAATACCTTTTTCCGATGTTCCATTTCTCTGTGTATCACTTTTTTCTTGAAATCTAGTTGTCCATAAAAGAAATCGTGTTGGTTCTTCTGCGCCTAAAGCAAATCCATCATTGACCACATTCACACCTTCTGGTTCAAAGAGAGAAAATACTTTAGGATTTATTGAAGTCACTCCAATACGAGGGACTAATTCGCATGACGAATCGCCTGCTAATTTTGGGGAGGAATTCCACATCACATCAACACCACTGCTGAATAAGGAAGTCGGCCATGGACAAAGACAAATACCAAGTTTACTTGGTCAAGCTTTCATTGATACCACTACTACCTCTTCAGCGTTTGAGTCATCTTCAAATGGTAAGTGTACAGGTTTAATCAAACGATGACTATTTTCAAGGGTGTCGTGTTGACTCATTCTGTAGCATACCCACAGCATTGCACTATGGACATTATCTGTTGATTTTATCAGCAGAGTTGGCTAGAAGACTGTTCATGGAGATGCTGTGTCATACTAAAATTGTCAGTCGGACAGCTGCTATAAGCTGTCATCATATAGTAGGTCTATTGCATTGTGATTGAAGTCTAAATTAGAAGTTGAAGTATTTGAAGATGACATGTGGTGACTAGTATTTTGTTCGCCAGAGCCGCCTTTTCACTTTGCGGAGCGTCTTTGTAAACAAGTCGTTCTGACAAGTTTATATCACTCGATTATTCCCTTAAGTTGCGAGGAAGACATAGGCCTATTACAGCACATGTCCGTTTCACTTGATTATTTCACTCTTCTTTAGCTGACTGCATGGTTGTCTATGAACTCTCATTTCCTTGTCACACGATCTCCACCATGTCACTCTCTGACCTACTCCCAACTCGTCGCTTCCCATTTCGAGGTTCACTCGAGTGATGGCCTGGCGTGCGATGTCACCTAATGGTCTTCTCAGTGCGTGTCTGATCCATCTTCATTTTATCGGAACATTTGTTGAACAATAGGCTCTTGATTGATTTGTTCCGGAGTTTCTTGTTACTGATTCTTTCTGACCGGCCATGTGGCCTTCAGCTGTTGACAAGAATTTGTAACTTGCTTCATATGCCTTCAGTGACGCGTGTGCCAGGTTCTATGAACCGCATAGAAGAACTGAAAGACTTGAAATTCATGTTGGAAATTTGAATGTTGTTATTTATGCTTGACACAGTAAATTTCCACATTGATTTTAAATTATTGTAGGCCTTTTCTATGTGATCTTGACTTTAACATCCTCACCGAGATAACTGAAACACGTGACTTTCTTCAAATTCCCCTCGTTGTTATTGTTTGGTGTCTGTTGTTGGTTGGTTAGGCATCTTCATCACCTCTGTCTTCTCTTTGTTCACTTTGAGGTTGTGGAACCGCCATCTATCTCTTCTCCTGACTTATTGCCTTTTGTCTGTAGGTCTTCGATATCTGTGAATTTCAAATCATCTAAAGTCTTCTTATCTTCTTCTTGCTACACACGGTCCAGAGGAGATGATCAAGCCTACCACAACTAGAAATATTACCAGTGACAGCAAACAAACAGCCTTGTCTTACTCCATCTTGTTTTCACTTCAAAAGCCTCGCTGAGTTTTCCATTACGAGTCACTTGACATGTGGCAATGTCATATAGCAAGCAGTAAATAAAAGATCGGGGCACTGCGTGGTTTTGAATCATTTTCTGAATTACTTCACAATTACCGCTTTCGAAGGACTTTTTTTACAATCGATGAAGCTCAGGTGAAGATTTGATCACCATTGTATTCTATGATGATGATGATGTGTAGTGTTTCAGTTTTGATCGTCATATGATATGCTCTTCTGGAATTCAGCTTGTTCAAAGAGCAGAATTTCACATTCAGAGTTCTGCTGAGCCTCTCCAAGATAACATTGACTTAATATTCTACTGCCGTGTTGGGTACACTGCAGCCCATGTCTTTTGGTATATGCCTTTTTATGGCATTACAATACATTTAAGTTTCTGTAGCATTTTGATTGATTTTCCGAATTAGAGTCAATAGTCCCCACTCAACCCTCCCTCTTTCTCCAAGTTGTGACTGGCTAGGTGAAATCTGAATTTCGCAGATGATTTATGTCTAATGTCAAACTAACTCAAAGAGTTACGGACGTATATGTGTAAAACTTGACCACTGTGGTAGTAAGTAATTCCATATTAGTTTGTTTATTAGATGTATCACACAGTGAAACAGTATTGTATACTGGATGACAAGGTTTCGAACAAAATTTATTGTTCATAATCATATCAATTGTAATCACTCGTCTTTGAAACTTGAGTTTTATAGTTTTCTTTGTTTTCTCCTATTTGTCGTACGGGTGGTAGAATTTTCCAGATATCAGGGACAGGTGATGAATCATTCCTATTACGTGTATTTGCAGTTGATTCGATAAACAAAGCTCCTGTTATCAATCTCTCCCTCCACCCTGTGACATTAGATTTTGAAACTGTCATCCTATCTCATCCTATTGTACGGTTGTGTGTGACTTCATGTAGTGCTATGGCTGAACTATTCTCTAGATTTCTTATCTTATTTGGGTCAACCAATCTAGATTTTGCTAGATTTTATGTTCGGCTATTCTGACTGCCCCTCTTCTACTAGTCTGACCTATGTATTTGACCTGACAATCATTCCAGCAGGGTATTAGATAAACTAAATTGTTTTGTTTTAAAGGCTCTACAAGATTGATCCTTTGACCGACAAAGCTTGTTTCTGATTGACTTTGTGGGTTTGAATGCCGACCACGTTTAGGGTATCGTTAAGTTTCTATACTTGGTAATGAGAGTAGATAATCTTTTTTACTGACTTCCAGACCTCCCCAATGAGATACAAGCTGGGGAGAGTTGTAAACACAGAGGGACTGGGTGTTGACAGTCAGACAACATGGATTTAGTCCAGGTGTTTGTCAACTAGGACAGTAACGAACTGACCAACTTAAGAGTGCACAAATTACCCCATTGGCAACAATTGGTACCCTTCGCAATATGACGTAATCTTTTCTAAGTAGCCCAGAAAAGACTCAAAGGGGAGCAATGATAACAATAGGTAGGACTGAAGAGTGAATAATCTGTCAAAGTAGATGTTGAGTGATTCTTGATTTCCTTAACCTTTTTAATATGGTAGGTAGTTAGACGTAACATTTTCCTAGGAATAGACAAGATATGAGATGACCAAAAAATATCAAAGGATAGAACTATTCCAGTGGTATTCTATGCTTGACTTATTCTCTATATTTGTGCCCACCCTCTAAGCTACAAGCGTCGTATGTGCTAATGAGTTCGCTGAGATCACATTTATGAATGAAGATGAAATTAACTGTCTGACATTGAGTAAAGGAATATCACGTTAGAGCATTGGCTAATGTTGAACAGAAAACTAGTCACTTTACCGCAGTTCTATACGTTGGATAAGGTGATGAGTGGCTCAATTCGATTTCAACCATATAAGCGCGATGATTTTACATAACCTTACCAATTTGAGAATCTTCAACTTGTTGACTGTTTAGAATGCCTGCAGACTGTATATGAAATCACTATTATATTTATAATATTATATTATTTTGATCTTCTAAATTTGTGGGATCATTTTTTGTGTTTCAGAACAGGCATCAACAACGATAACCAAAAAAGACCGAAAGAAGAAAACAAGAAAACACTAATTGAGATGTCCAGCTATATCAGGATTCAATCTCTTTGAAATGTATAGATATATATATATAGAGAGAGAGACAGAAACCTTTCTAGTGGTATCTATTTTTGTAATACTGTCGCCATTTTCTTAAAAATTATTACTGTTATTTTTGCATAAAAACATTTTATAGAGTTTTTTGAAGACTTTTTCTTTTTCTTATCGCTAAGTGGGAATATCCTATCATCAGTCGTATACAATATGCTCAATTCACCTATTCCCGGTTACATGCATATTATATGCATAACGGTTAAGCAGAGTATTATATATAATGATATTTTTTGATTATAGATCCTGAGTGGTTGTCACTGCTGCTCCTGCTTTTTTGCTGTTGCGTTTTTCTTTCTTATTCACTTTTTATGTCGCTTAATGTTTTTCCAATAGTTTAAGCTTGATTGTCGTTGTATGCTGTCTAGTTTATGTGTCGAAACGTCATCCGTAAAAAGAATTTTCCCGCAATTTTGTGTATTTTTTGTGTAAACGGTGCAGCCATTTTTGATATTATTTTTACAACAATAAAGATGTTAACCTGAATAAGTTGACTTGAGTTTTTCCTTTGGACTTTCTTTTTTTTATTTATTAAATCCAACTGACTAGATGAATGATTTCGACTCGAGTTGATTAACTGAAAAAAATAAAGAACTTATATTTGATGTGGACAGGACGATGAGAATCGGTGGTATACTGATAAGTTGAACCTCACTAACTAAGGTAAATATTTGGACAACTCACAATTCGTATGGGGGAAGGGTGTATCTCAAAATATCAGCTATTGGTTTGACCAAAGATCTTGGCCCTCGGTAATATATTACACTTTCGATAGATAATAGAAAACCTGGGCAGACAGAATAAGAATAAAAACGTTACGTAACACTGTGTGAAATTTGAGGACATAGAATTCAACCTTACAAAACAAAATTGATTTAGAATGATGAGTGGAACAAGTGAAATAATACCGGAGACAATTCACGTCGAGGATAATAATAGTAACAATTGGCGTAGTAAAGGAAGAGTATACAAATTGAATAGACAAAATGAAAAAAATATTGGTAGGGCCGAAATATTATTAGGGATTACCATACTTTAGCTTAGAGGCATTAAGACCATGAAAGTTGGAGACGTTGAACGAACTTTTACTGTATACATAGATGTAGACTTTCTGTTTCGATAGCCAAAACTCGTGTGAAGCCAGGTATATCGTTCGTTCGACTAGGGTTTTGTCCAAGAGGGTGCAAGAACACTATCCAGCATGGTTGTGAGGAGGTGGAATTGAAGCAGTAAGAAGTGCGATCACTGAATATCTGGTCGATAATGACCACTCTGGAACGCTTCGTGATAGCGCTTGTCTCATTGACGCTTTGTCAGTTATACAGTAGAACGTAGGAGTTGTTTTCTTGCGTTCAGACCATAACCGAATAAATTTGATTGTTACACTCAGAGTTTACTCTTCCTGCATGATCTTCAGGGAGAAATCCTAACTGATAGTATATTGTGTGGGGGAGGGTTATCCGACATGAAGTAAGATCTAATCCCCTGCGATGTTATTTCCCTGCTTCTTTCGAAAATCATTATGTTGAATGTTGACAAAAATCAGTGTTCAAATGCATGTAGCGATTCGAAAGCATATTTGACTGACTGTTGGAATTGCCTTTGTTGGTGTGTTCACAAAGTCTCGTGACCATAATAGAATCACTGCCTCGACATTAATATTCATCGTGTGCTGAGGCTGTCAATCTCCATACATGTTTCAGATTCGATTGTTTGTTTTCAGTGATTCGACTGGTTACAGGATTTCATCATTAGTTGATATCGGTTAAAGAACTGTTGGAAAACCAGCACTGGATTACTGGACAGCTATTTCATCAGCCTAATTTGGGATTCCTTAGCAGTACACACCTACCAACGGGGTTGAACCCAGAAACTTCTGGTTACAAGGTGAGGTCTAAGAAGAATAAGCAGCCACTGGGACTCAATCCAATGGACTGCCCAGGAATTCTAACTTCTGCGTCGCTGGCATAGCTGTTAGGACGCTCGCCGAGCATGCACATGGTCCAGGGTTCGATCCACGGCCGCCGCACTCGTTTACCTCACTCAGCCAGAAGTAAAAGCTGGTGAAGAGGAAAGGTTGGACATGAGGCTAGCAAACCCACCCTGTAAAAATAAACACCGCTTCAGAAACTTTAAGCAACTAGCCTGAACCCCTATGTTCTACTGGGTAGGTGAAGGAAGAAAAAAATAGGACGACTGGCACTAGCCAACGTCATCCACCCATGGCGAGTATTTGTTCTCACAACAGACCTCAAACTAATAAACACTACATGTATTACTTTCCCATTTCTGACTGGCTTTTACATCTTCGTGTGTGCCACTGGTGGTTGGAAGGCTGTTGTTGCCTAATTCAGTAAAGTAAAAGAGATAACTCCACTTGGATTCATTCTATTGTTGGTGATTACTGTTCGTTGTGTCATTAGCTGTGATATGGTAAGGATTGCTAAGGGTATTTGCATTATGAATCATCAATTCGTGTCTAGTGATAGATATGATGTTCAGTGATCACCATCCTCTAAAGATGCTTGTACTACAACCACCAGCAATTTGCCATTAGGTGTCAAATTTTTACCCTATCCCTTTTAAGCTTACTAAATGTTTTCATAGTTAGCCTTACTTATTTTTCACTCTAATAATACTCTTTAATTCGTTGTATGATATGTAGATTTAGGAATTGTATGAATTTGATTAGCTCCACCAATGACTGCCTCATGGTTTCCAAGAATTCCTTGGGTGATGTTAATTCTTAACGAAACATTTACTCCATCGCAGCTTATATAATTATGAGGAATCCTTATCCAGACACTGATGAAAATAACACATGCATTTCAGCGAAGAGGATTTCTTTGACTAATTCATTTACCACTTCAGTCGTACTGTGGTGAGAGCAGCCTGCTAGCCAATTGGTTGACATTAATCTACGTCAATGTCTAGGTCACTAGTATGGGCCGTGAGAAAATATGAACAAGGCTGTTTCAACAACCAATCACAGCAAACTTAAACGTGGGCAAATATGATTCGCAGATAGATGGCTCCACTTTCCGAGAAACGCGAAAACAACCAATCAGAAGGCTGCGTTTGTCTACTTGACTGGGCTATAATAATGCATGTGAAATTTATATAAATACGTGTTGATTTTTGTAATAAAACGATCTGTTGCCTGACCCTTGTCATCTGTTGTTACAGTACAAGTGAATTTATACACAATTATTTTTCGTAGGGAATTAAAAGACAGTTGCAGCGAAGGAAATTTTCTTTTCGACGAAATCATCAACTAGGCTGTACATTCATGTATCATAATTACTGAGAAGATTGACATATTCTGTAATTAGGAGTTAGAAATCTAGGAATAACAACAATAGACAGGATGCTTGGATAAACAAATCTAGTGGGATCACAACTAATGGGACGAATAAATCTTTATGCAATCAGTGACTAAATATGTGGGAATAATAAAATGAAAAAATAGAAAGGAATTTCGGATATGAAAATATGGTAGTGTAAATAGGGTTTAGGAAAAATTTCAAAATAACATGAATAAACAGGAAGTTTAGATAAGAAAGCCAAAGGGAAAGTTCCTATTAAAAGAACTACCTGTTTATGGTGGCCATGACAAGGACAAGGGTTGAGCGTACTTCTTTTGGATACATAGCGTGGGTTTGAGCTTTTGGATGGCTAGTGCCTTGGCTATGCCCAAATGCCTTAATTTTACTCCCTTTGACAGGCTTGATCGAATCTTGTGTATTATTTGAATGTTTTTTCCAATGGAGCTGAATGTCCTGAATTGACCAGATGTTCTGTCACTGAACTACATGCCTGTTTTCGTTCTCCTTTTACTAGCCAGGCTGGATAGTGTTCACGAGCGCGTTTTTCAAGTTGGCGCATGGTACGGCCGATGTACTCATCTTCGCACGAGCAAGTAAATTGGTATATGCACGTTAAAGTGGCCCAATGCTACAGCTTGTCTTTCACGTTCTGGCTGAACAGTTCCTTGCGGGAAAACGTTAGTCGTAGGCTTGTGGCAAAGCATGTCTTCCTCAGGGATTTGCAGAGGCGTTTACGAAGGATTTCTGCTTCAGTGTCACCTTTGAATTCTTGATTAAGCAGAAGCATCTTCTTCGGAATGGAATGAACTTGTTCGGAAGTCTTTTTTGACTTAAGGTTCTTGTCTGTGAACCTAGGCGGAAAAGCGTTTTCCATTATTTTTTGATGAAACAGGTTAGTAACGAAAATGATGAGTTGTCACAATCATAACTGATAATATTGGGTAACAGAGTTACATAATAGGATGAATAACTTTACGGATGGATTGTAATCAAGATGCATGTGTGATTCTGACGCCCTAGAAGCAGAACTAGATCTTCTGAAGGAAACCTTCATGCAAAATGGACATCTAAAATGATTTATCGACATGAATACTGAACGAAAAGCTGGGTGGAATGAAACACTACCTGTTCCAAAAAAGAAACTTTACCTGAACTTGAATTTCAAGGAAGACGTAGCCTGAGATATCCTCAAGAGAAGAATTTCATCATCATCGAGAAGAACATTCATCTCAGTAACGCAAAGAGTTGTGTTTTCCAATTGCAATAGGTAACACCAGACAACTATTTAGGCTGTTTGGGATCTTCGGATGGTAAGAGCCGATGAAGGCTGAAGACAATTGGTGATATGGCTCGAAATCATTCTCACTCATAGTGCAGACGCATTCAATCTTTGTAATTTGCCATACCCGTCCAATAAAACTCTACTGTTCTTGCATAGAACTATTCTTTTTCCTTCACACTTCTGTTTATTATCTCTCTTTTGAATCTCTCTTTGCTTATTTCTCTTGTTTTGTGTGTTAAATGGATAGGGTGTGGCAACTCCAACTGGTGAACAGCTATGCGAAGTTCTCTGCTGAAGCCACTCAGTTAGTCAGTT